TCTGTAATATTTCCAATAAATAGGTATTTTCTCCGTGCGTGAAAATTGTACACACTCCACCTGAAACTGACTTTCTGAGGTAGCAGTTTCAGGTAGAGAGTGTGGAATCACTTTAGTCGGGGACTAAATGAGCCTCGCGCGAGGCAGAACCTAAACCTTATTTTATCATCTTGATGGACTTATTTATATTGGCATAAAAACTTGTTTTTACAAAGAACTTTCTTTCAAAATTAATCATCCACTGAAGAAGACAAGACAAAATATCCATTAGAAAAATGGTTTTCAAGTGTCAAACTGATTCGTTTCTTAAGGAGTTTGAAACTGAAGTTGTAAAAGTTGAAAAGAATGAGGAAGGAAAGTCTCTTGTACAATTTGAGGTAAATTTCATATGATAAGATATAAATTTAAAAGATAATTTATTGATTTTGCATCCAAACAGGATACAGTTTTATTTCCAGAAGGAGGAGGACAACCAACCGATCACGGAAAAATCATTTTAAAGCGTGATGAAGGAAAAGAGATAGAATTTGATGTTAAAAATGTAATTCGCAAAGGGCCTGATGCAATTCATTATATCGAAAGTACAGATACTGATGTTTTTTTGAAAGTTGGAGATAAAGTTAAGCAAATTGTTGATTGGGAACGAAGACACGATAACATGCAACAACATAGTGCTCAGCATTTAATCAGTGGACTCTTTGAAATTCATTACAAGTATCCTACACGAGCATGGTGGCTTGGAGCTGACGTCAGCTACATTGAACTTGATGCTAAAAACATAACTGACAACGAAATGAAGCATATCGAGTGTATGGTCAATGTTTACATAGCTTCTGCAACTCCAGTTCATGTTTTGATGTTCGACACGGCTGACGCAACCGGAGAAGAAGTAACAAGAGCTGCTAAAGGCTTACCAGTTGATCTCAGTGGTCCAGTTCGTGTCATTAACATCGAAGGTATTGAATCCAACATGTGTTGTGGAACTCACGTTTCAAATCTCGCCCAACTTCAAATGGTTAAACTGTTGAACATTGAAAAGACAAAAGGAAAAACAATCGTCAAGTTCTTGGCTGGAAACCGAGTTTTTAAAAAGCTGGAAACATCTTTTCAACGTGAAGTTCAATTGACAGCAATGTTGAAGTAAGTAAAAGAAAAATATTTAGGAGGAGATAAAAAAATTCTCATGAAACTGCTATCTAATCTTATCTCTTAACACTTGACAGTAATGGTCCTGATTCTCACATCGATTTAGTGAAGAAACTTCAAACAAATTTAAAGTCATCCCAGAAAACTCTTCAAAAGCTGTCGAAAGAGCTTGCGACTAAGATAGCAGAAGAATTGAATGCCAAAACCAACCTTGAGAATTATTTTTCACTTCACAACAAAGATGGTGTTGATGTTGATTTTTCAAACACATTTTTGCGAGTTTTGAAGAGTAAATCACTTTTTGTTTTTATGACGATTGCTGATGCGATTGATTCAAAGAGTGGTTCGTTAATAATCCAAGGAAACCCTAAAGATATTGAAGCTCTTGCTGATCCCATCTGCAAATTATTGAATGGTAAGGGTAATGGAAAGAATAACAGATTTAATGCTAAAGTTACTCAATTGAACAAAGTAAAAGATTGCGAGATTTTGATTAAAAATCATTTCGCTAACAAAAAAATTTCTGATCAAGTTTAATCATTTATTGAAATTATTATGTCTTCATATTGTTTAACAAAACTCTACCTGGAGAGAAAAAGTTTAAAGTGCTTCACAGTTGAATGTTCCAAGATGAAAATAATGAAAGAAATGACTAAGCCACCAATCCAAAGCTCAAAAATTGCAAGTAAATGATGAACATTTAATGGTAATGCACCTACCAAAGTTTCCTTTTGATTTGTAAAGCGTTTATCAACATACTTTGATATCCATAAGTTTATTAAGCCATTTTCCTTTAAATCGTTCATTTTGTCATTGAATTCATTTACCAAATAAAAATCTTTTTGAAAATAGAAAACCATTGGATTTGAAAGAAACTTTTCTTTACAGATTCTATATGAAAATTCTTTGTAATTGAGTTGATTCAGATAGAAAACTTGCGTCATGTAATTAAAGAGGGCACCTTTAAACTTTGGATTTAAAGTTTTGTTACGAATCTTTTCAATTTCATTCATCTCTATGACTACACGTCGATTGTAAAATGGATGACCTTTTGTTCTTGATTCTAATGTTTTGTAGACATAAAAGTTGAAATCTTCTTTTATCAACTCATCGATTGAAGCGATGTCAGGTCGTCGAAGTTCTGTTTGTAAAAATTGAAACATCACACCTTGATAATAGTTTCTGATTATCAGGAAAAACAGCATTAGATTCATGATTAAATAACGTGCAAAGTTTCGTTTCGGTAGTTGATGTTGTGCCAATCCATAGACAATCAAGAAGAAGTTTAGTAACGGAGTTTTGATGTTGTCACCAACCAGGAAAGCATAAAGATTGTTGAAGCATAATCTTGTAATTAACACAACAAAAATTGTTGCAATTAACATTAGAATTAGAAGAATCCAAACAAATGTTGAGAAGGGAAAGTAAAGTTTCTCGAATGCTGTGAAGTATCCACCAGGCGGGATGACAATTGCTAACGGTTCATAAGTGAATGCAGTTGTGGCACTCAAAAATTTCGCTCTCGAATACATCAATGAAAGAAATCCAATGACAACATCTTCCTTCTTTCTCATTAATTTATTCATTAAACCTGTCGATGTTCCGTTTTCATAAATATCACCGGAACTTTTAATATAGAAATGAAATATCGGTGTGAAGTTCATGAGATCGCTCATACCTAGCAAAACATCAACCTCGCTTCCGTAAACTTTTGTTTTGTTGTCATTCACAACTTTCCGCATCACTGATGGCTCAGTTTCAAATGTTCCGACTCGTATTTGACATGCTTTGAGGTCTTTAAACTTTTCTGGATAGAACTTTTCAGACATCCAATGCTGGCCATTATATTCGTTAATTTTAACAGCAAATGCATTGTTGCAATGAAGCTTTTGTGAAAATGGAAAGAATGTGAACATTCCTATCAAATTTTCGTCAATTGTTAACGATGCTACATTGTAAATGAAATTTTCCCATAAAAGTAAGAACATTTTCTTTAAATCTTGTGATGTTGCGTTGGGGAAAATTATCAAGAAAAATCCATTTTTAGCTATTTTTTTACAGCTTAAAAAAGTATCTTGAAATTTTGTGAAGCTAGTTAAAGTGTCAACAATAATTATTGCGACTTTTTTGTCAATTGCTTCATGGAAAATGTTGTCATCAGAACTTGTTATTGAAAATGTTGTTGAACTGTCAGTTGATGATATAATTCCAATTAGAATATCATTCATCGAATGTTTTTCATATATAGCAAAAATATTTATATTTGAGCTTTCATGAACGAAAAATGTTCTAATTATTTCAACGGTAGCACTTGAGAAATTCTTTTCTTCAATCTTTACTTCGACTTCGATTTGAATTTCCCCACAAACAACTTTCAACATGACGGTGACAAAAAATGAAAGAAAGTGAAAGAAAATCATTTCGACTCGACGCTGTTAATATATCCTGACGCGCTTTTCACAGATCTTTAACTGAATGAAGGTATGGAAAATGAAATGAACATAAGTCATTGGAAAAAAAAGTCAGTCATGTCATGTGAGAGTCAATAATGTAACCGAAAATTATGTAATTACACATCGTATGAATTTATCGGGTTTACAATAAACTTCATACAAAATCGATCGTTTTTTTACTGTAAACTATAATAAATTTAATGACATTATTTATGAAATAGAAAACTCGAAAATTGAATTCTTTAAATCTTTCACTTTATTGATTTAATTCTAATCAATCTTTTTGAATCATCATAGATACATGTAGATTAAATTACATCAAATTGGATTTCATTATCACTAAATTTCGGTAAAATGTTTAGATTATTTAAAAGCAAAATGAAAGCAAAAATGTCTTTTTTATTCATGCGTTGAATGTAATCAAAATCAAAATTTATTGGACCTTGAAGAGAGAAGGAAATGAAAAGAAAAGCAACGAAATAGAGTGGAGTAAAAGTTATCTCAGATATCAAAATTATTGCGTATTCTGATTATTTCTCATCGTCAGTATTCTCGTAACGCTAACTTAATTTGGGCATTTTTAAAATAATTTCTTTTTCACAACTCTTTTTTATGAGATTGGTAAATGATGGATAAACTGAGATTATTAAAGCATTTAGATTATAGAGAAAGTGTATAAAATATCTTAATTGATTAATTTTTCTTCTTTTTTTATCATAAGTTCTTACAAGTTAGCTAATTTTTATGTTGAATTTCAACATACACAAAATTTACCAATCTAAACATTCGGGGGTAACGTAGTCGGACTTTTTGTTTTGGAAATCTTACTCAAAATTATCTAATTGTGAAAAATGTTTTCACATTAAAATTTTGTTTATCTTTTGTCACACTTGTCAAACGTTGTTATTTATTTTCTTCGCTTTTTTTTTGAAAATATTTGAGCTTCAAGTCGAAGTGAAATTGCAATAATTATCATGGCAAATTCTGAAAGTTCACAGTGATTTTGAGCTTTTTTTCCAAGAAAAATTAAAGAAATAAAAAGAGAAACGACTACAAGAAGTGACAATGACCGGATCTCCTATAAACTCAAGAGCTACTCCAACGCGATTTTTGCAATTCAATTTGTCCTTCAAGTGTTTTGGCAAGATAAATGATAAGAAGTTGAAAGAAGCTACAACTCAAAGCTACACCAGCAAATACGTAAAGTTTCCGTTCAGCCCAAACGCGAACTACTTCTATACAACCTGAGGTCCAAATTTTCTTTGAAGCTGATGAAACTGATTGAGATTGAACTCCATAACCACACATGATATTAATGAGACCAGATGAGATATCAGTTGAGTTGATGCAGCAACTGTAAGGTACACCGCATCGTTCGACGGAAGGTGATGAGCAATTGAAATATTCGTTCTTGCTCCAGTCCAAGAAGCCTCCACCTGAGAGTCCACAACAGTTGAACTCTTGTTGGACGAAATCAATGAAGTTTTGAAGGTCAGGGTCGTCACGGTATAATGTTATGATCTAATTATCGAAAAAATATTTTCATAATGATTGCTGCAATATTAAAGTGAAACTCATAAATACTTACTCGCTCAGTGAACGAATCTTCAAGAACTGGGTTCATTGTGTGAGGGAAAATGAACGCAATTATAGCAACGGCCATTTCACATAGGAAGAAGATGAGTAGACAAAGAGAGTAAAACTTCAGGAGACAAGTATTCTCGCGAAGGGCACCTGATATTATTGAAAATGAACAATTTACAAATTAACTGTAAATTATCTTTGACTCACCCAAACACCCACAAAAAGAAACAATAAATACGATTCCTCCAGACAAAACCATCACAATTGAGATATTGAGAAGAATGTCGTAATATGTGTCTAACTTGATCAATCCAGTAGCTTGAAACTTATCTAATCCACTATACAAACCTTCAAGTTTACAGCAGAGATGGAAAAAATCTTTGGTTTTAATTGCTTAAGTGAAATTGATTGAATTTATTTACCAATGCCTATGAGAAGGCCACCAAACAGCCAAAACATGAAATTTAGAAGAAATATTAAATATTTTGTGCAAGAACTAACATAAGTGAAATTATTGTTCATATATCGATGAGGTGGCGGCATTTTCGAATTTGTTTATAATCAAATCTATTTAATAAATTTTAGTTTCAAAAATTTTTTGCTTATGATTCACTTTTTTTTATTTCGATAGACTTTTAATATTTCAGCTTTTTTCTTAAATTATCTAAATCATTTCAGATATTGCACATGAAACACAGACTTTTGTGATCATTTTACAATTATTTTTCGAAGTTTTTCTACTGTCAATAGACACACAATTGATTAAACTGGATAAAACATGAATAAATCTTCACACAAAACTTTTTTGCTTCAATAACAAAATTTGCTTCAAATAGAAGCGAAAAAAGTTAATAATTTAAAAGAAAACGAGCCGTTAAAATTCATAAGCATTTTAAAGATGCAACCGATGGATGGGCTTGTTTAATGAATATGTATCTCGGAAATGCCTCACTTATTTCAAAATGTGCAAACGCCATTACCGAACACTTTTTACAATTTTCGTTTTTTTTTCTCATAGAATAGGAAAGTTCAAGATAGTAAAAAAAAAAATTCTGGAATTTAAAGGATATTGAGAGGATGGGATTCAACTATTATACTATCATTATTCACAATAATTTCAACTTTGGTCTGAAAATATTAACTTGGAAACCAGTGTATTTACGGTCAATCTTCTCGGTGTCTTCATCAGTGTTGAGAGAACTCATTGAGAGAGAGGGACACGCTTAACATTGGCACCTTTTATTAAGATTCTAATTGAACAAAGGTTTCATGAGAATTACCTACCTAATTACAATTTTAGTATTTTAAGGCCGAAGACCTTACTTCAATTTTGGTTAAACTATAAGATCCAAGAAAGTCAAATCATTTCTTATTGGGATAACATTTTACTAGACAATTTTATATGTTGGATTTTATGATAAGCAAGTTCTGTTTCTGAAATTTAATAAAATTTACAAAAATCCATCGAAAATCTTTAAATGATTTTCATTCATATTTTTATTTTCTTTCTCGTAGTTTAGAAATCAAATTTAACAAATTTGCTTTTATCCATTCTTTACATTTCGGATTAATAGATAACTTAAAAATCTAAAGAAAATTCGTATCGACTTTAAATTTTACATTTATGCTCTTCATATAACTACTTAGTCATGCATACATGTTAAACTAAAGAAAGAACTAAATAAATAAAGAAATTTTCCAAGAAATGTGTAGATATTTATAAAGAATCCATTTAAATGATTCGACGAGTAATGATAGATGAGTAAATCAGGAACAGAAGCTAACGAAGTCACGAAGCAGCAAAAAAATCTTGTAATCTTTGAACTGTACTTCGATCCAGCTGTACAAGATCAAAATCAAATGAAGATTTTGTTATTTCATAACAACCTGTAGCAGCGATCATTCTTACAACTTGTTGTAAGTCTTCATTGTTGTTTAGTGTCGTAATTTTCTGTTTTAAATCTTTAAGTTCACTCATATATTCATTAGATATCTTACGATCATTGCTTGCATTGTCAATATTATTGTTGTTCATGTGTGAATGATTTGCAGCTGAATCAGATGACGATGGCCTTTCTTGAATTGAAGGTGAATTTGAAACCTCCTTTCTGGCTATTTTTGCAGGTGATGGCGATATAGATGAATCACGTTCATCTTTCTTACTTGACTTTCGTTTTCGACTTTTATCTTCCTTGTCAGCAGTTTTTGTTCGTTCTCGAGATTTCTTAGGAAGTTTTTCAGCTTCAGGAGGTTTTTGCATTACAGTTGCATCAACACTGTTATCAGATTCCTGTTTTATTGAAGCAGGACTATCAGCATCAGAATCTGAATGCTGTTGAAATTTTGTTCCTTGATCTTTCGCTTTTGCAGGTGAAGGTATTGCAATTGAATTTTTATGTTGCTTCTCTTTCTTGTTATCTTTTACAACATCTTTGTCTTTTGTTTTTTCTTTCTTTTTATGTTTATGTTTGCGTTCAGAGTCTTTTTCATGTTGCTTCTTTACAACTTCTATTGGAGTTGTCTTTGGTTCAGAGATCGATGATGATGATGTACTTAACTTTCCTTTTGCTTTTTCCCGATCATCCTTGCCACTGATAGAATCCCGATCCTTTCCAACAGTAGCTCCTTTTGGCGGTTCAAATTGTGATTTGTCTTTTCCTGATAATGCATCTTTCGAACGTGAATCTTTCTTTTCAATTTTATCTCGTTCTTTATCGTGATTTTTCTTGTCCTTCTTGCTACTCTTCTTACTAGAAGATGCATCACTGGATGGGGTTGGTGTTGAAGATTGTTTAGATGATTTAACAACATCCGATTTTGACACTGATAATGAATTTGGATTTGTACTGCTTCGGGCTGATGAAGATGATCCTGGTAAAGAGCTTGGTGATGGTGATGGTCGTTTAGAAGTTTTTTCTTTCTTCTCACTTCTTTCACGATCTTTCGTTTTATCTTTTTTCACTTTCTCGGTTTCCGGTCTCATACCATCATTTGCCTTTTTACCATCCTTACTTGGACTGTGTTTGTGCTTCGATTTATCACTTTTTTCCTTTGATCCTGATTGACTTCTTTCGTTGTTTTTACTACTGGAAGTTGATGGTAGTTTTGTTGGATTTGGTGATGGATTTTGAAGTGACCTCGGATCATGTTTTTTGAGTGGTGCGCCAAAAAGATCTGTGAAAATTTTGTTTGGTTTTGTTTCTTCAGGTCTTTTTGATGATTTTTTTATTTCGCCCATTACAGGTAATTGTGATGTTTTCCCATAAGAATCTCGAGCTTTATACTCGCCTGTGTTTATGACAACACCACCACCTTTTAAACATTTCTTTCTGAACTCATCTGAGGGATTCGGTACAATGAATTCATTTGTTTGAATTTTGAAAGGTTGCAAATCCAGATCATATTCGAAAGTGACTTTTTTAGGCTCATCACGATTCTTCAGGTAAATGTCAATAGTTAGAAGAAATCCTGCATATCCGGCTTCCTTCACTGTATACGGTGGCTCTTTTATGACCCGCTTTGGCTTTGGAAACGACTCATGAAGATTAAAGACGACTTTTTCGACAAAAAGTTGAATATCACTTCCTTCATTGGCACCTTTTACAAAGAGCTCCCAATCATGAGTGAAGCCTTCTTTACTCGGTTTTGTTTTACGAGATGCTGAATGTCCAATCTCGAATATCAATTTCACTGACATCTAGAAAAATAAACACAACAAAGTCCCGTTAGCTTAATGACGAACGCCTTGCTATTTTGTTTATGTTTATAGATTAAAACACGACTAAATGTTTCAATACAAAAGAAGGAACACCGCTATCCTTCACATGTGATACTAAACTTTTTCCTCTTTTCTTTCCTTCCTTCTTAACCCTTCACTCCTCATCCTCTTTACAAAGTTTTTCTCATTTTTTTCGGAAAATTGATTTTTTTAAAACTGAAGCCTAACTTTTAAGTTAACTTGTGAAGAATTTTGTTAAGATTTTAAAGATATTTTCATCTCTTATTCAACATCCATGTAAATTAAATATTTTACTTACTTTTAGCGTCAATGAATAAGAAAAATTTCCAAAAATTTATATTTTTGTTTTTAAATATTTTTCTTGTTTTTATTTAGCGTTTGTTTTTGTATTTATCTCTTGAACTATCTTGGCTTCAGTTCATTTGAGTAATTTAACAGTTCATATTTTTATTTACATGTTTTTACGACATTAATTAACTAATTCTATTTCTTATTTTGTTTTTTAAAATAAAAAACTGAGTGGAGTGCGTGAGAAATCTTCTTGCCGTATGATCAACAATTATAGTAAACGTTAAAAATATCGTAAAATGTCCGACTGACTGTTTTCGCGGGCTTGTAAAATATTTATTCGTTGACTCAATATAATAAAACATTATGGCAGCAGTGAAAGCTTTAAACTTAGGTAACAAATTCTGACAATGTTGTTAATTAACTATTTAATCAAATTATTGAAAACAGACCAGAAATCTCAACGTAAATTCATCGATTACTACAATGAAAAATTCACCGATACTGAAAATGTTATTTTTCGTGTTTTTGAGCGCCAAAACGGTGAATTTTACTCAATTCACGGTAAAGATGTTGATATGGCATTGAAAACCAGCTTGAAATCTATGATAATTGTCAAAAATATGGCTCCTGATGAACTTCAAAGTCTTAAATATGCTTCGTTCAATAAGAATATTTTTGAAAAGTTACTAAGAGAACTTCTACTTGTCATCGGCTACAAAGTAGAAGTTTACACAAGTCGTAGATCTGAAGGAAAAAGCGATTGGATGTTAGAATTCAAAGGATCTCCTGGTAATTTAGCCCAATTTGAGGATGTGCTTTTCAACTCTAACGAACCAGAAATATTTACAAACTTGTTGATGTCGATTCAAGTTATTTCAAGCCAACAACAAAGAGTAAAAATAATGTTTTTGTATTTAACATTAAACTTTATTGCGTATTTTACAGAAAATCGGTATAGCATGCATCGATGCAACAGAACATCTCATTTCAGTAGCTGAGTTCGAAGACAATCCATTCCAGACAGAACTTGAAGCTGCTGTTGTTTTAGTATCACCTAAAGAATGCATTTTACCATCATTAATGGGCGATTACGAGAAGATTGTTGACGTCTTAAATCGCAATGGTGTTCTTGTCACGCAAAATAAGAAAACTGAATTTCAAAATAATGTTGAATTTCAACAAGATTTAGAGAAACTTGTGAGATTCAAAAAAGGTCAGAAGAAAACGATTCAAACAATTCCTGAGATTAAATTAGATCTTGCTATGGGTTCAGTTGCTGCTGGTATTAAATATTTGGAACTTATCAAGAATGAAATGAATTTGGGACAATTCTCAGTGAAAAGTTTAAATTTAAAAAGATTTGTTCATCTCGATGCTGCAGCTGTTTATGCATTGAATCTTTTTCCACCACCTGATGTTAATTATCGTTCATCGCTTTATAAATGGCAGAGTGTTTTAGGCGTTCTCGATCGATGTAAAACCAACCAAGGTCGTCGATTACTGAATCAATGGCTCAAACAACCATTAAGAAACATCGACATGATTCGTGAACGACAGAATGTTGTTGGATATTTCGTTGATAATCAGGAAGTTAGAAGTTCACTCCATAACGATCATCTCAGTGCTATTCCCGACGTATTAATCTTAAACAATAAACTCACAAGAAAGCGAGCAAATCTTCAAGATGTCTTTAAAATTTATCAAGTGATTCTCCGTCTACCGGAAATTCTTGAACTTCTTAAAGATACAGAAAATTCTTCAGTGAAGACGGCAGTTTTCGAACCATTTATTGATATTCTTAAAGATCTCAAAAACTTTGAAGAAATGGTTGAAGAAGTTCTCGATTTATTGGCAATTGAAAGAGGAGAATACTTAATTAAAGCTTCTTTTGATGAGAAACTTAATGACATAAAGGAAAATATGAATTCGATTGAGTCAAAAATAAGAAAAGAAACCAGAAGATGTTCACAAATTTTAGGATTGGAAGAAGGATCGTCATTTAAGCTAGATTATGTTTCACATATTGGCTTTCATTTTCGAACAACTCGTAAAGAAGATCAAAAGCTTCGTCAACAAAAGATGTTTAAAATTATTGATACTGCACGAGGTGGCATTAGATTCACTACATCGACATTGGAAAATTTTAATTCAGATTTTTCTGAATTAAAGGAAAGTTATGAAGAACAGCAAAAAGATATTGTACAAGAAATTGTAAGAGTTGCTTCAGGATATTCAACACCATTAATGAACCTTAACAATTTACTTGCAACACTCGACGTTTTTGTTTCTTTAGCTGAAGTAGCAACGAACTCTCCAGGTGAATATGTTCGTCCTAAAATGTATCCTGAAAATGAAAGAATTTTGAGTGTGAACACTTTAAGGCACCCATGTTTAGAGTGTCAGGATGACATTAATTTCATTCCCAATGATGTCAATCTGAAAGAAAATGATACGCATATGTACATCATAACTGGTGCTAACATTTCTGGAAAATCAACATACATTCGTTCAATTGGAGTTGCTGTCTTGTTAGCACATATTGGATCATTTGTGCCATGTGAAGAAGCTCACATTTCGATTTGTGATTCAATCTTAGCCCGTGTTGGCGCAAATGACAATATTCAGAAAGGTCTCAGTACTTTCATGGTTGAAATGGTGGAAACATCTTCAATTTTACAAACAGCAACAGACAAATCACTTGTCATCATTGATGAGGTATGTTTTTAAAAACTACGACTATCTATTTCATTTTACTTTTGATATAAAAAACGTTTTTAGCTTGGTAGAGGAACGTCAACATTTGAGGGACTTGGACTTGCATGGTCGATTGCAGAATTTTTATTAAAAGAAAAGAAATGCTTCACATTTTTTGCGACACATTTTCATGAGATTACTGCATTGGCTGAGAAACAAAAAACAGCAAAGAATTATCATCTCGCAGCCATTACAGACGACAATCGGTTGACATTATTGTTTCAAGTTCGTCCTGGTCCCATTGATCGTTCGTTTGGTATTCAAGTTGCAGAAATTGCTCAACTTCCTTTAAATGTTCTTAATGATGCGAAGAAATTCTTGAAAGAAATTGAAACAGAACAGCATACATTATGTCAAAATAACCAAAAATTAGTTAAAATTGATGAAATGTTAAAGAAAATTAAAGAAGGAATGGAATTTGATGTGAAAATGCTTGAATGTTTATAAGCCTCACTAAATAAATCTCAAGCATATTTTTGAAACAATTACATATATCAATATATACATTTAGAGTAGTTTTCCATCATTTGCCAAAAATCAATTGCACAATTTACAAATATGTACCTATATATAAATAAAACATAAGAAAATAAATTAAAATAGATAGTTTTACTTATGCATTTTAGTTTAAATTAAGGCGACTACAAGCACGCTTTTACCTATCGCGTAAGTGTATGACCAGTGTTTTTCATAAAACCTCGTGTCGTGAATGGCTCAATGGATTTGAAATATTTCTTGAGACTATGTATTTAAAAAGTCCTTTACAGGAGTTCTATAGAAAAAGTTTGTTGTAGTTACATAAACGTTGTGGATTTGCCTCTCGTTTCCAAAAAAGTTTTCCAAAATTTTTGTTAAATAATATTTAACGGTTTGAAAAAATTTGAATTTTCTATTTTTGTGCTTTATGTGCTTGGCATTTGTGTGAGTCGACAAAAGCTCCAATGAGAGTAAAGCTTTCTTGTGTGTTTTGGATGTCGTTGAATATATTTTATCCGTTTAACAAGTCCTAAATTGGATCAAAAGTCATTAAGTATATATTTAATAATATACTTGTGAACTACAAAGTGAAGTACAAGCTTAATAACTGGGAAAAATAGTAGAAATATAGAAAAGAAATAAATATTAGTGAAAGCGAGGTATTTTCTCGCTTTTCTGGCATAAATAAAGAATTTCTTAACCGAAGAATACATATACTAAGTTTCATAGTGCTTAATTAAAGTGAAAAAATAGGTCCATGATGATTCGTGGGCAAAGAGATCAACTTAAATCAGGTATGTTGGAGGTTTATAGTGAAATTCCAATTTTCGATGGAGTACGTTCACTGCATTAGAAAATTTTGAATAATTTATCCTCAAACTCACTTCTCGCTATCATCCAAAATTAAGCAAAATTAGTTCAATAATTTGCAATGATGTAGTGAAATTTAAAATTGCTTTTCAATTATTCCATACATAAATAAAATTTATTAATTCTAAAAGTGATTGTTTAAAGAATGCAAAATGTAAATAAATAAATGAATGTACTGAACGTACTCATAAAACTAGCACTGAGCAGACCGAATTCAGTTTTTTGATACGTTTTTTCTTTAAAAATTACAGTTAAGGTAGACAATTGGGGAACTTTCTTTCTCCAAAAGCTCCAAAACTTTTTCAACAAAACTGATTATTGCGATTTAACTCTCCAGTTTTTGGATAATTCTCAGTTGAAGGTTCATCGTCTTGTATTGAGTGCTTGTACTGGTGAGTTCATGTTTCGATATTTCATACTGCAACATAAATTTAAAAAACTTACTCCTCATTTTAGATTATTTCAACATGTTAGAACAGTCATGTGAAATGGTAGAAGATATTCTAATCATGCCAAATGATCTTCAAGCAGATGTCATTGTCCCAATCGTTAATTTTATGTACACAGGAACACTGGAGTTCCATTACAATATGTACGAAAAATTATTAAAAACATCTCGTGAGATGAACATGACCGTACTATCAAAGCTTCTGGAAGCACATCGTCAAACATCGGGAAGTAATATGAAGCAAACCCAACCTGTTTTACTCAATAAAAATGCCACAGGAGTTCGATCACAACCGAAAGTATTTTATCAAAAGCCGTCTCCTGCTAAAACAGTTTTTTATAAACAAGGACAAACAATCATCAAGCATGTATCACCAACAAAGCCTAATATTCCTGAACCAATTCAAATAGTGACGAGGTTTCAACAAGATAAGAACAGTTCACGGCCTTCGAGATTCACTGTTCCTGACGACATTGTTCCCGATGCTGAAGGCTCTTTTGAAAGCATTTCGTATGAAAGTAAACCATTACTAACGGCCTCACAATTGAAACGTGAAGAAGAGAATTCACCATTTGAGAACTTACGTCGTGGTTACACAAACAATAAACGGATTGCATCAACATCATCATCACAATCACCTCCATCAAAGAAACCAAACTTGGATGACATTAAAGCTGAAGCAGAAGCACAAAGGCAACGGAACGAATTGTCAGGTGAAGGTGAAGAATTAGACGATACTGCAAGTGATCCTGACTATGATGCTGATCAATATTTTGAGGAAGAAAATGACGATTCGGAAGATGAATCGAATAGAAATTTCAAGAACTCTTCTGGAACTGTTGTTAAACAGACAACGAAACAAATAACTGTCAATGATTGTAGTGGTGGTAACATAGATCATGCAAAAATTCTTGGTGAAGTTCTTAAAAAGTATCCAAATCTTGTTAAGAACCCAAAAAATATTAAACTGAAAATTATGCAGAAACCTTCACATCCGAACTCTCAACAAACGACAGCAATTGTTCGTGTTGTTAAACAAGATAATCAATCGCCAACTGGGAGGAACACACAATTGAGATCAACACCACCCATTGCTAACTCACAACCGAAGAAGATTGATGCGAAAACAATGCATGAACTCATTCGAATGGGGGCAGAAAATATGAAAGGACCATGGCTTTGTTTAGATTGTGGTTCTGGTGGTCGACCAATCAGTATCCCAACATATAAGAAGTTCCGTGCACATTTAATCAATGTCCATAAACAAAAGATTGATCCAAGAATATGTGAACATTGTGGATTAAAACCAGCTCGACGAATTGAATTAATTCAACATCAGTTGATAGCTCATAACATAAATCCACCAGCTGATGTTTCACTCTTCCGCTGTTCCACAAAAAGTTGTGTGTATGTTACACAAAAAGAAGATTTACTTATCAAACACAAACGTGAAGTGCACAAAGAGTTCCAACAAAAGTGTAAATATTGCACAAAAGTCTTTGGAAAAGAATTTTTACTTCATGCGCATATGCGAGCTGTTCATCGTCATATGGCGAAAAATGATGGCACGATGGAGTATAGTGAGGATGAAGAATATGAACCATCAGGCCATGAAGTCAACAGTTCAGGGAAGAAGATTGAAATATTATCAAACATTGAAATTCCCGTTTCGGAATCAATAAAGTTTGAAATTGATGGAACAATTGTATCGCAACCAAGCTCAGAAGCTGAAGCTCTTACAAGCGTTGCTACTGGAATTGCAACAAGTCTTGGATTGGATGATCAATTTAATATTGAACAACAATTGGCACAAGTTCACGGCGAGTATGAAGAGAAGAAAGAAAATTCAGAAATTATTACAAAATTAGTTGCTGAAGATGGCACAGAATTGGAGTTGACAGCAGCACAAAAAGAAGAAATTCTTCAGCAACTTCATTCACAAGGCGCAACATTGACTGATAATGTTGTGATGGTGTTAGATCAAGGACAATTGGATGTTCAGTCAGATAATAATCTCATGGTAATGTATTCGGAGTCTCAAGAAAATACTTCGATTGATACAACGACAAACAGCATGTCGGCAATTAAACCAGAAGAGTTGGAAAAAGCTGAAATTATCTTCCAAGATGATCAACATGTTAAAGAAAAGCAAAGTGATGGGGAGAAATCAAAATTGATAAGTGAACTTGAAGAAGATTGGACTGAAGATGATGAAAGTTCTCAACAAGAGTCAAAAGCAGAAGAACCATCAATTGATACATCACAAGATGACACCGCAGAAAATGAAGCAAATGAACAGAACTTAAATGAAAGTGCAGAAGAAAAGGAAGAAGAGAAAGAAAAAGAAGTAAATGTTCAAGATCATAAGAAAGAAATTGTCGAAGAGGCGAATGGAAAACTGAAAGATATTTTAGACGATTGGCAGGATGAAGAAAATTATTCAAAAACTAATGAGGAAGCTCAGTTAACAGAAGATACTCCTGTCGTTTCTTTGGAGGAGATGAAAAGTGAAAATGATTCTAAATTAGAAGAGAAGAAAATATCCGAAGAAAAGAATGATGAGGACATTAAAAAAGAACTTACAGAGTCAGAAGATGCTCCAATAGTAGAAACATCTGAAAAGAAGGAACTTAAAAATGATCTACCAAAAGAAAGTTCATCAACTACTGAAAAATCAATGGAAAAATCAAAAATCATCACTGATTTACTCGAAGAGTGGAATGACGATTTATAAGAATTTAATTTTTAAGATAATCTTTTTTATGTGTTTGCAATATTTCGATAATTTTTGTTCTTTTCTTTTATTTTAAAACTGCTAATCAATTTTTTATCAATTTTATCGGACAGGTAAAAAAAAGAAGCAAACATTTCAAGACAAAATTTCTTGCGAGTCTTTGAAACTTCATAATTGAACTAAATAGAGAAAAAAATAATAAGATTATAAGAGAAGTAAAGTAAAGTATAAATAAATAGATAATAATGAAAATCTTATTTTATTCAACTAAATACCTAATTATATATTACAGGATTTTTAATTACTGGCTTTTATTTGTTGTGTTTCCTCCCATGGTCTTGGGCCCCGAATATTTTCCCAATGATCAATGTCAATTTCCTTCACTTTTTCATACACTTTCTCTAATGTCACTTCCTCTGGTTCTTTCATTTTTACTCCCTCCGCTTCTAATTCATCAGGCCTAATGGTTTTCTTTTGCGCATATTGATATCTAAAATAAAAGTACCTAGTAAGATTAAAATGTTAACATAAAATCGTAATCAACCAACCGCAGTTGTGTAAATTCTTTTAATGCAAATGATCCACCAAGAATTAGCACAAGAAATGGAGTACCATACTTAAATGATCTTCTTTTTGATAACTTTTGAAATTTTTCAACAAGATTCATTGTTAAACATTTGTTGTGACCAAAATTAAAACATTTTTCATTGGAAAAAACATGCTTATGATGCCCTCAATCAAGTTGCGATTTAAAAAGCGCTTTTGATAATTTCATCGTTGATTTAAAGAGCAGAAGATTTTATGATAAAATTCTGCAAAAAGAATATTCCAACTAAATTATATTCATGTTACTAAATATAAAAGAATAATACTAATAAATAAATCAAATAATCCGTTCAATATTGTTATGTCATGATGATGTTACTAGGACACGCCGCCAATTTAAAACGTTCTTCGAAAATTTAGGAAATTCAAAGGGTGTTTACGTCGACACACACCACCATTTATTTTTTCCTCATTTAAGTTTTCACATAATTTGATGCATAAATAATGTCGCAAGTGAAGTTTACTGATGGTAAGTCTCTTTAATCTTTCAAAAACATTTCAAAAATCACGAGCATGGACGAAAAATGTGTTCTTTCACATCAAATTCGCTTTTTTCTTTTCGGATATTATAATGTTTTGTTTACATTTTTTTAAATTTTCTTCTTAAAAATTGTAGGCGAAAAAGTTTTGTGCTATCATGGTCAGCTTATTTATGAAGCAAAACTGCTTAAAACTCAGGTAAAGGACCGAACAGTTAAATACTACATACACTATGCTGGGTGGAGTAAAAACTGGGATGAATGGGTCCAAGAGAATCGCGTACTGAAATTTAACGAAGCGAATGTTCAACTGCAAAAGGAAATCCAGAAGAAAATGGAAAACTCTACTAAAATAAGCAAAAAAGCAGCAAAGTCCGGTTCAAAAAAAGTGTAAGAATTGTAACTAATATTTTAAATGTTATGTCTCAATGAATGTTGATCAATTTAGTGACTCTTCTTTCGATGATGCCGCAACATCGCGCTCCTCAACACCTTCCAAAGATGTTGGTAAAGATTCAACACCACGATCAAGAGGATCAAGTGTTAAACCAACAGCATCAACATCTACGACCTCGAGCAAAGAATCCCGATCAATCGACGATGATATCATGAAAAAGAAACGTCAACGTCTTGACACTTCAGTTTCAAATGAAGGCGAAGAGAAGATTAACAAACCTGAAATAAATATTTCGATTCCAAAAGACCTGAAAACTTTCCTCGTAGATGATTGGCATGCTATTAACAGTCAACATAAATTAGTGGAATTGCCGGCAAAAATAACGGTTGAGGAAATTGTTGACAAATACAAGCAACATAAAAAATCAAAGTCAAGTGGAAGTGGCGCTGGTAAAGGACAGTCCTGTGAAGACATCTCCAATGGAATATTGGAGTACTTTAATGTGATGCTTGGATCGCAATTACTTTATAAAGTCGAAAGAACACAATATGCTGATATTCTTCAGAAATATCCGGACAAGCCAATGTCTCAAATCTACGGCGCATTCCACTTGCTTCGACTATTCGTAAAACTCGGCACTGTGTTGTCGTTTACAACACTTGACAAGCACAATATTCGTGTGCTCATTGGACATCTTGGAGAGTTTCTTAAATTTCTAGAGAGTGAGCAGAAAGAGTTCTTTACAATGTCGAGCTTTAATCATCATCAAACAAGCGAATATCTGAGACGCGCTAATCAATAAGCTGTCACCTTATAACATTTTCATTTATTGGCAATTTTGTTTTAAAGAACCTTTTTTTATAATTGAATAAGTATAATCTATGGGAAGTATCTGAAATCAAATAATCTGCTGCTGAAATAAAGGCAAAGACGATTGCATAAAATAAAAGTTACGAACTCAAATAAAGGAAAAATAAAAGAAAAAATATTTTTTTTGTGATTTGTGTCTTAAAATTTAATTCTCAACTTTCAATGACTTTACACACAACAAAATTATTACTTTTATGAAAGACTAGAAGGACTTTTTACTTCTCGTTGGTAAAACGCTGCTCTTCGCTGATTTGAAGAAATTCAATAAGTTTTGCCGCTTCCTCGACGAGAAATAATTTGTCACAACGTCATTATCATTGCTTGGAACTTCTTGATAGGATGGGAGCACCTGATCATTTGCTGACAAACTAACAAACAGTGAAAATGGCACGAGCCAAAGACATAATGTAAAATATCCTAAAATCTAATTATACAAAAAATTGTAAACATTAAAAATTTGGCACTTATTAGATATTTAAAATAGCTAAATAATTACCTCCGACAATGAATAGTAAACCTCCTGAAAATGCTTATATGCTAAATAATGATTGAGCAAGAGAAGAATCACAGCGCTCCAAAACTCAATGGATAATATTTTGATATTTGGAAAATTCCTAAGTATTGCTAAGTGTATAAAATGTGCAAGTACACCACAGATAATCAGTGTCCAAGTGAATTCTTCACTTATAATCAGCAACAAATAGATTACTATCGTTACAATTGTTATTAATTTTATAGCTTTTTTAGCTTTTTCTGTATATTCTTCAACTATTTCACTTATGTAATAGAGGCCAGCAGCAAACGATATGGTCACAAAACAGATATGGACGAGGATTGAAACATAGCTCAATAAATATAAAGCAAAACCCATTGCGATATGTCTACTTATGATAATTGTCAACAAACTATTGAGTGCGTTCAGTTTATGAAGATAAATGAAATGAACGGTTAGGAAATTTTTGATTTCAATAACGAACGGCTTCGAGCATGTTGAAATTTTTTTCCTTTGCAACTAATCATGATAATTTAAAAGGATACTTTAATAATCTTTTAAGAGAACTCATTGATTGTCATTTTGATACTTATATACCTAGTTTCCCAAAGTATTTGAAGTTCATACATATGTCATATATTTGATATATGATTCATTATTTTATCTAAAAAACCACTTGCTTAGCTCTCCTAATCCCTAAAATTTTCTTCTTTTTTTTCATTCAAAGAGATATTTGAAAAGAACAAATACAATTCATAAATTTTCTACATGAGTAAGTAAGGTTTAGAAACATGATGAATTTTATTGGTAAAATATGCGAAACTCTCAAGGCTTTTATTAATTCATACCCAATGCCTTTTATGGAGAAATAGGTGAAATTTTTTTTCTGATGATAATTTCAATACCTGCAGGAAATTTCTGTTGACAACTTCAATGGTTTTATTTCATGAGAGGTTTGACACATCTAATGATATTTAGTTTAGTGGTTTACTCTACCTATAAAAGCTCATTTTTTATGATTCATTACTTAAACCATCATTTAAGATTTTATTTCTTCTTGTAAAAAGCGATCCTGATAGATCTAAAATTTCTAAAATAAAGTTAAATTTACTTTCTAACTAATTGAATCTTTAACCATTCCGACTTAAAAAAAAAATCAAGAAAATGTGACGTCATAACAATTTTCCACACGCGCTCTGTCTAAAAGTGCTGTTGAAAATCTCAGAAAACAAGAAAAGAGTGGTGGGGAGACAGGATCGAAAATGGTGGGGAGTGTAAAGATAAGAGTAACTTTACCCGTTGTAAGTGTGTGATCATCAACGAGCAGTGAAAAAACGGCGAGAAGTAAAGAAAAAAAATTAAAAATAACAAAATCGAAAAAAATTCAGTAACGTTTTCTTCAGTTCGCCATCAAAACTGTTCAAGTCGCGGATTCAGATTCAAGTGTAAGTGGAAATTTCTTGTTTTAATTATTTGACTGAGAAATTCAATGAAATTTACGGAATTTTAAATGAAAGTAGATTTAATATTGTAAAGTTTCTTCAACATATTTTTAATTGTGGTGATTTTTGAACAAATATTGAAAAATTTGATGTTTTGCGATATAAAAATTTTTAAGCTGTTCTTTAATGCGTGTTGTTTATTTATAGGACGATAGTGAAAATTTTGTTCTCTTGAACATTCTTAAACGATTTAGTTTCCATTTCACAATTTTCTTGAAAAATGATTATTTTAAACCACAATTCTGAAAGCTGAGATTAATTCATTTTTTTCCCATTCAAGTTGTTTATATTTATGGCATGTCAAGAATATGAGTAATCCCAACTGTTAAAACTTACGAACAATAGTTTTTAAAATGCCTTTCCTTCTTTTTTCTTTTATAAGAAAGTGAAATATCATAACGTGTTTGATTATGCAACACTTATATAGAATGAAGATATCTTTATTATTACAAAATTATTGCAAAATATTTCCTCGTGTGATGATATAAAAGTTAAAAATGACGAGAAAAAAAACTTTCGAACGTTTCTCGTCCACACAGAGAAAAAAGTCTAATTTAAGATTTGCTTGCGAGACCCTTTAAATTTTCGCTTACACATGCTCAGGGCATCGGGTTGTCGTCTCTTATTGAGGTCGTGAATCATTTTGGAGAAATTCCTTCAAGCTCATCTCAAGAAATTAATCACGACAACAATCATAGTCTCGATAAAAACCATTCGTACCATTCCTTTTCAACTATTTCAAGTTTAATAAATCTGACACCTGATGTCCGTTTCTGAATTGAATATGACCGCTTTCGTTTACCAATTGTTCAATTAAATCGAATGTATAATCAAAGCTTGTTGACCATGAAATTAACAAAACATACAAGTCCCATACGGGTGAAACATTTTTTATTTATCATATAAATGTTAAATGATCAACATACATATATCCCTGATTCGTTAAATAATTTCACAATGCAAAACGTTCCTTAATTCTTATTTAACAATGAATAAATTATACAAAATGATGTTTCACAATTTTATTACCTATCTGTTTTCCTTTTAAATAGTTTAACGTTACCTTTAGACATTAAGACATTAACATTTCTCATGAAATAAAAAAAAAATCTGTTAAATGATAATGGATCAGGTTACACATTGGGGAACTCACTAAATATTGAGTCAACTAATTGAAACAAATTGAGTGATTATTCACACATTGCAATAATTTTATTTTCATTTATCACTACAGTTGAACCAGCAGTTTTTGTGTAAAATAGTTTTAGTGTGAAGAGGTAAACCAAAAACCAATAAATCAGCCAAAATGGATGCGATCAAGAAGAAGATGCAAGCTATGAAGCTTGAGAAGGATAACGCATTAGACCGCGCACTTCTCTGTGAACAACAAGCCCGCGATGCCAACACCAAAGCTGAAAAAGCTGAAGAAGAGGCCCGCACTTTGCAAAAGAAGATCCAAACCATTGAAAATGATTTGGATCAGACACAAGAACAAGAAACTGCCGTCAATGGCAAACTTGAAGAAAAGGAAAAGGCCCTCCAAAACGTGAGTGAATTAATGTTTTATTAGTAATTTTTTTTTAAAAAATTAAATAAAAATTTAATTGAAAATATTGCAGTCACTTTTATAAAAGGGTGGCATAAGTCATAAACTTCAACCTCATTCCAAAATGACTTGAGATCCAGAACGAAATTTGCTATTCTTATTTTATAAAAAGGCATATTCTACTTCAAGGATGAAACTCATTTTCCACATCATGTTTATGTGTGTAAGAGAGAAGAAAATTTTTCTGATCATATTTTATTTTTAAGTTTTGAAAAAATTCGGTTACGCCAGGCCAAAAAAAGACATTTCGGTTCGTTTCAACAACGATTGCGCCGACGAGAGCAGAAAAATTTTTACGAGAAAAGTGCGGATATCTAAGATTTTTCATGTGGGGGAAGTTAAAACATTGCGATTTAGCGAGTGGGAAAGCCGAAGATGATTTTTTATAAATAGATTTAAAGAAAAAATCTAGAGAATGACATCAGCTACAATTCGTACAAGATTCTTTGATCGATATTTTTTTGCGTTATTTAAAAATAATCCTTTTCAAAAGAGATTTTTTTGCAACTACTCTCAAACCATATGACTAAGAGGATTCATGATGTCATCATGAACTGTTAAGTTTAAGAAAAAAAAACTATTTAAAGCGGGATATGCATTCTATCTTTACCTCATATTAGATTGAGTGTCAGTGCGGAGCAAGTTCAGCATCGCACGCTTGAACCAATTTTCTGTTTTATTCTCGAAGATTGAAAACACATTTTTAAGAAAGAAAAAGATAGAAGAAAAAATTCCATACCCGCTTACGACCGAAGAAACAGCGAGAGAATAAAATTCGTTTCCAAGGCATGATGATGATCGGGGTTTTGAGGAGTAATCGTAAAAACACCAGTCGCGTTTCAAATCGTTCAAGTAAAATTCAAATTTCGTTGACGCTGAGTAAAAGAAATAGTTGCTCGAAGCGAGTTAAAGAAAAAGAAAATCGTACGACGAAAAAAGCAAGTCGACCATCGGCGGTGAGAAGTGAGTAGGATTAAAAAAAGATATTGAAGAGAGAAATCCCTTGACGAAAATTCTGGTAGACGAGTGAAAAGCAATTTAAAATCAATTTATGTTGGAGTTTTGTAAATTTCAATTATCTCTAAAAATAGATGTCAACTTTCCTTCCACATTTTTAAAAGCTTTCACCTTCCGTTAAAATTACAAAATTCAAAATAAAATGATTGTAGAGTTTTCACACAATATCAGAGATCGTAACTGCGGTTTAAACCAGTTGCATATTCATTCTTATTCAATCAAAACATTTTTGTAGAGTCTTCACTCAACAAGACAAATAAAAAGAATGTGATAAAAATTGATAACGATATAAAAATGACTGAAAGAAGTGCTCAAGGATCAACACGGTCTCGACGTGGTCATCAAAATCATCCAAAAAATATGGGCATGAGGACATCAAACGTACCAACGAGCGAAATTATTCAGGCACTAAGAGATGGGAGAAATCTTGAGACATTGTTCAATCAACAACAAACAAAACAAGTGACTGATAAGCAACTGACAGCTATTAACAGAAACATATCAAAGCTTAATGAGAAATGTGATGATTCCAATAAGGACTTGGAAAAAAGTAATTGTAACTTAGACCTCATAAATAAACGAAATTCCTCGTCATCGTCATTAAATTCAACACCGTCCGAAAAGAGCGGAAAGAAGTCCAATAAGAATCATGAAGGGAAGAAAAAACGAAACAAAACATCACAAACTGACATCACAAAGATAGCACGTCCTGCAGCTGATGGAGCGGAAGATATTACTGATGAAGACGACGCTGAAACAGCTGAGCTGGCGAAACTCAGATGTACAAGCGAGAGAACTGAAGTGATAGCAGAACGAGAACATCGAAGACAGAAGAAATGTGCCGATTATCCGGGTCTTGCTTTTGGCCGTTCCATTTTTAGTTCCGATTCGATGATGAAATTCAACATCATTCGAAATGAGCTTCAAAATATTATGAATAATCAACTCAGGAGGGTAAGACAATTCTCAAAAGGACAGAACATTCAGAAATTTCTGTCTCAATTCTCGTTCAATAATCGTCCGATTTAATTTTAGGATTATCAGATTCATTCGCAAAAAATTTAAGAAATTTTTTTTTGCAATCAAAAAAACACTAAAACATTGTTAAGTGAAAAAAATCGGTGTGGGTTGATCGTGTGATTTTATTCGTTTCGTTCTTTGTTAATAACTGCACACGAAAAGTGTGTGCAATAGAAAAATATTCTTGATGTTTAATCGATAGAATAATATCCAAGAAGGAAACGCCCAGAGTTAATATCTAAATTTTTTTCTTTCTTACTCAAGTAGTTTTGTCATTGAGAAATGTTTAATGAATAAACATTTTCTTTTCGTGTCATTGTGTCAGGGAATAGTATGGCTAAGATAATTCACGTTAGACAAAGATTCATTTGCTTTTTTAAATTCTGAAACCCTGTGCAGCTTTCTTTTTGTAATTCACGGACTGCTTAGCGCATATTTTGCTCTTAAAGTGCGTCATACTTACATATATAAAATGGCAAAATTCATGCAAGACGTATGTACGGTAAAACGATAGAAGAAGATGAAATTGTGAGATTTTGCACATTTTGCTTCTGGCTTTAGTCACACACATATGTATGTCGATAAAAATAAACATCATTATAGAAAGAAAAAAATCACATTATCCAGAAAAAATTATTTGAAAACTTTCAATATTTCCTTTATTCATCAATTATTAAAAGCAAGATAAACCTTCAGATATTAGAAAGCTGACTGAATGTCTTACTTCTGCTAGACGCTCTATCGAGAAAATCCTCGTATCAAGACCGCGTTATGTCAGGAATCCACTGTAAACTCAAAAGATTGCATTAACACTCGCTAAATCTTCCGAAAAAGGCAATAAAATTTACGTGTGAAACAGCTTTTGACTTTGAATAAGTAAATATTTATTTATAAGGTGCCTTTAATTGCAAAATATGAGTGCACGAGTAACTGCTCAATTGATTAATTAAATTGATATTTTTTAAGAGAATGAAAAAGAATTGCAGAAATAATCAAAAGTCTTCAAGATTCATTTCTTTACTGACGTTTGCAAAACAGACATGATCACGTATTTAAAAATTAAAAAAATTAATGACATTGATGTACAAACAACGGCAAATGTTTTGTACACTATCATGCTCGAATGGCGATAAATGAATCCAAAACTAACATTAAACATTTATTTCTTTGGCCGGAAGTTGCACCCGCAAATAAATTCGATTTCATAAACAGGTGTATGAAGTAGTTACTATGAAGAATATCAAAAATACACCACGATTTATTAAGAAATAATTATTTAAATCTATTTCGTAATTGACCTGAGAAAAGATTAGTTGTGATTGAAATCATACTTAAGCTCTAATTTTTATTAAGAAAATTTCTACAAAAATTTTAGCTCGAAAACAATCGTTAAATTTAAAAGCAAAACTTTTTAAATTGTAAGGTTTCTATGACCATCCCAAATACATCTCGGTAGACGGCGCTGCTATAGTACGAATTAGGTTCGCCCATTTTTAGTCATTCGCGAGTGTTTTCCATTGAATTGCAGTGATAAATTATACATTTCCTCTTAAATAAGACAAATTGATCGCGAGTTTAAGTTAACCGCTCAGCATTTAAAATATTTTAATCATTCCAAATCGCAAATTTGTGTTCAAATTTTAGTGTTGAAAAATAAATCGATATAAGAGAAAAAAAATTCCAAAATTTTTGCGGTGTGCAAGAAGAAAAAGAAGAAATTCTCGATTCTTAAAGAAAAAGAAAAAAAGAGCAGAGCCACTTGTTTTGCAGTAAAAAGCAATAAGTTCAAATTTCATAAAGTTTTAAAGTAAACCTCGATTTATACAAAAAGAAAATGACGACGAATTTGCAACAAGGCACTCTTCTTGACGTTCTCAAGAAGAAAATGCGTCAAACAAAAGAAGAAATGGAACGCTATAAGGATGAATGCGAGGAGTTCAATCGCAAACATCAGCTTGAAGCGAAAAGACGTGAAGATGTGAGCTATTTTGACACCTTTCGTTAATGAAAAAATATTTTTTATGATCTAAGATCCGAATAATTTCGGAAAAGTTTTCGTTTCTGAAACTTACCCAAAGGAAGACATAAATATTCATCAAAATAAAAAAATCATGCTGTCACATATTTTTTTCGTGCATTCACGACCAAGAAAAGTTTACTTCTTATTCTTATTGACTAGTATTTAACTTCGTTGAATCATATCAAATCAACAGTCGATTCGGTAATAAGTAGTATACAAAGTTTATTTTGATAACCGAGTGTTTCTACCGGAATGAAACATGTCTCAGTGTGTGTGTCACATTAGTAATTTTTCTATATTTGGCATTATGTTCCTATAGCGGTTTATGTTCGAAGCTATGTCATTTTCTGCGAAAAGAAAAAAAATCACAATATGTTGCTAAAGCAAATCGTGATGGATTAGATGGGCATTGAAATCAAATCAATGGCATGGAGAGGTCTGAATAAGTTTTTGAACCACACCCGTGAGAATTTCACCTTGTTGCCATTTCTTTTGACTCTTTTAAAAGTAATTCTCGCGCCGGAACACGTACAAAAGTTGTTTTTGCAAAATGAGAAACATAAACATGGCGAAATACTGTAGGCTGACGTTTCAGATTATTTTCTTGCGATGCCTGTGTTTTTTTTCGGACGTTGGTTCTTTTTACAATTCAGGTCATTGTTCTTCATGCTCGACTATGTAGGGGTAAACTGAATAATAATGATGACACAATTTTAAAGTCGTAGAGAGGACTAATAAGCCTAAGAAAATATTTTACTATTTTGCAAATATTTCTTATTGAATTAGTCACCATCTTCAAGGTGAAATTCGATACTAAAGTATTTGAGTCTGCCTTCAAACATTTTTATTCCATAAACGGTAAAGTCCGATGGCAAAAGGTTCGAAATGAAGGTGAAAGTATTTGATGATGGAATTTTCTCGCGATCTTGTATCGTTCGACACATTTTTTAATGGGTTCCAATGAAGTTTAAGATATTATGAGTGTCTTCAACCGATCTTCACATAATGTGATATTTTTTAACGGAGGTTTTATTGTCGAGAGATAAACATGAAAATTCAGTTTAAGATTTGAGATGAAACTTGACTGAAATCTATTCGAACTAAATTTATGTTCCATACTTAGATGAAAAGTCGCGTTGTTATTTAAATTAGCTTAACGGTGGATCAGTGAAAACTAGAGTTTTTGAGGAAGTTTGGTACGAAAGATGAATTAAACACCAATTAAATTTAGACCAGCAGTGACTATACAATGAAAGCAGTAATTTTATTACAATAAATGAATTGTCTTAAAAATATTATTTTAATACTCTGAGAATGCGTCTACCAGCTTTATTTTGACCGGATTAAGTCATTTGAGTTGAGTCCATTCGAAGAAAAAAATGTGCCACGCTTTTTAGTTAGATATTCACTTCAAGTGGCGTTCTCATTCATGTGGGATTCCCATCTACATTTTGTGCAAATTCAGTTTAATTGCCAACATCATTTTTATATGTCTTTTGTCCATTTTATGTTAATCATGGCGTAGATTTCTTTAAAAAAAATTAGAAATTCCAAAAACGAACCGCCCGAAGATGATTTCCAGAATTCCAAACACTAAAAACCATGAAAATAAAAATTTTGTGATAACTTCATTTTCTGTTGTTGCTAGTTTCGTATGAAACTAATTAGCATATATCATCTGACGTCACGAACATTGACTTCTCCAATGATTATCATTGTAACTTACAATTTATAAAAGCAAACTTTTAATGCTCTAACGAACAATTTTCAATTTTTCGCTAAAATCTTTGGTGCTTTTGTTGTTTAGCAATTAGTTTCAATCACAAAGCATTTCATAAAACTTTTAACGGAATAGAAAAAAAAATTCAACAACAGCTTCATTTCCATGCGTTTTGATTATTCCGCTTTGTAACTTAGCTTGAATTGTCTGAAATCGATACACTTCTATGCATTATTGGGGAAGTTTATTTGTGAATGAGTTGGTCTGTTATTTAAACATCTAACTACAAAAAATTCAATCATATTTAACCATAAATGAACTCAAACTTGTGCCGATCATCTAACTTTTTCCCTAACAATTGATTACAAATTATGTTGAAAAGCTCATATTATTGGCAGCTATACAATAAAATGTTAAACATCCGGTTGTAATTGCATAGAACTTTTTTCGGAAACACAACCGATTGGTTCAATAACTTTTTTAACTATTTTATCGACTTCTGTTCCATTGCTGAATGGATTTTAGTTTTCGTAAAAATATGCCGAAGTCATGATAAAAAATGGTGAAATGATTCATCATTTAACATCTCTCGATAAGTCGTGAGTTAAGTTTGTTTTGATAGACATCAAGATTTTCTTACCTAACAATCTTTATTTGGATTAAACGATAATTAAGAAATTATCTTAGCGCAACATATTTTTGATCTTGATCATACAAATAACTTTTAAAGTCACTCTCTTACTTATTTAATTTAAGTCATCTCTCAAATTAGAGTAAGATGAATTCAGCCTTTACTTTTCATCGTACAATTAACAGTTACTTCATTCGTAATAAGCATGGACAAGAAGAAAAACCAACCGAAAAAAATACCATTTTGAATGAATATCAATCTGAAAGAATTTCAAAGAAGTAAGAAGAAAAATAATTTTACATTACGTGCGCTCAATGTTGACTTTATAAGGAAGAAAATGATATTTCTTTATGACCGCAATATTCGAAACTAAAATCAAGAGAAGGCCAAAATCTAAAGAATTTTTTGTACGATACTAACGGACGAAATGTTAAGAAAAAAACACAAAAAATATGCGAACGATATGAGTCAGATCACGGAGACAACAGTAGAACTCCCGAAAAACTTTAATACAAAGACAAAGATGAAAAAGAGTTAAGCATAAGAAGAAAAAAAGCATTGTTGAAAGTTGAACAAATGCCGGTAAGAGTTGAGAAAAAATTAAAATATCTAAATACTGTTAGGCATAAAAAATAACAATTAGAACTGACAACGAATGATTATCCAATATCTAATGAATTAATTTCATTGTATGACTACATCAAGTTCTGATCTTTCTCTCAAGTCCTTCAATTAGAACAACGAAAAAGAGTTTTTCATTATGTTAACCGGTTTCTACTATTATTTCATATTTTGTGTTGTTGATTGTGTTGAGCAAAAGATTTTAGTAAAGAAATCTTCGTATAGACGCACGATCAACATTTACACAACTATAAAATTCATATTCACTTGTCAGAAATGTTTAATATGCTGTAGAAGAAATTTGTTGTCATCGCATTTTAATTTTGTCTAGAAGACTTCGTGGCATTGAGACAACAAAATTTAGTTATTTAAGGCACAACGACGACGTTGATTTTCTTTGGTTGATCAGTTTTTATGTGACACATGATGATGAATTTTTGAAGAATGAATATCTGATATCCTTACAATTAAGTCAATTCGAATATAAATTTCGTAATGAATCTCAAGAAATAAAAATTCTTGCATTGAATTTCAATCAAGAAATCTCTCAAGTCGAATCGAATTGTAATTCTCTTTGCTTGTTCCCATTTGCGGAACGATCTACTAAAACATTGCAGGCTGAATCAGAAGTCGCTGCTTTGAACCGTCGTATTCAATTGCTGGAAGAAGATCTCGAACGTTCAGAAGAACGTTTGGCTTCAGCTTCTGCCAAATTGTCAGAAGCTTCAGCTGCTGCTGATGAGTCAGAACGGTAAGTTTCAACTTCGTTGTGTTGAAAGAAAAACTGGTTTCGAAAGGGAAAAAAGAATATTCGCGTAGATTTTAGCAATCAGATCAGAGAGTAGTAAAACTAATTGTCGGTTATAAATTCGCAACTGCAGAATAAGAAAAGCGTTGGAAAATCGCACAAACATGGAAGATGATCGAGTGGCAATTCTAGAGGCTCAGCTCGCTCAGGCTAAATTGATAGCTGAAGAAGCTGACAAGAAATATGAAGAGGTAGAAAAACTTTTGATGGTGATTAAAGTTCTGGTTAGGAAAGAAAGTTAGGGTAGTTGTTAAGAAATTTCAGAATGAAGCTGAACTTGGAAGCAGACTGCAGGAGTTAAATTATTATTAACTTGATTCGACATGACTCTAATAAGTTCCTCTTTTATTTATTTTTTTCCTCTTCCATCATTCCAACTCATCAGTGCTCGTAAAGTTCTTGAAAATCGTGCACTTGCCGATGAAGAGCGCATGGATGCTCTCGAAAATCAATTGAAGGAAGCTCGCTTCCTCGCTGAAGAAGCCGACAAGAAATACGATGAGGTGCAAAAAATGGATAAAATTACTTGATTCGCTTATTTTGGTTGTTGTGTGAAATGTGTTGTGTTCAAATGTTGAATGCAGATGGTGAAAGAAGATGATTTGATCTAAAAAGAAAACAAACTTAACATTTTTGCCGACAAATTATGTGCAAATAACTTGCCTTAGAAACTCTCGCAGTTTCATTCAATATTAGATATGTAGACATAAAAATGATTCTATTTAATCCCAAAGAGAGATTATGATCACAATGTTTTCCTTAATATTCATTCTTGCGTGCTTTGCACGACTCAAATATTTTCAAAAATTTAACATGAATCCGTTAAGAAGTAATGATGATTGCTATAAATTATAATTTTTATGATTTCTTTTCTTTCTCGAATATATTCGTATACTTTTTATTGTGTGTTGTTTTGTAATTTCGGTGGAGAATTAAACCAAATAAATTGCTAGTTGTTGATGAAACATATTTGCAATTGTCTCGATGATGAGACATTAACGATGGTGCTAAGAAGCTCAACCTTGTGGCGAACGTAAAGTTATCGAATTTTAATCGAACTGTTTAAGTCGCGTGTCTTATAAAGAAATCAACATCTTTCGTTAATCAATGAAAAGTTCGTCAATTGCGTGGGTGTTTTCCTCCTTTCTGCTCCCTTGTTTCGTTTGTTGAATTAAGTATTCAGATGAATGAATATCTTCCGTAACGACTTCCGTACAGAGGCTCCCACTATGAATCTCGAGACAATCATTGAGATAGCAAAGCAATTGACTATTTCATTGATGAATGAGAGATTTTGTTGAATAACTGAAGCTGTTAGAAATGGAACAAAAGAAATCATAATTCAGTAATAAATTTATTGTATTTTATCTTTATTCTCTTTTCATAGGAAAACAAATTTAATATAAAAAATTATAATCTTTTCTAATAATGATTTTTAATAAAAAGAAAGAAAAATTCATCAATTCAATGATAATTAATATTAAAAATGTTGAAAATAAAATAATAATGGAAGAAATGTTACTTTTGATTTGTTGTTTATTAAAAGATTACCTACTTAGACGCGTAAAGAAATTGGAAAGCATCATGATTATTTATTTATTTTTATTTCAGGAAAAGCATTTTTTTTGCTCGCACATTAGTTGATGATTTTTTGTGATTTTATTGGCAATTTCATATATCTTTTAAGACACCATGTCATTAATACTGTCGTCACTAGTTTAAAATTTTCTTTAAGCTCCATTTTTATGACCTTTCGTTCCTTAAATCGTTATAAGTAGACATTTAAATCAAAACTATCACACAGTCTGATATATCTACAAATTCCAATGAATATTATTTCACTTCATATCATTTCCAAATGATCAATCAATGAACTAGAAATGATTTTTTAACACATTTATGCATTTAAAGTGAACATGTCTTTTGTAAATGAAAATATTTTCCATATTGTTTTGACCGTTTAATTTTCATTCGTCTACATCACCATAAAAGGTCAAAATAAAAAAATATAAAATAATAAGAGACTGTTGAGCTTTGTGATGGGAAATGTCCATAATATAGTAATATCCATAAATAGACAAATCTTAATAGACAGCGATTAAGAAGTGATTCAGTGACTTTGTAACGTGGTTTTCATTGCCGATAATAATCACCAACTTTGATTTTTACATGTGCGAGGTTTAACGAAAAGGCTTTTCCTTGTCTGGGGAACTAGCACGAAATAAAAAAAAAATCATAATTTCTCAATGTGAATCGGATGGGTGTGCAATGAATGAGAATTTGCTGAACTAACAATGATGTTTTTGTTTCCGAAAGCATTAACCAACTTGTTGCGCTTCCCTTCGAGTGTTTTGTCGTTGATTGATCTTTCTCTTACATGGGAAAATTTTTAATTCAATTTTTCTTCTTCTTCAACTCCATCAAATGTTATTAAACTCCCAAACGTTTAGGTCGCCCGTAAATTGGCAATGGTTGAAGCTGATCTTGAACGTGCTGAAGAACGTGCCGAAGCTGGTGAAGCGTAAGCCTTTCATATTTTACTTTCCTTGTTGTTTGACTTTGTTTGATTTTACCTTCTGGAGTTTAAAATTTAATCTTACATTGATGTTCCGATTAATCGAATGATAATTTATTTTCGCAGCTCATAACAAGCATGAAATATTTTACAGGTCGCCGCCGCCTATAGACGTTTATTTCTTTCTATGAAATAGATTCGACTTTACGAGGCAAAACATTGTGAAATCTTAAAATGCTGTCACGTAGTCATAATTTAGTTAATAAGTTGAGCTAGATTTAATTTTTTCCTAACCAAAAATGATTTTGTTTGCTTTAAATTGACAACTAATCGAATTTTGTTTCATTTCCCTCGCTAATTGAATCGTGATATTGTTTTTGCTGTTGTTTGCTAAAAAATTCAACTACAATTTCTGTTGCATCTAACAAAAAACAAAACGAATCGCTGATTAGGTTGCCAGGAAGCTGGTATTGATGGAACAGGATTTGGAACGCTCCGAAGAGAAGGTCGAACTTAGCGAAAGGTTTGTTTGATTTTAATAAATTTGCTTTCGTTTGCTAGTAAAACTTTTGATTGATAATTTATCTATCATTCGCTATTTAATCAATTAATTGAAATTGTTTGATTGACTGAAGCGCACAGCATTTTTACATGAAGGTTGACATGAGAATTAGTCTACTTAACAGACTTACAGATTTCGGCGCAAGGTTTTGGTTGCTTGTAAAGACAAGCATGAAATTTAATTCACTCAATCATAACATCAATTAATAATCAAACATTCTACGTTTCAATTGATATTTTAAATATCCTTCCACATTAGAAAAAATGTTCAAATATCAAATCACTGTAAAGAGAAATTAAATATTTTCACAGTTTTATTATTTTAAATTAAAACGTAATTACATCAACAAATTACAAATGAATATCATGAAGGTTAAAAGAATAAAATATCATTTGAAATGTAAGCGAATGCATTCATCGATAAAAGTTATTAACGATATCAATATCTGTAAATTTTTCACTTCAACTAAATTTGTTTAAAATTCTCAACTTTTTTTTTATTTCGCAGTAAAATTGTTGAACTTGAAGAAGAACTCCGTGTCGTAGGCAATAACTTGAAATCTTTGGAAGTCTCAGAAGAAAAGGTAAATTCTCGTATTCATTTCAAAGGACAAATTACCAAGAAAAAAAAATTAATAAAAACTTTCAGAATATTTGCCAATATCCGTTCAAAAATGTTCCACTCATTATTGAAATTATTTTTATTTTTGTATCATTTTATTTTCTCTCAATCTTTGTCTCGCTATCGGTGATAAAAATACCCAAAATGAAATTATTCTAGGCCAACCAACGCGAAGAAGAATACAAGAACCAAATCAAGACCCTCACCACCCGTCTTAAGGAGGTTCGTTTCACCCTTCGGTCCTTTGTTTTCTTTCGCGAGTGGCTTTTTTGTTGTTGAAGTGACCTTAACTTAATTTATAAGGCGATATCTTTTTAAAGAAAGCTTCTGCAATTAATTTTTGACGTTGCTGCCCTTGGCTGACATTACGAGGTTACTTCATCTCTCAAATAAATTTTCTACTCCACCCTCAATCTAAAATGGAGCATTCATCGATGTTTTAGAGTTTAAAAGAATTAATTTTGTTTTCATTTTATTTGATGTTGTTTTTGAACTAACTTACATTTAAACTTAACATGAAATCTTAGGCCACACAAAGAGAAGAGACATTCGAGGGTCAAGTGAGAATATTGGAAGGAAACTTGAAGGAGGTACACAACACAAGTGTTGATTCTCAAATTGATAAAGTAGTTTAAGTAGCATAAGATTGTTATTGCATCAAATATACGTTCGTTTGTTTGGGAATTTTGATTCTTTCTGGGTGACAATTTCTTTATTTTTCTATTTTTTATCTGCATTGTTAATGAAACATTCCGTTGTACTCTTTACACGTAATCATTGAACTAAACGTCATCGTCAATGTTTTTTAAAGAATGGAGGAATATCGAGAAGTTCTTTGATATCATTCATGTTATAAAGTATAATCTTATCAAAAACTTTTTATCATTTACAATTACGCGATCGTGCAAGTAAATCTTTTCATACGACGATGACTTTGAGTTAATGCTGATGAAATACTACGACATTTTTCATATGTCTATCTGGTCTACTACTTATCAACCATTTGTCAACTTTTCTCTTCGTATTTTGGCAAAATATTCTTCAGTCATAACTTCTTAAATATTATTCATTAAATAATTATGATTAATTTCCTTCTGTTAAACCAATGAAAGGCTAACGCATCCCATGAAACTGTCGAAGCAAAAGTTCATCACATGAATGAAAAATTAACAGCTGTAAGTGTAAACTTTCATGAAGCCAACAGAAAAACACTTTATTTATCTTTAGTTTACAATTTTAAGCTAAGTCTCACACATATGAGTATTGCAGGCAAAAATGTTTCACTAATATCTATTAAATTAATTCCCACCCCCAAAAAGATTAATTATTTCTGATATTAGATTGGATAAAGATGACATTTAAGAACATTCTGAAAATATTTGCTAAAATACAGATTAAAAAGCAAAAAAGATTAATTTAAGTAGAAATGTAGAAGTAGATAGATTTAAGATGTTTTAAGACAAGGGGAAAACTTTTCTGGTGGAGGTAAAGTGCATATGAGTTTGTTTTACTATTTTATTTTATGGTGTAGCACAAAATTTGAATGTTGCTTTAGTTAGTTAATTCATAGCTTTAATTTATAAAACAGAAACTAAAATTTTAAAGTCATTTTTCTCTTCTTAAAATTCTTAGGCTGAAGCCCGCGCTGAATTTGCTGAACGTTCCGTTCAGAAATTGCAGAAGGAGGTCGACAGACTTGAAGGTACGTTAGTTGTGATTATCAAAGTTTGTCCCAAATTTTCCTTTAACACAAAAAAAGAAAACCTAAACGATTTTGCTACTTTTTTGTTTGTGTGAATTATTTTTTAAATGAAGAAACAGAAGAAAAAAATTTTTTCGTCTTAATGTGTGACACGCAATGATGTTATCTCGTGAAATTGAATGTGCCCCGATCGTTTCGAGAGAAATTGCCGGCGAATTATTTTCACACCATCTGCTTGCCACACATTTCATCCTCTCGCTTCAGAAATAAAAAAATATGAAGAGAAAAATAAAATGAAATATCTTAAAATAACTTCATTTTATTTCTTTGCGAGAAGTAAAATCATTTTTGTATAGTTTAGTCAAAGTTTTTACTTTTTGTGTTTGCTAATTTTTTTTTATATTTCTTTTCCTTTTTTATGATTTGATTGGAACCACGTTTGTTTGATGTTTTATTTTGTTTTGATTTGATGTTGTATTAACTTCCAATCTGACTTCGCAATGCTAATGCAATGAAACGAAAATCAACCAGACGAGTTATTGAACGAGCGCACAAAGAACAAAATGCTTAAGGAAGAAATGGAAGCAACTATACATGACATTCAGAACATGTAAACAAATTTCAACACACACACACATCCACATTACCTGTAGCGCCAGATCCTTTTGCGGATGAGTTTGGAAAAATCATTTTCCGTTTCGATTAATATAAAATGATTATAGCGAGAAAAGACAAAAAGAAAAACCACAAAAAAAATTCAAATTCCAATTATCGCCATTAAGTTTTAACAAAATAATTTTCATCTTTCGTCGCCCTTCAAGCCTTCGGCTTCAAGCAATTTACATTTTCCATAACTTTTCAAATAGAATTTGAGAGAAGTGTTCTCACACATTGAAATTGAGCTTTTTGAAAAAAAAATTATTGCACAGTGCAACATAAACACATTCAAAATACTTATATGCGTTTTGCATTTAAGAAGAAAATTTTCATATATTTTGGAGAATTTTATTAAAAAGAAGAGTAAATAATTATAAAATAATATTTTGTTGTTTAAAATAAGAGAAAAGATTTCGTAGGAAAATTCTTCTAAAGATTTTTCTCTCTCTTTAAAAAAATACATATTTAATCTTGTTTTATGTGTTTTTAGCGATTTTCCAAGAAAAACATTTTTAATTATTAGATTTGAAGTTGTTGTAACTTTTCAGTTCACACCCCCACATATTTTTCATACTTGTCGTTTTTGACTTAATTCAAAAAAGGATAGTCCAAACATTTCCAGTTATGACGGCTTAAATTTTCGATTTCTGATATGTCATATCTATACAGACGAATAATATGTGAGAAAGTAAGTTGAAAAGATGCATTGACATTCTCAAATGCAATAAGGAGAAATTAAATCGGACGTTACTGTTGCACTTTCTTTTCTTAATTATCACTTGGCGAAGAAATTTTAAAAATCAAGAAAATTTAATTTTTAAATTTTTTTTTTGTGTCGTATTATAATGTAAAGCAATTGGTTTATTTAAAAGATAAAAGAAGAAAACCATGAAGATTGTCAACACCCACGCAACACATTCAATAAATATAACATTTTACAAGTTAATTATGTACTGATGGACTACCCGGAAACCTCATATGAAGTCTCTGTTTTTTAATAACAACGTCAACTTTGAGGTTTTTAAACGTTCTGTATCAGATTTTGATCTTAAATAAAGCTTTCTAATTGCTTTTCCGCTTTCCATCAACAACTCTTAACTATTTTAGATGAACTTATAATAGCTAAGGAGCACTTTGCTGAAATAGGAGATGATCTTGACTTTACATTCGTTGACTTAATTGACGGTATTAGTCCAATTTACACATACCGTCGACCAAAACCACCAACCCCACCTCCAAAGGAACCAACGCCATCTAAAATAGAAACACCTGCAACAACTGCTGAAGGAGCAGCAGCTGGAACAGAAGGATCTCAAGCTGATGGTGCAATAGGAGAAGGAGCTCCTGGAATTTCAGCACCACCTAAAGAACCATCACCATTCGAGCTTCAGAAACATTTCCCACCAGATGGTGCTGAAGTTCCGTTTGTCAAATCTCATGAGAATCCAAATGCACCAGCGCCTTCTCCAGCACCAGAAGAGTCAACTGATGCACAATCAGCAGAGGCTGCAGCAGAAGCTTCCTCTGAAGCTCCAGCTGCTGATGCTCCAACAGCCGAAGAGATAGGAAGTGGTGATGCCGAAGGTGAAGTTCCAGCTTCTGAAGCACCTGCTGCTGATGCTGTAGCAACAGAAGAAGCACCAAGTGCTGAAGCCCCCGCTGAGACACCTGCTGAAGCACCTGCAGAAGCTACAACAGAATAAAGTCATTTGAAATGGCGCTCCCTTTTAGATTTTCTGATTCTGACCCTTTTAATGCTTTCACTCACCTGGAATAATGCTTTATACTCTTTTTTTACCGCAACCAACTTTTCTGATGCTTTTTCATCCTTAATGCAAATGAAGGTATTAACATGATGATATTCAAAGCTTCCTCTTCTAATTCGGATTTTTACTAAACTTAATTCTTCAATTGAAAGTCATGATATTTGCTACCGAAATTTGTTACTTTATTATTTTCTTCACCTAAAATTACAGACGAACTCGTTGCCGAAAAGGAAAAATACAAAGATATCGGAGACGACCTCGACACAGCCTTCGTGGAACTTATCCTCAAGGAATAAGCATCATGCTTACTTCATCATGGAATATTGTGACGTCTTTAAAAAACATCTCCTCACGTCTCAATTGCAAATCTGTTTACTTGAAACTTTCAAACTATTTATGTTTCATCTAATTCGCGTTAATCCCAAAACCCTTTTCTAACCCATTTCAACCAGATGAATTCACTATAATTTGTTTCTATTTATGCACCAAACTCTTAATTATAAGAAATTTATTTATATTTTTACGTTGTAAGCACCGTTAAACATCATCAGGTGGAATGTCTCAAGAAGGTTGAGTAAAACTGCAGATTGATCCCTTTTTGAGACATTCATTGTCGTCATCAAGATTGATTTCTGTTAGTCTGTTGTCGTAAGATCATTTAAAATGACTCTTTTTTTTATATTATTTTAATTGTCTCTATCAAATTTCCACATCACATGGATGAGGTGACAATCTAGTGGAAAAAAATCTGCGAGATTTGTGAATTATTTTCAAAATAATCTTGCTGAATTTAGTAATATTAGAAATGGAATAAAGAAGTTTTTATTTGAGCAAATCATATTATATTAGTTGTTAATTTTCTTTTTTTCTCTTATTGATTTGGGAAGGTTTGGTATTTGAAATGGGATTGAGTGATTTATTATTTAGATTTTGTAATCAGCACAGAGCTCTTTATCATTTGTTTGGAATTATTGGGTATATTTGGGAAATTATTGAAGAATATTTTCAGCTCTGAATTGGTTTTAAATTTTTTATGTTACAGATTGAACATTGGTTTTGTTAGAAGAAAAAAGTTTTGTTTTTAATAAATATTTGAGTTTGTAAGTAGAGAATCTTCCTTGCACCTTTCACTATCCCACACTTAACAACTCAATTCAACTCGAATGTTAGTAACAAAATATCCTTTTCCAAATTTATCTCTTTTAATTTTAGAGGAACTCGTGCAAGAGCGTGCCAAGTTCAAAGCTGTCGCAAATCAACTCGATTTAACTTATCATGAGCTTCATGGATGTTAAGAAAATCGTCATGAAAAGAAGAAATGTTCCGCTGATATATTGCTGCTTTATCAATGGATGACTAACCAAACCGATAAATGACGATTTTAGGGAAACAACAAAATATAAATATAATTTTTTATAAATACTTTAAAGACATTTGTCATAAATAATTATGATTGTTTTTCACTGCTTTTTAGAAACGAAGAAAATGATAAGAATTTCAAGTTAAATTTTTTTGAGGCTTTTCTCAGCAAATTTGTGCTTAATGTAAGAGATAAAAAAATAAAGAATTGATAATTAGATATTGTGACGCTGCCTCGAATATATTTATGGTTCTTTTATACATTCATGGAAATTAAATCCCGATGTTTTTGCTTGTTAATGAATGAGAGATTTGTTAAAAATTAAATGTCAAAAGCGTTTCTATTATCTTGGAAAGTTTCAGCTCTGTTTCAATGTGAGAAACATCAGTGAATAATATTCCAACGCTCGTTGAAAGCGAATATTACTTTCACAAAATTATTAACATAAATCTCCATTTCAAATCTTATTTCATAAAATAAAAGCATTTTCCCACTGCCTTTTCACAATTTTCCATTAAATATTCACGAACATTGAAACATTCCATTCGAAAATTCAAAATCAACTTAGAGGAGAAAAGAAGGAATTAGAATAAAGATTTTAAAAGAACAATGATTTTCACTTAACTCACTCCAGAAGCGTTTCAAACTTTACAAATTTTTAGTTTCTATGTAAGAAATAATTTACTTTTATTTGCAATAAAAAATGAGAAAATCATGAAACTTGTTTTTGAGTTCTATAAATAAGTTAAAAAAAATAATTTTCTCGAGAGCGAGGATTTTTACACTTTTTCAAATGATGAGTGTTATGTGTGCTCGTTGTGAGTTCCCACGCACCAGCAACAACATTAATGATGAGAAAGTAGAAGCACATTGAAAGTGGATTTTATACATTTTTTTTTCAATTTAAGTTCTGTTCCAGATTCTTTTGATTTCATTCGCAGCTATCAAAGGTTATCTTTAAGGTTTCGAAACAATATATGGAGAAGCTTTTTATAGAATCATAAAAACATATTTTCCACTTTTAAGCTTAACATTATTTTGTATTACAACATCCTAAAGATAAAAAGAAATATTATTCACCCACGCACCTACACATTTTTCTTTCGCTCATTCATCTTGAGCTCGTAAGAAATTTTTTGTGTTGTTTCAATGTAAGGAGAGAAAGAAAAACCTGTTTGCTGAAAAATCTAAAATAAAAAATTTCAACTTGCTTTTTTCCAACTTTCTTGCTTGTCAAAAACCACGAATGATGAAAATTTCAAGAGAAAAACGTCATGAGGTAATGTAAGATTGCTACTTAATGTTCTCCAAAGGGAAATAACAATTTCAGATTCGCAAGTTGTGATACTTTGTGTGGAATTTCAAGAGAAAAGGAGATGACAAGCAGAGATTTGGAACAAGGACTTTCAATTTTTTAGAGCAATTAAGGAATGCTTTATCATTTTTTTTCTGACAACAACACCCATCGCAAGCTTTCGGGGTTGCAATTGGAATTAATCAATTTCTCTTGTTAGTTTAAACTTTTAAATCATAAAATTATTAATTGGTGAAAGTATTGTCATAATTCATAAGACTATCTACTTTCGGATTATTATGATTCGATTTTTTGTTTCGTGTAGAGGAAAAGCTGGGGAAAATCATTGATCTTCTCGTTCGGCTCTAATTCTCCTGCGAGAAAATACTTCGCCTTCACTCGGCACCAATACAACCTTTGGTTATGATCTAAAAATATTTTCCTTGCCTTGTCTTGTTAATCTTGAACAATTTTCTCCTCAAAATTCAAGCAACACCAACTCAATTATGACATCACATTAAGGAGAAAAAAGCTTGTCGATCGAGCCGAACTTATTTTTGGCCCAATCGTTTTAATATGTTGCATCTGCCAGTGCTATCGTGTATTTAGTGTCGCGAGGATCGTTAACAAAGCGCTCAGGTCAGTTTTTGGTGTGTTTCGTGGTAGAACAGCGAAAAAGATTTTTGCTTTCCACACTTTTTTTCTTCTGGCGACGATCGAAAAGAGCGTTGAAGGTCTCCGCAGAAAATATTTTCTCATCTCATTCTTCTTCTTATTTCATAAATTTTCCAATTTATTCGAACTTTTTATCATCAAAAGTCAAAAATGAGTTAAACGATAGTGGAAAGATTTAAAATTAATAATCCTGCACATAAGATTTTGACTAGAAAAAAAAATTGTTTTGTAATCGGAGGCCAAGAGGAAGTGCTTGTTTGCGAGTGGAATTTATTTTTAGGAATTCGGGACAGGTTGATACCGAAGTGTGCAAAGAAGTCACTGAGACCATAGTTTAAAAATAAAATAATTTATCAAATATCATGCAACATAAAGTATCATAACATTGTTTCAACAAGTATCTGCCATGAGAATTCTTGTGGATTTTTCGAATATTTTTCATTTCTAAATATGAAATTTCTACATTTGGATGTTCTTACTTCAAGCGAATCATCTTTGAGAAAAAAAGTTAAATAAAAATGAATGTCTAAAGAGTTGAAGAAAATAAGAAAAATCTATGTGAAATGTATCGTTGAAATCTATTTTTGTTGAAAATCGCTGTGAAAAAAAAATGTGAAAGAAAAAGACTGGCGATCTTTTTGAAGTTGTGTGTGAAAAACCGAGAAGAAAAATATCAGAATGATGATCATACATGTGGGAAAATCATAGACACATACACTGATGAAAAGAAATAAAATATTTTGATGAGAAAATTCCTCCTTGCCTACTCAAAGTGGGGAATATTGTTGGATGATGTTAGCTGGAATTCCAACTCGTCCTTCCTTTGATCACTTCATCCTGATTTCTTATAAATTATTCTTAAACGTCTTAGAATAATATTTTATTTCAATTTCAACATAATTTTCCAAAATTAAAGGAAATGGATAACCCTTGAATAAATACCCTGACCTTTCATAAATCTTACCTTTTAAACTTAGCAGTAAAAAAATGTCGAAATTGAAAAGGTTTATTCGCTTAACTTGCCGTTGGTTCGAATAAAATCTTCTGTGAAATTTCCTAAACACAACCTACGCTATTCCCGCAAGATGAAAATCTTTTATTTTTAAAGAAAATAAAATTGGTGAATTCTCGGTTGAAATTTTTTTTCCTTCATCCATCCTACATGTGTTTAAAAAATCATGAAGAAAATTGGAAAATTCAATAAAAATATGCTTTGAATGAGATTTTAAGAAAATATTTTAAATTTCTTTTTATATTAATAATGAAATCAATGACTTGAGAATCAATCAATGCAATTTATATTTCCATAATTTTAATTTTTTTTTCTTTCTCTTTTCTATTTTAGTTATTTTCACATAGAGAGTTTTAATTTTGATTCCGGGGTAGCGTAAAACTTTATAAACAGCAGACATGGACGCGATCAAGAAGAAGATGCAAGCGATGAAGCTTGAGAAGGACAACGCTCAAGACAAAGCTGATACCTGTGAGGGACAATACAAAGATGCCAATGCAAAAGCAGCAAAGGTTGAAGAAGAAGTCGCCGATTTGATCAAAAAATTAGCTCAAATTGAAAGCGACCTTGAAGCTCACAAAAATGCTTTGGAACAGGCCAACAAAGATCTCGAAGAGAAGGAAAAATTGTTGACTTCCACTGAATCAGAAGTTGCTGCTTTGAATCGTAAAGTACAACAAGTTGAGGAAGATTTGGAAAAATCTGAAGAACGTTCCGGAAATGCTTTGGCCAAATTGTTGGAAGCCACACAAGCTGCTGATGAAAATAACCGGTAAATAAATTTATAAATTTAAAGTTTAAGAGATTCAAATTTTATAACCATGACTTTAGTATGTGCAAAGTATTGGAGAATCGCTCACAACAGGATGAAGAGCGTATGGATCAATTGACCAACCAATTGAAAGAAGCTCGTCTCCTCGCTGAAGATGCTGATGGCAAATCTGATGAAGTGTCACGTAAGTTGGCCTTCGTTGAAGACGAATTGGAAGTCGCTGAAGATCGTGTCAAGTCTGGTGAAGCCAAGATTATGGAACTTGAAGAGGAATTGAAGGTTTGTATGATTGATTTTTAAATTTTCTAAGCAAATTTAAAAAAGTTTCATTAACAGGTTGTTGGTAACTCATTGAAATCATTGGAAGTTTCAGAAGAGAAAGCCAACCAACGAGTGGAAGAATTCAAACGCCAATTGAAATCATTGACCAGCAAGCTTAAGGAAGCTGAGAATCGTGCTGAGTTGGCTGAAAAAACAGTCAAGAAATTGCAAAAAGAAGTCGACAGACTCGAAGGTACATTTCTTGGATACATTCCAAAATTTTTCATTTCTTCTTCTTTTCCGAAAATCAAATCGAAAAGAAAAAAATTCCTTTCAAATAGAAACAAAAGAAGTTATGCAAATTTTCGGTCTCAAATGATACAAAAACTTGAGACATGGATAACTTCTTACAGTCAGAGAAGAGAAAATCTGATAATTTTATAGCTTTAACTTTAAATCTTTTAATAACATTTCGATCTCACCTAATTGCTTCGTTTTTTTAACAAAAGAATTTTCTTCTAAATTAATAAAACTGAGAAAGGGAAAGTTAAATCTAATGATTCATCCACTTTGCAGACAGAGTACGTCGTGAAAAAGACAAATACAAGTTCCTGTGCGCAGACATGGAAGCAACATTTGTCGAAATGGCTGGATTTTAAATTCAAATCTTTTTCCTTATGTCCAATTTTTTATGTATTCCTTATTCTGTCGTATGTTTCACTTTAATGTTTCATGAATTTTGGCTGCGCACTCATGAAATACGAAAAAAAAATCTTTGTTTGACATCATTCTTGATTCAAAATTAATCGAAAATCTACAACTATTTTTACAGACAAATTATCGTGTCAAAAAGAAACATACAATGCAATCTGTGCGGATATGGACACGACTTTCGCAGAAATGGCTGGATTTTAGAAATATCTTCCAAAATTGTTTTATTATTTTTTTTTCACTTTGGTCCCTTAAAAACTTTTCCAATTTTTCAATCCACATTTTTTATTCGAAAAAAAAACAAAAATCAGTTCATATCAGACAAATTCACAAATCTAATCAACTCTTTGAAGAACGAAATTATTTTTGAAACGGACATAAAACTTGATCAAAAAAATCTCTGATCATCAACAACACTTTTTTGTGCAGAAAACATTTCTACATTTATTGTATCTTTTTTAAAAATGTCGCTGGCGTAATTGATTAATGATATTAAATTAAAATCTTTTCTAACTGCACTACACACACATTTGTACATATATTGCATTAATTTGCTAACTGGAATAATTGCAAGACTAACAAATTATGAAACTAACCATACCCATAACATAAAAACTATTTTGAAACCATAAAACTGATGTGCTGGTCGGATAACATCATGGATGCTTCGTGGATCTTTATTAAAGCTCATCTTCTTATCAATTTCAAATATTAATCGCTGCTATTAATAATTTGGCAAATTCTTAATTGAAAACTGAGGTTTTAACTGCAAGGTATCTCTTCACATTATTTTTCTTTTATTTAAGTAACTAAATAAATAATTCAAATTGCACAAGTTGAATTCTTTGATAGTAAATCACTTAGATGGTTGCACATCTTCAAAATTAACAAAGTTTAAAATCAATTCGATTATATCTCTTTATGTATTTAATGAAATTGTTTAAAATAATTTAATAGATTATTTTTCTTTTCTTCAATTTTAATTTTCTAGACGAGCTCGGTCTCAACAAAGACAGATACAAGTCTCTTGCCGACGAAATGGATTCTACATTCGCCGAATTGGCTGGTTATTAAGAACCATCATCCCCTCATATCATCAAGTTCTGAACATTTTAATGACGATACTGTGTGCGTGTGTGCGTTTAAAAGAAACAACATCGGAACATCAAATAATTGCAACAACAAGCGGGAAATGGTTTTTATTTATATGACTTATTGAACATCTTAAAAAAGTAATGAATTGATTGATAAAATCTCATCGATTCAAAAAATCTTAATAAACTCTCATAATGTCTTATATTTTGTTAATTTATACTTATCAATTTAATCGATTTTATTTATTGTGCGTAACAAATAAATCAAACTTTTTTCTTTCGTGCTCTCACAAATATCTAATCTTTTCGGTAAAACATTTCATCAGAGAATCAAAGGTGGACTCAAGTAAAAAGTGTCCACCTTTAACCACCCACATCATGAAGCTTTGTATATTTATTATAAAACTACATATAATATATGTGAACAAAAAAAATGCCAAAACAACTTTTTTTCGTTAATAAAAATCACAATTTAATTATACCAAAATTGTTGCGAAAGGTCTCAGATGTCGAACGAAACAGGAAAAGTTTAAAATTTCTTTCATATTTTTCTTCTGTTGTTTGTTTTTAATTTGTATGTAATAAATTGCATGGGTGAACATAAAATATCAATTGAGCTTTTATTTGAAAGTTTTTGTGGTTAACGGTCAAAAGTTTATAAGTTTGGGTTAGAATAGTAGCTGTGCGATTCCTATTCAAGAAGAACAATACAACACTTTATTAGATGAACCATCAGTGAAAAATAAGAAAACATGTGAAATTTCAAACTATGATCTAATTAACACGTCGAAACGGAAACTATATCGTTAAAATTATTCTCTGCTATTGGAATTTCCAGGTTTTTTCGAAACTTCACTGAAATAATCTAAGAATTTTTCTGCGTCTGCGCGATTTCTATCGATTACAGAAACATTGGAAAGCTTTTGTTGAAGAAAATTTTGCTTTTATTCTTTCACCTTCGGTTTCAGTCTTCGGCCATCTTTCCTTTTGTTCACTTTTACTTGAGGGATATAAAAAAATCAAAAATATTTTCTATTTTTTCAAATTGAAATAAAGTGCTTGAAATGTTATGCAACCTGTTTTTGATTATTTAATGTGTTAAGAAGAAATCGAAAATATTTACAGTTAAACTGCAAAGCTCAATAAGAAGAAAAATCTGTGAAAAACTGAATTTTCAAGTTTCAATATTGAAGTAAAAAAGAAAAGTGGATAACAAACAGCTTTTTGTCGTAGAAGCTCTAAAAAATCGTCAACTTTATCAGAGCTCTAATCGAATCATGACGTCGGATGGTCCTCCACCGATTCAAACAATGAATATGCTAGAAACAGGTAAGATATTTATTTAGTTCATGAACCTTTAATTAAGTGGAAAGTGCAAATTACGAATCGTATGAAAAGAAACAATTATAATGAAAACACAAGTTGTTTGTAATGCCGTAACCTTCAATTAGTCTTCAATAGAAGAATCTAAAACAAATGCTTTTATTATGTTTTGTTCTTGATAACTCTTAGATATCTATTCAAATATCTACTCTTCAAATAGATAATTGCTCATAAATCAATCCCAAAAATTTTCTTGAAATCCTTTTCTTATCGCATCATAATCATTTATTACGCATGAAAGATTAATGACATCATTTAAATAATGAAAAAAGCAACATTTTCAACACCTAAAATAATTAACAAAGAGTGACTCTTATTTTCATGTTTCGAAATAATTTGCCGACGCCTTAATAATTCAACAGTCAAGTGAACAACCTTAATTGACGTTGAGTTGTTAACAGTATTTTTTGATTTACAGATCAACTCATCCAGAATTCGCACTGTTTCGTACTTTAACTCATTTATCATCCTTAATCCAATCTTACTTCACATGGAACAAGACAAAAGCTCTCTAAAAATTTCTAATGTGATAATCCTAGATATGTATGTACATAAGTTATGCAATTAAGATATTTGATAGATTTTACTGAATTTCGTGACAAAATTAAGTTTTTCTATATTTTTTTATGAAATCAAAAAGATGTTTCATAAAGGTTTTAAAGACCCGAATCGTGCAATTGGAGACAATTCTTCAATTAATTATTCACCATTGATTTGATTATTGGGATATCAGAGAGTACCTAGTTAATAATTGCGTCTACTCATAATTAAAAATTACAGTTTTAGTTAATTAAAATGCAGAATTGTGTAAAAGTCCCATATCTAAATTTTTATGGTTTCAGAAAATTGCGTTGAAAACCTTGCAATTAATTACACTGCATCCATTTGATGTAAGAAGGAAAAAATCCTCAATTAAAAATGATTTTATTTCAGCACGGCTCAGATATACATATATTGAAAAGTTAATTATATTATATCTCAAGAAACATCGGATATTGTCAATAAAAATATAAAATCTATTGACTTTCCGTGATGAAGGACAAACTTTCCCCAAGCGGTTTAGTAAATTTTGATTAGTTTTTATACACAGTACACCTACATAAACATAATCTCAATAAATGCCATGAACATACAGTTTTTATGAGTAGATAATCGTATCGCAATGTATAGTTTGTTATTTCTTCGGTTAAAATAAATGAAATAGGTATTTTTATCGGAAGATCATAAACTGTCCACAATATAAAATTCTTTCAATTATCATGTTTAGAGTTTGAGCTTTTAATTAATGGATGAAATCATTTTAGAAAATCGATTGGCATTCTTATATTGAAACAGAATCATGAGATAGAAATAATTTAAGATTTTGATTATTTACTATGAACTGACATGAAATTTGAATTAGAAAATTACAATTTTTTCATGACGCTTTTCAATTCTTTTAATCATTCATTGTAATCCTACTTGAATCTCAAAGTTTAGAAATGAGAAGATAAGCATCTTCAATAAATTAAAACAGTCATCAAAGAATAATAATCTTACAACAATCTTGTTATCGCTTAAAACGTAATATCTACCTAATTATTGTGAAAAATATCTTTGGTGCGTCATAGCGCCCACATAATTTGTTCCATACACTTCCAAATTGACTTCATTTTCAGTTTTTCTTTGTATGTTATGCGTGCTAATTATAACTCATAAAATAATTGCTTGAGTCCTAATACAAGGGAAGTAAATAAAAAACAACTTGCTTTGCTTTTATAAAAAAAAATATTAAGTGATGGAGGATAATTTGTACGATAAATATAAAAAGGAGCTTCAAAGCTTTGATGTTTTCATTCTGCATAAACCTTTTCAAATTATTCATGCATAAAACACCAACCATTCATGAATAATTTCCCTTCAAGCTAAAGAAAGCACCCTGGAGAATCAGCAAGTGTTTGTTATGGACAAGAAAAACAAGAGAAAACTTTTTTGACAGTAAAAATATTTGTCTTTTCCAAAAGAATTTTTTCTGACTGAAAGCTTCATCAATAAAAAAAATAGAGAGACGTTTTTCTCATTTGTTTCAGATATTCCTGATGTACAATCTAAAAATAAATTATTATTAATACTTTGTAATTTTTTACATCTATTACATTGAAGGGATTTTGAATGAAAAGCCTTTTTGAAGCGTAGAAGACGTTTGAGAAAATGAAGACTCTCAGTAATGTGTATCTTTTTTTACTTTTAGGTTGATAAGCAACCTTTTTAATAGAAAGTAATTAAATAAGCTCTTGAAAGGAAGGAGGGTCTTGTCAGCTTCGCGAAAGAATTTTTAATTCGTAAATTACGAAGATAAGAATTTGAAAATCTTATGGCATTAACTGAAGTCAAAAAGGATCAGGGGAAATGGCAATGTTTGAAGTACTTGTAAACATCGAAAATATTTATAACAACTTGTTAAGTTTGTTAACAAAATTAAACACCTACATCTTAAATGAAGCTTCGAAATTCACATTTTTTACGTTTTATGTAAAACACATAATCACGCTTTTGTCATTCATAAATACGTGACTTGTATTTTTAGATTTAAATTAACAGATCAACTTACCATAAGTCGACACAAACATCATTGTAGGCCAATTATTTCTTACGTGACTTCTCAAATCCACAAATTTTTCTTTTTATCTTATGTACATCTTAATCTTTAACCTTATGAAAGTATTTTCATCAATTTTATTAGGTGAGAAGTGACAAAAAAAGGAAAATCTTTTGTAAGAGAAACTTTTTAACGCACAAACCATTAAGTTTATATCTCCGACTCTTTTTCGATAAATTCACGGAAACCCTTTATTCAAAATGTAAAACTCATGTGACTTAATATGTGACTCATGTCTCTTTCAGTTGTTCCTGCTGTTCTTGGATTGACATTAGCGGCAATTCTCGCAGTTGCAGCATGCTTTTGTGCACGTCGTGTAAGACGTCAAAATAAGAAATCGAATCATGAGGCTGCATTTGCTTTTCAACCACCACCACGACCAGCACGTGCTGTACGATCTCCAAATGGACAAACATCTCATTATTTAAAGAAATCGCCTTCGCCCACGTCAACTAAACCTTTACCTGGCTTACAATCACCACAAACAGATCCCCTGCCACTTCAAACTTTAACAACAAAATATTCGGCGGAAAATGAAATATCAAATGTTATAAATGAAGCAAGGTCATCACCAGATCATGAACAAGTTGATTGTGGCGAATACGGAAAATTAGGAACTTTGGTCTTCAAACTTCGTTATTTAGTAGAACGCAATGCTTTGGTCGTGTCAGTTGTGAGATGCCGTGGGTTGCCTTCTCGCAACATTAATGGCAGTTTGACAGTCTCATCTGATTCAACAAATGTCGGACAATTGGCAAATGGAAAGACCCAAAGCGCAACTGCTACAGATCCATATGTCAAGCTTCAACTTTTGCCTGATAAACAACATAAAGTGAAAACTCGGTGAGATTTTCTTTTTCTATCACAGTCATGAAGACTTTCATATGTCATAAAATTAGTTTCGAAAAGATATTGCGAATGTTAAAGAGAGACATATTTCAAGGGTTTCGATATATTTATTTACTAAATTTCCCTTCTTGAAAGAATCGTATGTACATTGTTAATGCTTCTTTATAACATGTCTCGTCTTATTAAATATGCATAAAATATAAGGGAGTATAAGCATCAATACTTGTTCTCAAAGCATTATTTGCAAATAAAATTATCTTCAATGTAATTTGAGATTCAATGAAGCCTGATGGTTATAAAAGTCATTTAAAATTAACTTCATTCTTTATCAAGCTTAAATATTTAAGTTCATGTTTTAAAGAGTGACTGTCATCTCATTTTTGATGTACTCATACATCAATTTCTCTGAAAGCTCTTAAACCTTTACAAAAGTAGTAAATCTTTTAAAACTTAAAAGATTTGATATTGAATATACATATACATGATATTCCTTGTGTCATTTCGGAGAACAAGCAACTATCCCCCACATTTATGAGATAAATCAATCTTCGATCACGTTTGTCCAGGGCTGTCAAAAGAAAAAAATTGAAGAAATTTAAAAAGGTCAAAAGTTTGATATCGAATATTCAACTTTTTTTATATTCTATAAATTGACACTAACTGACGTCGATTTTCACAATTTTCAAAAGTTTTAAAGCAAACGTTGAACAAACGTTTTGTGCGTCGCTTTATTCCTCTCTTCTTTACATTTCGTTACGCATGCTTTGGCATTACATCTTCAAGTAAAAGTCCCTTTGGGAAAAGTTTATTTGCATTCATCTCGCGTTATTCAACTGTATAAATCAGATGGTTGTATTGAATTGGCGTTAAGCTCATAGCATAAGTGCTTTTTAGATCTTCGAGTTTATTCTGAAAAATTTTCGTTCTTAATTCAATTCAGCAACAAAAAACTTTTTATTTCGCCTACACAACAACACAAAACACATTTATTTATAGTTGAAGCTCAAGCATGCTCAGATGAACAAAGCAAAGATTTATACGAACGTTCTGTTTAGCCACAACCATGTAATATAATTTGTCAGAACTCAAACTCTTTGATTTAACTTTTTCTTTCAAACTTCTTCGCATTAATGTTTATTTTGAGATACCGGAAAAGTTAATTTTAATTTGCTGAATACTTAATTATTTCAGAATAAAATGAAAACATGAAGATTTCACTTGCTATCGATCAACAAATAAAATCCTTACGAACACAATGACCTATTTTCTGAGCGATTGATTGCGGCGATGTATCGAGGGCTTTATCAATATAAAGCATATTTCATAGCAGAATTGCTATGAAATTGACTTTTCCTAAAATATAAAATCACAATGATGAATGAAAAAGCTCTTTTTTAATATATATTTTCTTCATCAAGGAAAATAAGCACATAATAAGGTTCTTTCTAAGAAAATTGAAGAAATAAAATGAGAAAACTCTGAAATGTCAACATCATTATTGTAAAATTGAAATTCTAGTCTGGCTAAAGCAAATTTTATTATTCAGCATAAATATTTATGCGAACATTAATAAGTGATAACAAATCATAAAAAATTAATTGGTTTGAATATTATAAAAGAAGGAATGTTTCGAAAGTCGCAAAAATTGATAGGAATTAACCTTTGACATTATCAAGACTGTCGTGGTTATAAAATTTTACATCTCAGCATAGCGAAAACTTTGAAATTATTTTTATACCTAATATTAAGAATTCAAATTGAAAGTAAGCACGTTTTGAAGATGTTTAATAAAGTCAGAAGACACCTTGAAACTTTTTGAAATATTTAAAACTTTTTAGTTTAATCAAATTTAATTGAAAAGATGTTTTTCATTTAATTTTTTAGTGTTGTAAGAAACACCAGGAATCCTGTTTATGAAGAAGATTTCACTTTCTATGGGCTCACAATGAATGAACTACAAACAATGTCGTTACATTTTGTAGTACTGAGTTTTGATCGATACTCTCGGGATGACGTCATTGGTGAAGTTGTCTGCCCATTTAACACAATTGACTTACAACAGATTGAGAATCAGCAAGTGGCATTGAGTCGTGAAATCCAACCAAGAAGTTTGAAAGTAAATTCTTTCAGTTACTATCATCTTTCGAATGCCATAAAGATTTTCTTTGTTTTTCTCTTCATAGATTAAATCACAAGGACGTGGCGAACTACTTATTTCTCTCTGCTGGCAACCAGCCGCTGCACGACTGACAGTTGTTCTGTTAAAAGCTAGAAATCTCCCAAGAATGGATGTTACAGGATTGGCTGATCCCTATGTCAAAATTTATCTCCTTTATAATGTAAGATTATCCTGAACAAAATTTTCTTTTCAATTAGATAGATTTGACATTTTCTTACACTTTTAAAATTCATAGGGACAACGAATTGCAAAGAAGAAGACACATGTCAAGAAAAGAACTTTGAGTCCGGTCTTCAATGAGAGTTTTGCTTTTGATATTCCAACAACAGAAGGGACAGGGCAAACTCTTGAAGGTGTTTCCCTAGAATTGATGCTACTTGATTGGGATCGAGTTACAAAGAATGAAGTTATCGGAAGATTAGAACTGGGTGGTCCTCGAAGTGTTGGTTCAACTTTGAATCATTGGAAAGAAGTTTGCAATTCACCACGCAGGCAAATCGCAGACTGGCACAAACTTCGAGAATAAATTGTTAAGAAAAACAATTTAATATATTTATTTTTTAAAAATTGTTAGATGCTTTTTTATCAAGTTTAATTTATTCATGTTTCAAGTAGATGCATTTTAGTTATTTAACTTAACTCAAAATTCTATAGTTTTTTTTTGTATTCAAATTTGAGTTTTCAAAAATAGTGCAAGATATAAAGATATAAAATCTATCTGTAGTTGTTCAGTAAAATGTTAAAATGATATAAAATCATAATATATGAACAAAAGGCATTTTAAAAGATATACCTAATCATTATCTGGTAAAAACTTTCAGGGAAAATGTGAAAGTTTAGTAGAATAACTTAACTATAAAGCTCTTTTGAAATCTTTTAATATATATGAACATTTTCTGAACTAAACATTCCCACTTCATTACAGTAAAGTACATAATATATATAAAAGTTGTATTATATTATATATATATATATATATACATATATATGTATATGTATGTCCTCATGTTAATAACAAAATATATCATACCATGCTTGAGGCTTTCACGCTTCAGAATTTTTAAAAACATGCATAAGTAATGATAAGACTCAACGACATTAAATTATAAAGAATTAGCTATTATTGATTAAGTATGCACACCACATGAAGGAAACTTGAAGAAGACATTACATGTTTTTATTTTTGTTAAAAGAAAAGAAAATTTCAATTTTATTATAATTTGATATTGATCGAAGAAAAGCAGCTGAAATTAAATTAAAAGATCAGAAATATATATTGTATATTAGAAAAAGGAATCTCATGTGAAAAATCAAATAAAGATTCATTTTAATTTAAAATGTGTTTGTGGGATGTGAATATTTTATAAAACTTTTCAGATTTGAAATCATTGAAGCAACACTTAATTTGTTGGAGTCGAGTCGTAGGGCATAACTAGGTAAATGGTTTTTTAACTTCCTGAATAAATTCTAAATTTAACTTAGATGATGTAGCACCGTAACGTTTTTTTCAAATTTGTACCATCTACCTAGGTAGTGCAGCACTTTCACACCCTGAATATTTATATTCTGAGCAGACCGAATAAGGGTTTTCATGCAAAACCTGGGTTTTCAAAGATATATTCAACCATTTCTCTTCAAATACTTCACTTTAATTATAATTTGAATGAAGAAAAGATATCGAAGAATTTTCGTCGTTTCTATTTGAAAGAGTTAAGTTCCTTCAAGAGGAAGAATTTGAATAATTTTAATTATTTGAAATAAATCGATATTTAAATATAATTGAAAATGTTCCTCATAGCAGTTACAGGTGATTGAATGTGATTATATTTTTAAATAACTCACACAATACATGAAAAGTGTTCCAGTTAAGGGCTTTCACAACTTTTTTCAATGTCTTCGCATATTTGAAAAAAAATTGTGTGAATGTTTCGTAATTTTTATGAGATTATAAATTAAATGATGATTTAATATTTCCAGGTGGGATTGCTTGTGGCAAAACAACGGTGTGCGAAGTTTTCCAAAAATATGACATCCCTGTGATAAATGCTGATCTAATATCGAGGCAAAGTAAGACAGACAGCTAACAATATTTAAATTTTTCTAAGACTGTATAACACTGAACAATGACCTTTGATGTTTGAAACTTGTTCTAGCTTAAAACGCAAACCAAACTAATCAAATCACTTTCATTTTAGTTGTTGAACCGGGCAAACCAGTGTGGAAGAAAATAAAGGAACATTTTGGTGACGAAGTTTTTAATGAAGATAAAACATTAAATCGCGATATACTTGGACAGATAATCTTTGATTCTGTTGAAAAGCGAAGGATTCTTAATCGTCTCACACATCCCATCATACATCGAACAATCTATAAGGAAATTTTTAAATACTTTTTCTTAGGAAAGAATTTTGTGGTGCTAGAGTTGCCGCTTCTCTTCGAAGTCAACTCAAATTTGATTAATTACATTCACAAGATAATTTGTGTTGCAACTGAAGAAGATATTCAAATTGCAAGACTGATGGATCGAAATAATATGTCACTATCAGAAGCTAAGAAGCGCATACAAGCACAAATGCCTTTAGAAGAAAAGTGTAAAATGTCACACTTTGTAATCGAAAATAGTGGAAGTCAGAAAGACATGGAGGAGCAGACAATTAAGATAATTAACATGCTTTTAGATAGTAATCACCATTGGAAACTTCGCAGTATTTTAATGGCATCTGCTTTCTCGATACTTGCTGGTCTCGCGTGGCTTCTCAATCGAAAATATAAATTCATTAGCAACTAAGATTAACATTCCCGAATCAAAGAAAAATTCCCAAAGGGAAACAAATACATTTTATAATGAATTCTAGTTAATTGGCAGGTTTGGAACTTTTCTATATTTTATTTTAATAAGTTATCCTTTTAAATACAAGAATAATCAAATTATCTAAAGTGTTCAATAGATTAGTGTTGTAATTGTGAATTGCTAATGGTCAAAGAATAAAAGGAGAATATGAATTCCCAAAACAAAAACTACTCATTGCCGTTTTTTTGGAATGCATCCTGTCAAAGTGTTGTACGTTTTTAGAATACAAATCAAAGTGACACAAGGACGTTTGTTATTTGATTCGATCAGTATCGCCAACGTCCATTGTTGCCAACTTTTCTAAGTTTAATGGAATAAAGTTCGCGAATAACTTGATGGAAGAAAAAAATGAATAAGTTGAAAGTCTCTACACATGATCAGATTAAAAAAAATTGCTTGAGTTATTTATTATAACTCTGAATTCCATGAATCAAACAGCCAGACAATCAACAATTATTTCTCATGTCTTCTTCATGTCGTGTTTTGCCGGTACAAAATAATGATGACAACCACAAAAACAAATGTTTTAATCATTTTCAGGAAATGTTAATAAGTCATAAATAAAAGAAAGCTGCTGTAAACCCCGAAATAGTTTCAAGTCTTAGTCAACCGTTGTCAACAAAAACATTATTTTTATTTGGTATAATTTTCAGCAAAAGCGAGATCGCGAAACTTCGCTATAAAAGTATTTATTGATAACAAAGTATGGGTATGACTCAGAGATGTAAAATAAAACCTGGAAAAAACGAACATTAATTATTTAATTAAATTATTTTCCGTGACTAAATAGATGTTTAATGGTGCATGATATTAACTAATTTTCAAACGAGCTAGGAAACATTGATTGAAGATGAACCTTAGTGTTTAACTAAATGATTATAACTTCCATATTAAGTACTCATGTCAATTGGGCGTGTGTCCGATTTTATCAATATTGACTTCGAAGTGATCATACGTTTAAAAATTATTTACCCAATCTTTGCAAAAATTTGTTTTTTCATGAATCATTTATTATTCTTTTCGATCGGCAAGTTTGCAAAAAATTGCGCATTAAAAGCTTTCAGTTGCATTTCTTATTAATTTGTTCAATGATTATGTGAAAAAAAATCTTTTTAATGGAATATGAAAGTAATAAAGATACGAGTAGATAAATTTCTGGTGAAACCAACTCATCATTATCAGTGGGTCATACACCTTCAAGAAAACATTATTATTAGGTCATTTTTTTAATTCAATTGGAATTGAAATTCTAGAATATCATTAATTAATGACATAAACAAGTAAGAAGATGTATCTGTTATCACAATGAAATTTATGTAACAACATTAATCAGTAGTAGGTTTTGATAATTAAATTTCCAACAATATTTTTATTTCTTGCTTGTATGAAAGTGAGAGAGTGATCATTTGTGACTTGATTTGTGAGAGAACAAAATGAGAAATATGATTGTCAAGGGGTAAATCATCGTAGTGCTTCTGCCGGCTGCCTCCCAATGAAGCATCAAAAATTACTAGTGCTTTTCAAGAAAAATGGCCTTTTTCCAAGAATTTGCTTACTTTTTCTTGGAATTTGTCTAGTGCTTCAATGCAGCAATGGTGCTTCTGCCAGCCAATTTTAGTCGATGAACAGCCCCTTGATGATTGTGCCAATTCAACAAGGGATAATTCATCGTAGTTCTTTTGTCGGCTGCTTCCAACACTAGGTAGTGCTTTTTCATTGAAATGGCAATTTTCCAAGTTTTTCTTGGAATTTGTCTAGGTATTAGTTTTTATCCTTGGTGCTTTTGCCGGCCTTTTAATTTTCGATGAATTACCCCTTGATAATTTAGCAAGCTTCAAATGCTCTTTGGCTCTTTTTTATGAATTGTCTCTCTCGACTTGGAAAACGCTTTATAAAGCAAAATTTCAGACACCATCGTTTCAGTCATAATCAGAAATTCGTATTAGAAGCACTTTCAAAAGGAGCCAAAGTGAAATTATAAATCCCTGAAAGAAATTGCTGGAAGAAAAAAAGAAATTTTTAAAAGAAGTGAAAAATATGAGAGAAAAAGAACTGAAATAACGGGATTCAACAAGTTATTTAAAAAAGAACTTTCAAAAAAAAGTAAACAAAAAATATTGAGAATTTTCTGGAATCGTTGAAAAAATTATCAGCAAGTTATCATTGGAACAGTCTTTAAAAATTTGAGGAAAATGAAAAATTTTCCAATTCTTCTGCTTTTTGTTTTCTTCGTTACTGCCACCAAATGCCTTGAAGATTTCGGGTAAATATTTGATCGATAAAACTCAAAGAAAAAATATTCAATAGAAACGCAATTTGATTGGCAAAACTATTGACAAACATTTATAGGTCAACTTTTCATCAATTTTCATTTCACTCATTAGTTTCATTTCAATTCTTTTACAAGCATGTGTCGGTGATTGAAAAGGATTCATCGATAAAAATTTTGCAAGCAAAAATTAAGTTTGCTACGAGTCATTAAATGTTGTGAATTTTTGATTAATTTTATTTCTCACCGGCACTGCACAAGGAAATCCCATCGCAATTCACAATGACCATGAATGTTTCTGTGTATATTTTATTCTTGCAAAAAAAAAGCAGAAATTAAAATAATAACAAACTATTCAATGAGACACTGAAATATCAAATTTAATTAAATTAAATAAACTATTAAGAAATCATCCATGGTCTGAACGAGCCAAGCAATAATTGTCATTTGATTTCATTTTCACGAAACACGAAAACAAAAAATCATTCACAACATTCATCATCACCAACACTTGAAGTTCATCAGACGAACCAAGATTTATCAACGATTTTCATCATTTTCCTGATGTGTCATTTTTTAGAACTGGAGTTGAAGGAATTGACTCATCGGAAGAAAGCAACCGTGAACCATTAAGTGAGTATCGCCATAATTTACAACTGCATGTTTATGATCTATTTACCTGATCCCAACAACGTTATCCGTTGCTAATGTTCCATTTAATTGGCATTTAACGTGATGAATCGAATGCAGTAATGATGATGTTCACTAAGTATATTTGTTAAATTTCACTTTTCAAATGAACAGACTTGGATTATGTCGAAGGCGAATTTCCTGTAACAACAAACAGAAGACCTGTTGCTCCAAACCCAGTTCCAAGTGGTTTCGGTGACGATCTTTTTAGTCATCACTTTGATGGATTCTTTGGTGGCAATATTTTCAATCCATTCGAAAACTATGGTGGCATTGGATTCGGTCCTTTCAATAACTACAAGCCTTGGTTCAAAGGGTAAGTTGAAGATATTATGCAGAATATTCACGAATATAAATTTATGATTATCATTCTTCGTGATCTCATTCTTCATTTTATTGGTGCGAGTCGTTTTTTTTGAATCAAAGTAACAAGAAAGTTAATTTTTTTGTTTATTTATGCTTAGCTATGTGCTAATAGAAAATAATAAAATTTTCACTTTAACTAAGTCAAACAAACACAAGAGAAAATCATTAAACACGAATTTTGGACGTTTTTAACCCACTAAAATGAATGAAAAGCATTGTGTCAATAGGAAATCGTGACAGTTTCCAAAGTCAAGGTTTATTTTTTCTGCTTTTACAATCTCCTTATGATGCACTTTCGCAATCTCGCCTTTCATCTTGAATTCATACCACGCCAATTAAACTTTTTATTTGACTGTGAATCATCATGAACGTTTGGTGGTGTAAAAAAAAGACAAGTTTTGTTGATTTTAAGAAATTCGAAACGCGTTTTCTTCTTTTGTTTTCGTTTCTTTACTTGTCGCATTTCAAAAAAAGTTTTGTTGTGGTAATTGTTAAGCTGTGGTTCTCTGTGGTTTCATATGCAAATATGGGCTGAGAGTGATGATTGAATCGTAAATTATTATTCCTTAACCAGAACTAAAAGACATAAAAGAGGTTCTAGGAAAGAAAAAAAAATTATAACATTTGAACTCAGATTAATCAGGAAGAAATCGTTATTTTTTAATCATGTTAGATGAGGTCAGATTTTGCGAAGTTCAATCACAAATTATTTCAGAGTAATAAACTTTGTATGTATAAATAAAGAAATAATTGAAGACGTTCCGCTTTGTGCTGTTTGCCTCTCTTTACAATGTTTTTATTATTCGGCGAAATTTGCTTCGTTATAACGAGAATGGCTGTAAAAAATTATAAATGTAAAAAGAGCATGAACTGTTTTACCTATCGACTGAAACATTTCAAGCTTTGAATACTGCTGGTACTTAAACAATGAGCGTTTAATAGTACTTAATTATAATTTGTATGTTTTTCTTTTGTAAATCTCAACAACTTTAATGAACATTTGACTTTTCTTGTGAATATTTCTTGTTCATCGTCGAGATGGAAATAAAAAATAAGAAGTCAAGAAAAAAATATTGCACAAAAATCAAAAGCGAGGTTGAGAAAAGTTTTGTAACTTGTGAATAATTAGTGATCATCATTTCAAATTCGTTGAGTAAATACTTAAGAATTGTCTTGAGATTTTTCTGGAAACTCTTTTTTATTATTCTGAATTTCTACGGTTGTCATATTTCGACCTTCAAAACTCATGGAACGGATATTTGGGATGATTCAAAGTAGTTGTAAACAATATGATCGCAACGATAAAATCCATTTATTCCACATGTTTGCTTTGTAGATCGATAGTTTGATAAAAAGTAAAACAAATTGACTTGTAGTTTCAAATAGCAGTTAACAGAGACATTATTGACGGTGATCGTTTCAACTAATAACACAATCTAATACCAGCAGATCTTCTCGTTTTCTAAACTGAACTAGTTCAGCAAATGATGATTCATTGTTATGAATCGTTGACAAAGTTGGTCTCGCTGACTATCTGATCGTTAATCTCGATAGTATTGATGGTGATAATTGGATATATGGTATAAAAACAAAATGAATTTTAATTAAATTTACTTTCAAAGATTCATATTAGCAAAGATTTGAAATTTCATGTCACTAGTCGTTCATTGACCAGCAGTTACTTCATGATACATTTTGAAATGCTACTTAGACAAGAAGATTCGTTTCTCCACTTTATAAATAAAATATGCCTGATAGATTACTGCGAAAATTGAAATGAATTATTTTTTAATAGAAGCTTTAATTCTGGTACAGTGGAACTTTGATAAACTGATGCCTCGATAAAGTAATAACCCTTGATATATGTACTGATATTTTTTTGTCCACTTTTACTCGAATTTCTTTGAAAGATTGCCTCGATAAAATAATATCCTCGATAAACAAATATTTTTTTGTCCCAGTTGAGATATCAGTTTATCAAAGTTCCACTGTAATAAATTGATGATGAAATATGAAAAACACGACACAATGCTGAATTTAAGTTGATCGAGTAAATAAAATCGTCATTGCTTGTATAAAATTAAGCACTTTACAATTACTCGAAGAATAAAAATCAATTAAGTTTTAGCAGTATTTTGTGAAAATTCTTACTGCAAATATGGGTATGACAAATTCTCTGTTGTTTTGTTCACAGACCAAATGTTTGCACAACTCATGAAGAACATGTAGAGGACGATGTGAAACCAAATGATAAGAATGTTTCTAGTGCCGAAGCCTCGTTTATTCATCATTTCAGTCTCAATGTCGAGACTTGTCAGGAGACCAGCAACAAGCATATTTGCAAACGTGTAACAGACCAAGGTGGGAATAAAAAAACTGTTGCAATAACTTCAAGCTGTTGTCATGGCTTTAAGAGAGGTCGAAATGGATTTTGTGAGAAATTTGAGCTTCTTTCGATGGATCAAATTGGGAATAAGTTAAATGTTAAAGCTTTTGTGAAAGCAGCTGAGAAGAATGAACTTAAGGAAATGACAGAAGCTAATGTGACTGTCTTTATGCCACCTGATGATGTCTTCATGGAAGTCGCTCAAGAAGTTTCTGACAATAATTTAGAATCGAAATCAGCTCAAAGAAATCGTCGTGAACATAACGATATTTCAATGAAAGATCTTTTATTAAATCACATTGTCAAAAGTTTAGTGGACATTGAAGACATTGACAATGAACAAATCCTGCACTCTGAATACGATAATTTGACAATTAGAATGAATGTTTTCCCAAAAATTCGCAATAATCGACGTGATCAAGATGATGATTTCCGGTACTTATACACAGTAAATTGTGTTCCAATTATCAAAGCAAACACATTCGCTGAGAATGGGATTGTTCATAAGATTCAGAAAGTTCTCATGCCGGTTGAACAAAACATCATGGAAATTATCAGGAATCGTAATGACATGACAATTCTTAGAACAGTTCTGGAGAAAACAAAGATGGATAAGATGTTGGAAGGTGTAAGTGACAACATGACTGAAGACGGTATTACATCAGTAAAACAATACAGCATTTTTGCACCAACTGACAGTGCATTTGAGAAACTTGATCCGCAATTGAAGAGAAAAATGAAAGAAGGCGCTGCATGTGCTGAAAGTGAGTAACTTTTTTATTCATTAAACTTCTTCGTCATGCTCTTTGGCACCGGTCGAGTTCTTTTTTTTCTCTTGGAATTACTAATCATAATTCCATAATCAGTTTTGTCATTCAAGGTTGAATTAACGCGTCAACGAAACAATGGACAATTAAAACATAAGCAAAAAATTGTTTAACTTATGAAGTCTTTTTTAAATCGAGGATTTTCTCGTTACAGATATTCTGAAAAATCATGTAATGGATCTGACATTCTGCTCTTCTGCGGTTATAGATGACGACGCTAAAGTGTCAGCTTACAACATATTGGGCGAAAAAATGATTTTCGAAAGATCAAATGACATCGAAGATGAAAAGACCACAAATGATGTTCGATCAAAACAAACAGAAGCTTCAATTATGATTAATGAAAAAGCTAAAATAATGGAACAAGACATAATGGGAACAAATGGTGTTGTGCATATTATTGACACCGTCTTAGAGACACAAAGCGGCCTTCCAATCTCAACAATGTTAACTGCTCATAACTTGACCATTTTTAAAACACTTATAGATTACGGAAGTTTCAGTAATGACTTTGACAACTTGAATAACGCGACATATTTTGCACCAACCGATGAAGCTTTTGAAACATCAATTATTGGAAGATATTGGATGAAGCAATTAGAAGAATCACCACAAAAACTTAAGAACAATGAAAAATTGAAAGCTTTCTTAGATTATCATGTTGTACAACCATTAACAAAATCATGTGATTTATCTCAAGAAATGCTTCCAACACTTAATGACGGTGAACCATTACGTGTTAATCTTTATTCAACAATGCCAAGCTTTTCAAATATCATCAATCGAGCAACTGTAAATTGTGCTCGCTTAATTCACTTCGATCAAGATTCTTGTGGCTCTGTATTGCACGAGGTAGACAAGGTGTTGACACCTCCAACTGGAAACTTATTCGAAATGCTTGAAAATAATACCCAATACAGTAGTTTCTTAGGGTTGGTGAAAAAAGCGAATCTCAGTTCACTGCTGGAAGAATCGTCTGATGACGGCTTAACATTGCTTGTGCCACGTGACGATGTTTTCCAAGAGGTGGGCGACTGGATGAAAGATAAAACCGAAACCGAATTAAAGGAAATAATAAAGAATCATATTGTGCCTGAAGTAGTTTGTTGTGCAGGAATTGTTCGTTCTGAATGGCCATTTACGCGAACAGTGGAAACTATCAGTAAAAATCGCTTAACATTGAATCGCGGTCGTCGTCCAAAAGTACAAAACGCTGGCATTACCAAATGTGACCAAATTGGAACCAATGGTATCATTCATGAAATCAATGATGTAATCCATATTGCTCAACGTCATGAAGCGCCTCCAAGCAACTTCTACAATACATTCTTTAATCGACCTTTCTTTTTTTAAATAAGAAATTTGAAATTCGAGATGATTATTATGACTTTCAGAAGTTACATAGGTAGTTTCGATATGAGTTGATATAATGTTCTCAAATCTTTTCACATAAATTCATTGGAAGGAAAAGGCGAAATTTAATTTATTTTTTCATAAAATGATATCTATATCAAATAACTTTCGAAATTTCTGTGTAATTATCAATTAGGAAATAATTGCGTCAGTTCTTTAAAATGATGATTAATTTGATATCTTCATTCCATTTATTCATAAAAATTTTGAAAGTCTGTCTTACATATTTCGTTAACAATTGTTTGTTTTTTGATTGATATCAGACACAGCTGATTTAGGTGAAAAATAAAAATTGCTATTTGAAAAAGTTAATTTAAAATTTCTTCTGTTTCTTTGCGTAATCGATTTCAGCAACAGCTAATGGATTGTCAGCTTTTTGCTGATATTTAAGTTTTGTTTTACTGACACTTTGCTGATGTTTTCGTTTTTTAGTGACAATTCCAACCATGTTTCTTAAAGGTGCTGGTATAATGTATTCCGGAACTTCAGCTAAATGTTCTGGAACTTTAACGACATTAATTGGTTTATCGTGTCGAAGCACTTGCAAGTCATGTGGATTATTTTCAAAAAATGTTTTCAACTTTTCCGAGTTGTACATTTCAGCTTTAATCTCTCTGAGTCTTGCTTCCTTAACCGCATTCTTAGTTATTGCTCGCCATCCATCTTGTGCTCGATATCTGAACGGTTCCACTTCTTCAAGTTTAAACTGGTGTTTCTTCATAATCATTTCTTCACCAGGATAACTTGCCAACAAATGTTCTTCAACTAAATTCATCAAATCATTTTCAGAAAGGGACACAAAGGATAAAACATTTCCAGAGTTATTTCCACGAGCTGTTCGACCTGCTCGATGAATGTATGAATTGATATCCAAAGGAAAATCAAAATTTATAACATTTGAAACACAACGAAAATCAATTCCACGAGCAACTCCCGATTCACTGTCTTGTCCCTTTTTAACTTTTGTTTTAACAGTTTTAGATGATTTTGTTAGTTGTTCTCCTGGTTTCAGAAGTGATCTCTCATCAGATGCAATTATAATGTCATAAAGTCCTTGATTAAATTGATGAACTGTATGAATTCTGATTTTTGCTGGAAGCTCAGAATTTAAGACGCATGATCTTATTTTAAACTGCCATAAGAAGAGCTTTAATCTGAAATAAAAAGTAATCATAAAATTTCCCTTTCAAAAAGTATTAATTGATGTTTTCTTAGAAAACAAATCAGAGAGAAGATTAGAACATTTAATCATCCAGTGATCTTGTCAAAATATTGAAAATATTTCGAACATCACCTCATTAATTTTACTTTGAGATTCATCAAAAATTTCAGATAAATCTATCATTCATCGAATCAAACTTACTTGTATCCTTTGTCAACTGTATTCACAAAGATAATCGATTTTCCCTTTATAAGATGAAGCTTGAAGAGTGTGTAAAGAATCGCAGCTTTGTCGTTTTCTTCCGCTGGAAGATGATAATGAGATAACTGAGTGATTGGTGGAAGTTCAGGTTCTTCAAGTTTCAAAACAACTGGATTGTGGAGAACAATTTTTTTGAGATCCATCACTTCGTCACTTAAAGTAGCCGATGCTAAAATTGACTATAGTAATAGAATGAAAGTAAATAATTAAAAATGCTATTTAAAATAATTAAAGATTTGCACTTTTCTTCACCTGATAAGCTGCTGGCATATAATCCAAAACATTTTTCAAATCGTTCTCAAATCCAAAGGAAAACATTAAATCAGCTTCATCAATCACCATTGTTTCTAAACTTTCCTTTATGTCAATATTTTTTTGAACAAGATGTGAAAGAATTCGAGCTGGAGTTGATATGACGATGTCAGGTCGTTGAGCAAGGCTGTGCTTTTGTGTCGTTGGATCTCCTTTTGCTGTTAAGTCAATGCATCGAATGATTTTACTGCATTTTATTGTTAAACCTTCTATAACCTTCCGACTTTGTTGGCATAATTCTTTACTTGGTGCGAGGATCAATGCTGTTGTTGTCTGTTCCTTTGCAGATTCCTTTGAATTCAAAATCTTTTGAATTATTGGAATTGAGAATGATGCAGTTTTTCCCGATCCTGTTCGAGCTCGTATTAGAACATCCTTCTTTTCTAAGATAAGAGGAATGGCTTTCTCCTGAATCATTGTTGGTCTCATCCATCCAAGTTTCGCTATCGCCTAAAATTATTTAAACAACAGTAGATATTATTTTCTTGGTTAAGAAATTTCATTTTAATTTGTCATGCTACCTTAAGTATCCTGTCATCCAATTCCATTTGATGGAAATTTAAAGATTTTTCATCTTTTTTATCTTCAGCAGAGTCTTCCATGTCTTTAAATAAAATTGTTTTCTTCAAATAATTTTGATTTCCGGCAAAAATGCCTGTGAAAAGGGTAAACAAGTACTGCAAATTTGTAAGTGTGAGTAACATAAACTTAATGATGTTGAGAATGTGTTCGTGAAGTTTGTTTGAAAAAAATTGTAAATCTTTATACTGTAGGGCAGAAAAGAAAATTTAATTAATCAATTAGAGGATCATTGTTCGTAGTTTTGAGTTGCAGCAATGTCGACATTGGAAGATAAGATTATGGGCGAAAAGCTGCAGTATTATTGCAGTAGCTCAGAAGATGAAAAAGAAGGATCAGGCGATGAAGGAGACGATGATTGTGAAGGAGCTAAAGGAAAAGCCTCTGTGTCTCAACCAGCTCCAGATTTAACACAAGATATGACTCATTGGCAAGGAAATAGTGCCAACACTGGACCAAAAGGTACAATTTTTTTTTTTAAAAATAAAGTTGAATTTAAATTATATTTTTTCTTTTATTGAAGGTGTTATTAAAGATTGGCAGAGATTTAAGCAGCTTGAGAATGAAAAGAGACAAGATCAAGAGCGTGAGAGACTTGAATTGATGAAAAAGTTAAGCATTACTGCAAAAACAACACTTGAAGATCAAAAAGCGAAAGAGCGGGACGAGCTTGATGCTGAACTGGAAGAACTACTGAACGATGATTTTCTACAAGAATTCCAAAAACGTCGAATGCAAGAAATGCTTGCAATGCCTGGAATGCTTCCTAAATTTGGAACCGTAATTTCACTGAAAAATGGTGAAGAATTCCTGCAATCCATCGATGGAGAAAACAAAAACGTCACCGTCATCATTCATATTTACGAGGAGAGGTTCAAAGCATGCAAAACCATGAACAAATGCATAGCGAAGCTTGCACAAGAATACACAACTGTGAAATTTTGTAAGATTCTGAGTGTCGTTGCTGGTCTTAGCAAAAAGTTCAAAACCGTAGCCCTTCCAACGATTCTTGTTTATAAGAATGGTCAAGTAATTGGAAATTTCATAAGAATGAGTGAAGAGTTTGGTGACGAATTTTATGCTTCCGATGTTGAGAGCTACTTAATCGAACATGCTCTCTTGCCTGACAAATCACTTATGCCTGCAATTACATCCAGCTCCACTGCCCAAGATGACAATGATGAATAACTTTTTATACTCGTAAATTTCATGATTGTATCAGAACAATTTAATTAATTACAGTTTTAATTTGATGCACTCGCATCAGTTTCCCATCGCATTTCATTCACCCTCATGTTTGAAGTATTACATTACTAACACTATATCATTTTAATTAAAACTTATTAAGACGCATTAATGTAAACAACATCAGCATAGCATCGTAAATCAGCAATAAAGTTTTCTTTCTTTTCTAATTCCATGAAGAAAAAAACACCAGACACATTCTATTGATTAAAACTTTTTGATTTATTTACCATGCATCATTAAAAAGTAATAAAATTTTATTACAGTTGAAATTCTTCAGTTTTGAAGAGTTAGTTACAATACTTTGAGCGTTTTAAAAAAAATCTGGGCATAAAGATCTCCACTTTAATTGAGTTAATAAAAAATTATTCTTTGCTTGGTGCTTTGAAGTCAAACACATAAAAAAATGTCAGCAATGCAAATACAAAAATATCGAAAATATCTAATATTTATAAGGAGAGTATGACTTATAATTGTAAGCGGTGCAATATCAAAATATTTCTCCTTATTGGTTATTTCGGTATTGAATTGCTTGTCGGTTTCGATCAGGTCTCCCTTCTATAGCATAATTAGGAGGTTGCCTTCGAGCTCCACCGATAGAATCCTTCCAGATCATAGCAATGAGTAAATAAAATCCACCAATTACTTTTGAACATAAATCAACAAGAACCAATGCAATTGGTGTTAAAACATGAATGAGCCAAGTCGTTCGCTCAATAAATTTTATTGTGAAAATACCGACGTATTTAATGATTTCTGATAAACTACTGATGAGGGAAACAATCACAAGAAAAACAAATCGAAAAAATTCTGTTACTGTCGTTCGATTTATGGAAATTGATAGAATAAATGCGATAAAAGCGGAAATTTCACGTTTCCAGAAATCTAATAAAATTTTCCATGGTTCGATTGCATCATTAGTATTTATTTTTTCGTCATTTAGTTCTTTTGGATTTTCTGCATTTGTTGCTTTGGTTGTTGACTTAAGAAGTTCTGCAAAACTTTTGGTATCCCCGTCATCAATTGATCTCAAACATTTTAATTTTATCTGAATCTCGTTGAGTCTAAACTTTACAGTTTTTATCTGAAAAAATTAGGAAAATATTTGGATAAATATCTGATGCTTAGTTCTTACTTATGATTCTATCTTACTTGAAACCAAAATTTGCCGAACGGAATTTCATCGTCCAGTTCTGTGAATATTTGGTATTTTTCGTCAACTTTTCTTACTCCTATAACTACTTGACCAGCAATATTTCTTTCAAAATCAGAAATTAAACGTTTCAGATCATCTGCAAACTCTTTTTCTGATTTTTCGTTTATTATAACTAAGTCTCGATAGCATTTCAAAGGTTCACAAAGACGTTTTTCTTGGAAAACTCCAATAAAAATCTTTGATTTATACCTCGACTTTATTTGTGATTGGAATATTTCATAGTTCAAAGTCTCAAACCCCAACCTTTTATCCATCAAAATGTGTAAAATTAAATTATTGAAAAACGTCAAGCAAAATCTGATTGTGAAAAACTGGTTAAAACAAATCAGCTGTTCATATAAGCAATTTTACAAGCAGACACATTTCATTTGAGCGGGAGAGAAATTTAAATTTCAAGGAGACAAAGTTTCACTCACTCACACTAACAAAGCTGAGAAGTTTGTTTACAGTCTTTTCTACCACCAAATTAATTTAAAATCTAAAAAAACACTTGAAAAACTGAAATTTAATACTTGGTAGAACCCTAAAAGCATAGTTAAATCAGTAATGTATCTCGATGAGTTAAAGTTTTTCAAATAAACTGGTTTTTAAGCATGCAAAAATGAATAATAAAAATTTTACCGGCAAGCGTGCAAAATTATAAATAACAAGATTTTTTTGGAAAAAACTATTCAAAAATAAATTATAACAAATAAAACTTTTCAAAATGATGTCCGGTACAGCAGGAGCTAATTCAATCGTCAAAGTTTTGGGTGATTCTTCAATAAAGGAAGATTTGCGATTGAAAGCTGCTCAGGAACTCGCGGAAACCTTCGAAAATAATGTTAACTGTGCTGGATATCCGTCGTTCCTTGACGGAGCTATGAAAACCTTCCTCAAGGTTCTTCAAGAAGGTGAACCACACTTCTTCTCTGACTTTAACATTCAACAAGTGAGTAGTTTACATTTCAAAGTTTTCATTTCTGAATTCCTCATCCTTTCTCGTCCTGTAGATGAGAAAATTGATCCTAGAAATGATCCATCGTCTACCTGTGTCTGAAATTGTTCGACCCTATGTTAAAAGCATCTTAGCACTTATGTTGAAGCTTTTGAGAACTGATAATGAGGATAATGTGTTAGTTTGCCTAAGAATTATAATCGATCTTCATAAACAATATCGACCGACGTTTCATCCAGAGGTATATTACATTGACCTACATTTTTATGTTGAAAATAAAGTAACAATTACAAATGCATTGCAGATTCAATACTTCATAACATATGTTCGCAACATTTATTATGACCTTCCCAAAAATATGAACAGAATTTTCGAACCACGAGAGCAGTTACGTGTGACAGATCTCAAGGAAGTAAATTTAGAACAATTACTTCCTGAAATTTTCACCGCAACAACAATTTATGTTGATAAACAAGATGCCGAAGGAAAGACAACAAGCGCCACTTTTAATCTTCTTCCTCGTGGCGTTAACTCACTTAAAGTTCTTCAGGAACTTCCCATCATTTTGGTTCTCATGTACCAAATTTACAAGCAAAATGTACATCAAGAAATAGTTGAGTTCGTTCCACTTATCATGTCAACTATCACATTACAACCATCTCCTGTTCATCGTGCCAATCCAAACTTTAACAGAGAAGTTTTCGTAGATTTTATGGGCGCACAAATCAAAGCATTGTCTTTTCTCGCTTACATTATTCGAACATTCTTGGCTCAATTTCAAGATACAATCAATACTCATGCCCCATCAATGGTTGAAGGAATGATTTCACTCCTTCGATTATGTCCCATTGGGCCAGCAAGCTTAAGAAAGGAGCTTCTCGTTGCAACTCGTCATATTCTTGCCACAGAATTACGAAACAAATTCATAAATTCAATTGATCTTCTTTTCGATGAAGATTTACTTCTTGGACGTGGATATACATCGCATGAATCTCTTCGACCTTTAGCTTATTCAACACTCGCTGACTTAGTTCATCATGTTCGAACACATTTAAAACTAGACATTCTAACAAAAGCTGTTTATTTATTCTCGAAGAATGTTCATGATGAATCACTTCCAACAAGCATTCAGACAATGTCATGTAAGCTTCTTCTAAATCTCGTCGATTGTATTAGAATTCAAAGAAATGACGACAACTTTACATCGCCAACACCAAGAGAATTACTCATGACAATGTTGAAAGTTTTCACTTTAAAATTTCATACTATTGCTAAACTTCAATTGCCATTGATTATGCAGAAATGGAAGAATCTCAGTTCACAACCACAGACAACATCAATTGACATCAACAAGGAAATGATTGGAATTGATATTTCACCTGAAACAATGGGAAAGCTGACAAGCATTGGCTTTTCCCCACCCAACACTCTCAATGTTAGTGAATATCGAAGTTTAGTGAAGACATTGATTTGTGGTGTTAAGACGATTACTTATGGAATAAACTTGACAGATAACGCACAACAGAAAGTTCAACCTATGCCTGTGACATTCCAACCTGACGAAGTTCTCATTTTTATCGATTTATTCAATTGGGCTCTGGAGGCTCTCGATATTTACATGATTAACATTCCAACACCAGGAATGCCGCTCACCAATAAACCAATCACACAAATGCCAAGATCAAAGGATGAGAAAGAATTACTCGAACATTTCAGTGGATTGTTCTTGACAATGTCAGCACAAAATTTCCAAGAGATTTTCTCATCAACAATCGACTTTATGGTTGATAGAATTGCACAAAATGTCGCACTTCAAGTGATTGCAAACTCATTTCTTGCTTCACCAACAACATCGCCGTTGTTCGCAACAGTTCTCATTGAGTACTTACTTGAACGAATGGAAGAAATGGGATCAAATGTGGAGAGATCAAATTTATATCTTCGATTATTTAAACTTGTTTTTGGGAGCGTCAGCTTGTTTGCTAATGAGAATGAGCAAATGCTTCGACCACATCTTCACAGTATTGTCAATCGATCAATGGAACTTGCAATGACGGCTAAAGAACCTTACAATTATTTTCTCTTACTTCGTGCACTTTTCCGTTCAATTGGTGGCGGGAGTCACGATAAACTTTACAAAGAATTTCTGCCACTTCTACCAAATCTTCTTGAAGGCTTAAATCGACTTCAAAGTGGATTCCATAAGCAACATATGAAAGATCTGTTTGTCGAATTATGTCTAACTGTTCCCGTTCGTTTATCATCGCTTTTGCCATATTTGCCGATGTTAATGGATCCCTTAGTTAGTGCCTTGAATGGATCACCGACACTTGTGAATCAGGGGTTGCGAACTCTTGAAGTAAGTAATTGTAACTTTAAAACAATTCATTTAATTAACTTTTTTTTATTATATTTAGCTTTGTGTTGATAATCTTCAACCGGATTTTCTTTACGATCACATTCAACCAGTTCGTGCTGATTTAATGCAAGCACTTTGGAGAACATTGCGCAATACTGACAGTGCTGCTTTGGTTGCATTTCGTGTGCTTGGAAAGTTTGGTGGTGGGAATAGAAAAATGATGATTGAACCACAACGGCTTGAATATAATGTTAAGGATTCACCACCGCCAGCTGTTGTCGCATATTTTCAAGAGCAAAGACGTCCAATTGACTTTCCTGTTGACAAAGTCATTGAAACAGCTTTCATAGCATTGAAGACATCATCAACTGATCCATTTTACTGGGCACAGAGTTGGGAAGTAATCCGATGCTATTTATCAGCATCAATCTCGTTGTCAGATGAGAAACATATGCTACAGAAGTTATTTACACATCCAAGCTTCACTGAAGGTAACATTCCGAACATCAGCATCACTCAATCTCATTTCCAGGAGAATCTTGCACGTAAAACACATCAAACAGCCTTGACAGCGATGTTTGTAGCAGCAGCCACAAAAGAATTAAGACAATCAGTGTTACCAACAGTCATTGACGTTGTTCGTCATTACACAATGGTCGCAATAGCACAACAAGCTGGACCATTTCCACTTAAACATAATCAATCGTATAACGGCTTAGATCCACTCGTGTTAATTGATGCACTTGCTGCTATTATGGGACATGAAGAAAAAGAATTATGTAAAGCAGCAAACTTTGCAATGGTTTTAATTCTTAAAACATCAACTGACATTATGGGAACGAAAGAGCGTGCATGCCGTTTACCGATTATGCAATATTTAGCTGATAAAATGTCAAATCTTTGCTACGAACGCCCATGGTATGCAAAGATGGGTGGATGTATAGCATTAAAGTTTTTATATGAACAAATGTCAATGCGATGGCTCTATCAACATCTATTTACATTCCTCAAAGCTTATCTTTTCGTCATTATGGATTTGACTGGTGAAGTGTCAAGCGGAGCTATTGATATGGCGAAATCATATTTGGAGAATATGCTAAACATCTGCATGGTTCCGTTAGATAAAGAATGTAAGAATGAAGAATTGATTGCAATACAAAGAAAAGCGATGTTTGATGTGACACATGAACTTGTACGACGAATTACAAGTCCACATACACTCGTTCGTGAAACGGCAATGTCTTCACTACGACAAATTGCGAAATTACAAGATACAACTGTCACTGATGTGATGCTGCCACATAAAGAAGTTTTGGAAGATATTGTGCCACCGAAGAAGCATTTATTGAAACATCAACCAGCTGGAGCACAAATTGGGCTTATGGATGCAAACACTTTTTGTACGACACTTGAACCGAAACTTTTCACACTTGATATCAGCATTGTAACACATAAATTCTTCTTTCATGAAGTCATAACACTTGCTGAAGTCGATGACATGTTTCTGAGTAAACTTGATTGCTTTAAGAACATTACAAATCTTATTCCACTTCGTAAAAGTGCATTGCGTGCTTTGGCTGCATGTCATTACTTAGGACAAGATAGAAAGACTGTGAAAGAGAAAATTTTCACTATTCTTTATCGTGCATTGGAAAAGAATTCTGAGTTACAAGAAACAGCTTTTGAATGTATGCAAAAGTTTAATCTTGGATGTGCTGCCGAGAAAGAATTTCTTTTACAAAGTTTTCGTCCTTTGTTGATGGCTTTGGGCGATCATCGAAATCTTACAATTAACATTGTTAAACGATTGTCATACTTGACGCAATTGTTTCCATCGATGTTTAATGAAAAGCTTTGCGACCAATTATTGGAGATTATCAAAAAGATGCTCCAAGCTTCTGTAGCTGCAAATAAAAGTCAAAACTTCTTAAAAGTGTCAAAGACTGGTGAGACTGAGATGAAGATTGCAACAATTATTGAGATTTTCCATCAGATTCCGGCAGCAACACAAAAGTTTGTTCGAAGTCTCATTGATTTGGTGTTGGCAGTTGAAAAGGAGATAATGATTGAACCTTCAAGTCCATATCGAGCGCCATTAGTGAAATTTCTCATTCGTTATCCTGATGAGACTGTCGACGTATTTATGAGTGAAGGAAGTATTAAGAACGCACAATATAATCGCTTTTTAATCTTCTTATTGAAACATAAAGACGGTTTACCATTCAAGACAATCATGGAGAGTCGAGAAGATCGATTAGTGGAATTAATCTTAAAAGACAAAACAAATCACAATTCAACACTTCCTGAATACACTCAAGAGGATGAAAATGAAGCACAACATCAAGGAATCTTAATTGTTCATACATTAATTGAACTTAATGATAAATGGCTGCCCTCACATATAAAAATTGTGAATGCATTGAACATCATTTGGTCTCGCGAATTAGGAAGTTCAGGTACAAGTGAAACAATAACTTGTGACATGTGGCATTTAGTTGCGAAAATTCTACTTCATTACTTTGAATATAATCCAAGTAACATTAAATTACTTTATGATCTTCTCAAAGTTATGTGCATGAGATTTATTCCTGACTTTCAATTCTTACGTGACTTCGTACAAAATGTTGTCTGTCAAACTTACACCGTCGAATGGAAACGAAATGCTTTTTTTATGTTTGTTGAGAATTATAAGAATCCATTAGTGTCGACAGATTTGAAAGTGAAAATTCTCACAACAATCATAATTCCGAGTTTTGCTGTGAGTTTTGAAAAAGATGAAGGAAATGCTTTGATTGGGGCACCTCCAAATCCATATCAAGAAGATGATAACAATATTGTATCAGTGTTTATTAACAAGGTTATTGATCCGGAGAAGTCGATGGATGATGATGAAGATCCATTAAGAATTGCTTTGCTTCAATTTGCTTGCTTGTTGGTTGAACGTTCATCAGCTCATATTCATGATGGTGGATCGAGTAGTAAGAAAGAAGGGAGCAAACTTCGACGTCTTATGACATTTGCTTGGCCATGTTTGTTGGCTAAGAATTATGTTGATCCAGCTGCACGTTATCATGGCCATTTACTTCTCGCTCACATCATTGCACGTCTTGCAATCAACAAACGAATTGTCTTGCAAGTCTTTCACTCGTTACTGAAAGCGCATGCAGTGGAAGCACGTCATGTCGTACGACAAGCTCTTGAAGTTCTCACGCCAGCAATGCCTTTGAGAATGGAAGATGGGAATCAAATGCTTACACATTGGACGAAAAAAATTATTCTTGAAGAAGGACATTCAATGCAACAACTTCATCATATTCTTCAGCTTATCGTTCGACATCACAAAGTTTATTATCCTGTTCGTCATCAACTTGTACAACAAATGGTTTCATCAATGAATCGTCTTGGGTTCTCACCTAATGGTTCCATTGACTATCGAAAATTAGCTGTGGAACTTGCCGAAGGTATCATTAAATGGGAATTGCAGAGAATTAAAGAAGACAGCGATGGTGTAGCATCAGATGATGAGACAATAGCAACAACAGAGAAATCAAGTGGCAATGGAAGTGTCAAAAGAGCATTGCAAGATAATGAAGAGTCAGTAAGAAAGAAACAAGCAGTTGGTGATGTTCCGGGAGCTTCAACAACAGTTGCTTCTACGACACAACCAAGAGGTGAAGACTATTCACGTCCAATAGAACGAAACCAATGCGATTCAGCCTTAAATTTCCTCTTCCGCTTAGCATGTCAACTTGGCGATGTTCCACCACAAATTCCTGGTGTTGTAACACCAAGTGAAACATTAACACGTCGTGTTATTGCTTTAATCAAAAGAGTTTTAGATCCAGAAGTTTGGCTGCATACGTGCGATTTAAAATTGCAATGGCTTGACAAAGTTTTTCTTACGTCGGAACCGACACAATCGAGTATTACAAATATTTGTGTTGGACTTGAATTATTGACATTCCTTCTTGGCTGCATGCGACGTGAACAACTTCTTGCAATCTTTCGTCCACTCCAACGTGGTTTATCAGTTTGTGTGACAAGTCACAATCCTAAAGTTATTAAAATGATGCACTCATTGTTGACGAAATTAATGTCGATCTTTCAACTTGATCATAAACATGACGAATTGGATCTTCTGTATAGTCATATTAATAAAACAATTTGCGAGGGACTTTCACAATTTGATAAAAATCCAAAAGCAACGCCAACATCTCTGTTTGGCACTTTAATGATACTCAAAGCTGTTTGCACCAATAATCAATCGTATATTGATCGTTTGATTTTAACATTTATGGTGATTCTTGATCGATTAAAAAAGGAGCATATTGGGCCGACAATACAAGTTGTTCAACCACTACAAACAACGACAACAACATCGTCACAACAGCAGCCAATTCAAGGACAACAACAGCAACAACAAATTCCGGCACACAGCAATACAGAAATAACTCTTGAATTGCTTTGTTTATGTTTGGATTTGGTGAAGAATCGTGTGATTGTAATGGGCGTTGATTTAAGAAAACAATTCATAGGCACAATTCTTGTTGGATTAATTGAGAAGAGTACAGAACCGAAAGTGATTAAAGCGATTATTAAAATGATTGAAGAGTGGATGAAGAACAAGAACAGTTCATTGTCGGTGTTGCAAGCACCAACATTAAGAGAGAAATCAATTTTACTTGTTAAGTTGATGCATTATGTTGAGAAGCGTTTCTCGGATGATCAAGAACTGAACGCACAGTTTCTTGAACTTGTCAATTTTATTTATCGTGATGACCAATTGAAAGTGAGTGAATTAACATCGAAACTTGAACAGGCATTTCTTGCTGGTCTTCGCTGCTCACAGCCGAGTATTCGAAGTAAATTCTTTGAAGTGTTTGATGGTTCAATGCGACGTAAACTTCACGATCGCCTGCTTTACATTGTTTGTTCGCATTCATGGGATTCAATTCAACATCATTATTGGATTAAGCAATGCATCGAGTTGCTTATCTTAACTACAAACACGACACATTCACAAATTAAGAATTCCAATGAATCTCATTTACTTCCAAGCATCACTTCAGTGATTAATTTGGCAGATTCAGAAGAGAAAAATAATTTCGTTATTTACACTTCACTTCAACCAGATCAGCATGAAATGAATGTTGTTGTTGAGGATAAAGAAGATGCAATTGACATGGAGATGAGTGTGGATACAAACATTTCAAGACGAGAAGAAAGTGAACGACCAGTTGAGAATCGTTCGGCAATTTTATCAAAACTTATTAATCGACAAGCAGAATTCTTGGAAGCATCAAGAAAAGTTAAGACAGAACAACTTTTAATAGCAACAGCGCAACTTTGTCATATGGATACGAATCTTGCTGAATCAGTTTGGTTGAATATGTTTCCACGTCTTTGGTCGATTCTCGAAGATGGACAACAACAATCGTTGGATCGCGAATGTGTTGCGTTCTTATCATCAGGAACTCATGTTATTCAGAAGGATTGCCATCCAAGTGCTTTAAATACTTTCGTTGAAGCTCTCGCTCATTGTCAACCACCGATTTATATTCCACCAACTTTAATGACATATTTGGGTAAAGCACACAATCTTTGGCACCGAATGACGTTAATGTTGGAAGATATGGCACTTGAATGGGCAAATCGACGTGAAGGAATGACAACAACATCAACAGGTGATTATCGAAGTGAATATGATTTTGATGTTGAACTTCAGAATGAAATTGCAACATCGAATGTAAGTGGAAGTGGTGGAAATAGTGCAACAACGTCAATTGTCTTAGATCCATTGTCACAAATGTATTCAGCATTACATGAAGAAGATTTATGGGCTGGTTTATGGCAGAAATTTGCGAAATATCCAGAAACAAACGTTGCAATTGCTTATGAACAAATGGGATTTTTTGAGGAAGCACAAAACATGTACGACATGTGCATGACGAAATTTAAACAAGAAGTATTGAATGGAAGTATTTCTACAGAAATGAATAGCGAGATTTTACTGTGGGAGAATCATTGGATTCGTTGCACTAAAGAGTTAAATGAATGGAACATTTTACTTGAATATGGTCAATCGAATAAAGATAAAAATGCTTTTCTTATTATGGACAGCGCTTGGCGTGTTCCTGACTGGAATCTCATGAAACAAGCATTGCTGAAAGTTGAACAAACAAGTCCGAAACAAATGGGACATAAAGTGAGTTTATATCGAGGATATTTAGCGATTTTGAATCATGAAGAACCACAACATTTGCCATCAGTCGAGAAATATGTTGAAATATCATCAGCTTTGTGTATGAGGGAATGGCGACGATTACCAGCAATTGTTTCTCACATTCATTTGCCAATTTTACAATCAGCACAACAAATTATGGAACTGCAAGAAGCAAGTCAGATTCATCAACAACCTTTGAAGATTCCCGATATGAAAGCCGTCGTCAAAACATGGCGTAATCGTTTACCAGTCATTGCTGATGATTTATCACATTGGAGTGATATCTTTACATGGCGTCAACATCATTATCAGATCATTACTGACAGTATGGGAAATTCTGATCTCGGACCACATGCATCAGCTCAAACAATCATCCAATTTGGTAAAGTGGCGAGAAAACAGAATCTGACGAGTGTTTGTCATAATCTTTTGTCAAGAATTCATACAATTCCATCAGTGCCAGTTGTTGATTGCTTCCAAAAGATCCGACAAGAAGTCAAATGTTTCATTCAAATTGCAAGCAATAATCAAGATCAACGATCGCTTGATGAAGCTTTAGAAGTAATTGAAACAACAAACATTAAATTCTTTAACAAGCCTGAACTTATTGCAGAAATTTATGTTTTAAAAGGCGTTTTGCTTTCACAATTGTCACGTTCTGATGATGCCAACAAAGCTTTTAGTGTTTCTGTTCAACTTTGTGATTCATTAACAAAAGCTTGGGCAACATGGGGCGACTATTTAGAAGGAAACTTCAGTCGCGATCCACGAAACACCACGTTAGGTGTTTCGGCTATGACATGCTTCTTACATGCATGTCGTCAACAAAACGAATGTAAATCAAGAAAATATTTTGCAAAAATCATTTGGCTTTTAACATACGATGAATCACGAAGTGATATGATGGATGCTTTGGAGAAATATGGACAAGCAATTCCACCGATTCAATGGCTTCCTTGGATACCTCAGTTATTGAATTGTCTGATACAATATGAAGGCGATGTCATTATGAATCTTCTAAGTAACATTGCTCGAAGCTTTCCTCAAGCTGTTTACTTTCCTATTCGCACACTTTATTTAATGTTAAAGATTGAACAACGCGAACGCTATAAAAGTGTTGAGCAGGCTATGGCGAAGAATCAACAACAATCAGGAAGTGAACAAAGTTCAGAAAATACAACAAGTGGTGGAACACCATCAACAAGTTCACAAACTACATCGCAAGGTAACACACAAGCATCACAAACTATCAAAGCAACACCGCCGATGTATCGTTGCTCGAAAATTATGCACATGCAACGAGATATTCATCCAACAACTCTCAGTTCTCTCGAAGGAATCGTTGATCAAATGGTTTGGTTCCGTGAGAATTGGTATGAAGAAGTTTTAAGACAATTGAGACAGGGATTAGCGAAATGCTACGCGATTGCTTTTGATAATCGTGGGGCTGTAAATGAAGCGACCATCACTCCACATACACTTAATTTTGTTAGAAAACTCGTGTCCACGTTTGGTATTGGGATAGAGAACATTACAAATAATACAACAATTAGTGCTGGATCTTCTGCTTCGGAATCATTAGCGAGACGAACACAGGCAACAGTTCAGGATCCAGTTTTCCAGAAACTCAAAGGTCAATTTACCAGCGATTTTGATTTCTCACAACCTGATGCTACGAAAATGCAAAACTTGATTTCGAAATTAAAGATTTGGATTAAAATTTTAGATGTGAAGACAAAACAACTGCCAAAGTAAGATTATTAAATTATTATCTACGAAAAAAAGGCTAATTTTTAAACTTATTTTCCACAGATCATTTTTAATTGAAGAAAAATGCAGATTCTTATCAAATTTCAATCAGAAGACAGCAGAAGTCGATCTTCCTGGCGAACTCTTGCTGCCACGTCATTCTCATTATCATGTGAAGATTGCTCGATTTATGCCACGTGTTGAGATTGTTCAAAAGCACAACACATCAGCGAGAAGGCTTTTTATTCGCGGAACAAACGGAAAGGTGAGTTTTAAATCATGAGTGACGTCATTTGTTTTATTACTTCATTCAAAGTAGTATAATAACATTGATCACTGTGATTACAAAAACTGATGAATACGATAAATGTGCAGCTCCATCGGTACAATGAACATTTTTTTCATAATATTTCGGTCCCAAACATGTCGCATATGTCATTGCATGTGCCAAGTAGCTTTGTTCATAAACTCCACTAAATAACTAAGAAACATTTCATTAAAAATGTTCATTAAATAAAATGATTTTAACTCATATTACATGCGCATAAGGACCATTTGCATAAACTCCAACATCTTCTCCCGCGTGCGTCTCTTCTTCCTTTTGAATAGTTGCTGGCTGTCTAAAAAATGGATCCATGTACCTCATGCCTCTTGGATTTTGTCTTCCACCTGTCGGATGAGCGTGTTCTTTATGTCCAGGTCCATTTGCATAATTCAGAGTAAAAAACCATTTTTCTTCAGCTCTCGAGAAATCTCCAACACCAAGAATGTTTCGATTGCGAGGCTTATTAAAGTCAAATTAAAATTCTCCTTTATGTTCAAGAAATAATTTAACTTACTGGATAACCGCCAACTGTAAATACATGACTATGATCGGCTGTCACAATAGTCAATGTATCTTCTTCATTCGTTATATTATTTACATAATCAACAACTTTATCAAACTCAACAGTTTCTTCAAGTGCAAGTCGAGCTCTTCCTTGATGATGTGCATGATCAATTCTCCCACTTTCCACTAATAATACAAAACCTTTCTCGTTCTTCTTCATTATTTCCAATGCTTTTGCTGTCATTTCAGTTAAAGTCGGTTGAATATTTGTATCCGATAACATTTGATATTCCATATGACTATGTGCAAAGATCCCCAATATTCGATCATTTAAATCAATGTCGATTGCCTTCAATTCATTCTGAAATTTACTTAATTTAATTCTCTTAATGTTCATTTCCGATAATAAGTTGAGACTTTACTCTATTCTGAACGTATGAAAATCGTTTAAATTGCTTTCGTTGATTTTCTTTGTATTCGTCAATAAGATTTCTGTTGTCAGTGCGAAAACCTCGTTCTGAATTTTGATTGACATTTGTGTTGGGTAAAAACGAGCGTCTGCCACCACCCATAATCACATCAAGTTTTGATCCAATCTCACCATGTATTAATTGATGAGCGATATCATGACAACCATCGGGAACTCCTTCATTTGATTCCCAATATCTTGAAGCACTTTTTGCATAAACAGCTGCGAGAGTTGCATGCGTGATTCGAGTGTTTGTCACGAAACCAGTTGACAATCCAGCGTCCTGTGCATATTTAAAGATTGAATCAACATGCTTACTTTTGTCTTGTTGAGCTGTACAATTTCGAAGATTCACATCACCAGTTAAACCCAAAACGTTAAAATTGTTTTTGATTCCACTAAGAATCGCTGTTGCTGTGCATGCTGAATCAGAAACTTGATAGTTAATGCAATAAGTCTTTGACATACCGGAGAATGGAAATTTCTCAAACGATAATTCACTTCTAACGTCACCAATGTAAGCTCTCGTTGCCATTTGTGTTGATATTCCCATTCCATCACCAATAAAGATCACAAGATTCTTCACTTTGTTCATGTTAAGTTTTGTGTTGATAATTTTCTTTTTCAATAAATTTTGACCATGATCAACCCAAAATTTTCGCTGTTTCTCTTTTTCTGGTCCATTTGGTGGGACAAAAATTTTTTCATCCCACCAATTTGGAATTTTTTCATACCATCTTGGATCATCAAATTCCCATTCTTGCTCGTTATTTGCATCAGAATAAATTCCAGTCATCAATAGAGCTAATAAAAAAATTAAAAACTTTTTCATTTTGCTTTACATTCACTTGTTGATCACGAAACATTTAAATAATGAGTAAATGACAAAAGAAATGAAAATTCCAACGATTTTATCGTTGATTACCAGAAGATAAGAAATAAATTATGAAATTCTTGTTTTTTAATTATTTCCAGATTTATCCTTATCTGGTCGTTAATGATTCGGGATTAGTTGATGCACGACGTGAAGAAAGAGTTCTTCAACTTCTTCGAATGCTGAATAGTTATTTGACAAAGAGTAAAGAAACAAGCAAAAGATTCTTGCACATAACAGTTCCACGTGTTGTTGCAGTTTCACCTCAAATGCGACTAGTTGAAGATGATCCAACAAGTATTTCACTTCTTGATATTTTAAAGAGTTATTGCTCAAGATTGAATATCGAACACGATGCTCCAATCTCCAGGTACTATGAAAGATTGGGAGAAATTCAACAACGTGGATCACAAACATCTCATGGAACATTCAGAGAAATCTTTAAAGACATTCAAACGAATATGATTCCGAAGACAGTTTTGAAAGACTGGGCGACGAGAACATTCAATTCAGCGACAGATTATTGGACGTTTAGAAAGATGTTCACCCTACAATTGTCGTTGTGTTGCATTCTTGAGTATGCTTTTCATTTAACAAGACTCAACGCTGACATGATGTATTTGCATCAAGATTCAGGACTTTTAAACGTTTCGTACTTTAAATTCGATCTTGATGATGTCAACGGTGAATTCAATAAAATGCGACCAGTACCGTTCCGTTTGACACCAAATATTGTTGAGTTCTTGACAAACATCGGAATTTCTGGTCCACTTCAAGCTTCTGTTATCGCAACTGCGCGATGCTTCTTGCAACCAAACTTCCAGGTGAGAAATTGTGAAAACCATAAAAATTTGCACATTTTAATCTTAATTTTAATTACAGCTAGCAACAATTCTAAGAACGATTCTACGTGACGAGATCATCACAATTTATCGCAAACAAATCATGAACACAAAGCCAACTGATGCCAATGAAGATCTTTCACAAGATAAAAGTTTCAGTGAAATTAACATTGAAAATGTCATTCAAATAATCAACAAAGATACAAATCAAATCATTGAGCGTTTGAAAACGCTTTCAAACTTTGACCATAGTGATGGAAATAAAATGTCACAACTTATTCAACTAGCTCGGAATCCTGATTACTTATGTGGAATGGATCCGTCATACCAACCATGGTTGTAAGGGAGATTACTTAAGATTTTAAAAACAAAAGAATTTCGTTTTCATCGGTTTGAATTTTTCTTCAATGATAAGTTTGAGTTTACATTTTAAAAAAAATAAAAAGATTTAGGAAATAAAAAGAAACTTTTATGTCAATTTTAATGTGTTTTCTTCATAAATCCTGAAAAATTAAAGACCTTCAACTTTTTTTAATTTTTTTTTATTAACTCTGTAACTTGATCAGATGTTTGTGTTACAATGGGTTGGAAAATTGTCGCAAGTTTATTTCTTTGTATTGAGAATGATACCATCATACTTCTGTTGGAACCACTTCATGGCGTCTTCTTTTGTGAGACGGTGTTGGAATCCGATCATACCACGTTTACGACGACGTTGAGCAACATTGTAGCCTATAGAAAAATAAAAATAATTAAAATATTCATAACTGTGACTATTACAAAAATGTTAAGACTGTTCCTTCTTCACCGTGCCATTTTCAAATTAAAATTTGTGAATAGCGTTAAGCAAAGAATGAGTGATTTCAGCACATAGACTGGATGTCAAAAGTTTTAAATATGAACAAATGGCACCTAATTATTGTGCTTTTATGACAATCTTTAAATCACTACTTACCAGGTCGTCCGAGAACAACGTAAAAGTCAAGACCATAAATTCCAATTGATGGATCGTATTTGATACCCAAATCGATGTGTTCCTGGATACCGAAACCAAAGTTTCCATTCTGTGAGAAATTTTCACGTCTCAACTCGTATTCTCTGACCTAGAAAAATAGAAGAAAATAAGAAAAAGTTAACATAAAACCAATCTATGGATTATTATAAATATATTGTATCTTAATATTTGTAAGCAGTTTAGTATTAAAAATGAGTAAACCGCAGTTGCAGAAAAGATGATTTATTTAGCATGTTCTAGGATTAGCGTAAAGAGAATGTATAGCTCAATGCTAATAAGGCAGAACATGCCCACTCCACTTCACTTGCTTACCTTAAGACCTTTTTCTAAGATTTCTTCGGCTTTCGCACCGCGAACTGTGCAGTGAACGGCAATCTTTTCATTACGACGAATACCGAAGGAACGGACAGTGTATCGGGCCTTGGAATAAACTGGCTGTTGACCGGTAAGTTGTTCCAGCACCTAAAAATACAAAATATTATTTTTGTTATTTATAATTTTAACCTAACTTTTATATTTTTTTCTTGCCTTAGCAGCTCTTGTAAGTCTGTCACCAGATTCTCCGACACAAATATTTAGACAGAGTTTGCGGATTTTGAGATCACGCATAATATTTTTTGTTTTATCTTTGCTAGCTCCTTTAGCCGGAGCAGGAGTGGATGCGGTCTGAAAATAAAAAAAAATAAAAAAAAATTATTTCAACGTGTGCTAAACGAAATTAATAAATTAACAGACGATAAATAGAGATTTTCTTAAATAATTCAACATCATATCAAGGTTTGGTGGCTTACGAATAAAAACGAGCTACCATATCAATGATTTTCTGTTGTAAAACCATTCAATCTATATAAAAATAAGAACACAACACTTACTTTACTCGCCATTATTCCCAAAAAGACAGAATATACTTAAAGGGGCTTCAAATACGCTTCAAAGATTTAATGGAAAATGGTCACCTCAGTAATTATTTCAATAAGTTGAACAATTTTAGTTATTTATGAGTTAAACTCAACATTCTCTTGTGTTTTAATATTAATATTGTAATTTTCTTTCAACACATAACATTCTTTTACCTAAATTTTACGATTTTGATCAGAGGATATCCTTAAAATGGTGCTAAAATCTCATAAATAATTCAACGCAATCAAACATGGATTTTTCACTTCTTGATTCAATAATAGAGTGTTCAGTGTGCCTAGAGCGACTTAAACAAGATGCTCGAGTACTTCCATGCCAACATACATTCTGTTTAGACTGCCTAAAGGTAAATTTATACAGGAAATGTCGCAAACATGAATCATTCAAATGATTTTTTTTCCTCTTCTTCATAAGCGAGTTGCCAATAAAAATCCACAAACTCCAATTGCTTGTCCTGAATGTAGACAACAGACCAATATTTATGATATCAATTTGCTTCCGAAAAACGTTTTCCTCATTAGACTTCTCGACCAGATAAAACAGAAAGCAAATGGTTCACCGGATGTTAAAGACGAAGAAATTTCCACACCCATTACAACAACAAATAGTTCTGATAAAACTAAAGTAGTTTCGACTGGAGTTTCACAATCAAAGCCCCAGCAAAATGAAGTGAAACAACATCAGCAGACAAGTGTTCCTCATGCAAAAGCTTTGTATGATTTCCAAATGAATCCTTTAGAGGACGAAGGATGTCTAAAATTTCAGAAAGGAATGATCATCCAAGTGACACGAAGAGTTGATCAAAATTGGGCTGAAGGAAAATTAGGTGAATCTGTTGGGATTTTTCCTTTATCATTTGTTAATATGAATCAAGCAGCGACAAGTTTAATGCAAAGTTATGCAACTAAATGGAGATTACCAGCGTCAATGCCCTCCACTTCAAATTACGAACAAGCACCAACGACATCAACAAATCCTTTAAGGCAAATTCCAGTTTTACAACCAACACCAGCTCATCCTTATCTTATCCGTCCAACAAGTCCATCTAATAATAATATTAATCAGAATAAATCAAATGTATTGCAAGATAAATCTGGAATCTACATTGCGCTACATAATTACACGCCACAAAAACCAGATGAACTCGAGTTGAAAAAAGGATTACAGTATATCGTGAAGGAAGCTTGTCAAGATGGTTGGCTTAAAGGATGTTGTTCAGATAATCTGTTTAGGAAAGGAGTTTTTCCTGGGAATTATGTAATGCCACTCGCTTATCATCAAAAATTGATGTCAGCACAAAGAAATTCTAATTTCCAGACACAAAAAAATCAAACAAATTTAAATACTCAACAAATGAGAACAACTGGCGCTTACACAAATCTGGGTCTTTCCTCAATCCCACCTGAACTTCCACAAAGAAATGTGATCCCATCAAGCCGTACTAGCCATTCCCCATTAGCTCATACTAACAACACGCCAGAATCTATGGCGAGTGAAACAACAACTGCTCAAACGCAAAAGACTGACGACAATCTTAACAAGTTAAACAAGAAAGAAACTGTCACCGAAATGCTGATGAAAAAGTTGGGATATACTCGAAAATCAAATGATTCAAGTGTTTATTCCATGGATAATCCAGTATTTGAAGATTCCACGACAACTTCAAAAGTTGGAAGTTCTAATCAATTGTTTTATAATCATAATAGATCTGGATCATGTCCAATAGATTTAGGTATATCTAATTCTGACATCGAGAATCTTCAGTTTGGATCTCAACGAATTAAAACAAGAGAAAGATCTGCACTTCAAATGCAAGTTTTTTTTAAATTAAAATTATCACAAAATAATTCTGTTTTTTTTTTCAGGACAAATTCCGATACAAAATCGAATGCAATTGTTACGAAACGACACAGCATCAACTTATCAGGACCATCAAGTACTACAAAACATATCCAAAATACTCAGATAAAAACTCAGCATAGAAAATCGAGCAGTCTTGATACAACTTCTCTTGAACCTAACAATTCAACGACACAAATGGCTCGATATCGTTGCGTGACAAAATATCCCGCCAACTCTCGTTTTGAGTTGTCGCTGAATGTTGGCGACATTGTTATTTTACAGAAGAAGCGTGATAACGGATGGTACAAAGGTGAATTGACTAGAACAGGGCAAGTTGGATTATTTCCAGCAAATTTTGTTGAACTTGTTGAAAATAATTAACTATTTAGAAGAGACAAACATTTATTGAGATTTGTAAAGTGATTAGAAGTAATAAATGAAATATTTTATGCTGCTGCTTTTACATATTTTTAAATTTAGTTTATTCCTTGAATTTAGTTAAGTATAAAGTGTTGTATTAACAATCGAATTGAAATTATCTTAAATCATTGACGAAATATGAAATTATTACATTTTTGCGTACTTAGCTTTTTAAATAGGTATTTAGAAATCTAAACCTTATCAAAATGAAGTTATTCGAAACTAATTAGTTAACTGAAATTTGTCAAATTTATTGTCAGTTATAAAAGAAATATCTAATAAAAAAAAATTAAGTTTCTTAACCAGATAAATAGTTTAATATCATCAGATCAAGGACAAGTCCATATAGGAACCACCATCAAATGCCGAATGCATTTGAGGGCAATGGTCAAAAGTGACAACACTCAATTTTAATGAAATTACCTATCTGTGCTGACCGTTTTGCATCCATCCAAGGTCCTTTCTAGAAAAAAACCTTGGACTGTTAAAAGTGAATAGTTTAAGGTCCAAGAAGAAGTCCTTAAAACTGAACATTTTCTTTTTTCTAAATTGAAAACATACAAATACCGCGTTGGATAATTACTTTGTATATTTCATTTTCCACAGTCTTTCAATTTTTAAATTTTCTTGAAACAACGTTGAAAACGAATCATGAAACATGTGTTTACAATTTAAGAAAGCATAAGAAGCAAAGAAAACATTTTATTATTATTAACATTGATAATGTCTGACGCCGGTAAGATAGTTAATAGTTTCCTTCAATATATCCTTCACAATATATTCTTACATATTTAGAAGATATTCCAAAACTTATTGACGAGAATTGCGAAACTGATTCATCGGATGAAGATCAATGGGAAGAGGAAATTGACGAAAGTGTTGAAATTACAAAATGTTTATTCAGTGACAAAACGTTCCCAAATCTTAATGATGCAATTGAGCATCTTAAAAATATTTACAACTTTGATTTGTCTGAGATGAAAAGAAAATATTCGATGGATATCTACAGCTACATAAAGGTAAACAAACGTCCAGAAAAGTTAAGAAATTTAAAAATAATTAAATATTTCAGATGATAAACTTTATAAGGAAAAACAAATTAGAAGCACCATCAGAATTGTTTTCACCTCAAGGTGATCCATTATGGCTAAGCGATGAATATTTGAAACCAGTCTTAGATTTTGAATCTTGGCTCTCTTTTGACTTTGAGGAGTTGTCAGAAAATCCAAAGGAAGTTAATGAAAACGATGATAGGACACTTAATACCATTGAAGATCTCAAGAATAAACTTTCAATAAAAGATCAACTCATAGCACAATTGCTTGAAGATCAAATTAAAATGAAAGAAGCTTTCCAACATTTAATATCGAAAGAATCAATAAAAATTCAAACAACTGAAGACCGTGAATTGAGTGAAAGAAAGAAACGAGTAGAAAACGGTGTCGCAAGTTTATCTCTTAGTGATGACAATGGATATTTTGAAAGTTATTCACATTATGGAATTCATCACAGCATGCTAAGTGACAAAGTACGAACAGAAAGTTATCGGAATGCAATTCTTAAGAATTCTTCAGTTATCAAAGATAAAATTGTCATGGATCTTGGATGTGGTACAGCAATTCTGTCAATGTTTGCATCACAAGCTGGAGCTAAGGCAGTGTATGCTGTCGATCAATCTGACATCATTTATAAAGCCATGGAAATTGCACAAACCAATAATTTCAACAACATAAGGTTCGTTAAAGGGAGATTGGAAGATGTTAAGTTTCCAGCTGATAAAGTTGACATTATTGTGAGTGAATGGATGGGATATTTGCTGTTGTTCGAAGGAATGCTAGACAGCGTAATTTATGCGAGAAAAAACTATCTTAAAGATGATGGTTTACTTCTTCCGAATCGTTGTACAATCAGTCTTGTTGGTTATGGTTCCGAAACAACTTACAATAATTATATCAAGTTCTTTGACAATGTTTATGGTTTTAACATGAAATGCATGATTAAAGAAATTCTTCGTGAAGGTCATGTAGAGAAATGTGATGGAGAATATGTTCTTACAAAATCAAACACAATTTGTGACTTGGACTTGATGACATGCGACATGAATTACTCAAATTTTACTTACGACTTCAATTTAGAAGTAACTAAAGCATCATTGATGACTTCTTTTGTCGGATACTTCGATACATTTTTCGACTTGCCAGAGAAAGTTTCATTTTCAACATCACCAGATTCAAAACCAACACATTGGAAGCAAGCAATCTTTTATCTCGCTGAACCTGTCAATGTTAAAGTAGGCGATCAGATATCAGGAAAATTCATTTGCCGACGCGATAGAAACGATCTCCGGTCGTTAAACATTGAGATAAAAGCTTTTGGAAAATCATTCATTTATGATATGAATTAAAGAAGTAAAGTTCTGTTAATAAATATTTTTTTATAAAAAATAAAAACTTCTTATCAATAGAAGAAAACAAATAACTTTGATGAACGGCCCCCTTCTAAGTATTCAACTACCTAATTCTCTCATTTATATCTTATCTCAATCGTCTAGATTTGCTTTAAATCTTTTCAAATAGCTTGTCATTCACTCATTTAATTATGTTAGTTTACAAATGAACATCGAATGAAAAACATCATGAAGTTGAAATTTTTAGTTTTCTCATTGTTTCTTGTCAAATTCCAAGTAGTTCACGGACAAAATGACAATGAACGTGACATTGAATGGAATGAAAATGATCCAAGATGGGAGAAAAAAGTTCCAAACTGGTGGGACGAAGATAATTTTGTTCCACCAGTTGGACCGGATGAAGAGAAATCAAAAGGATTTTGGAACAATCGAGGACAAAATATATTAAAATCTAAATTAGAGAAGAAAATAAATGAAAACACAGCTAGAAATGTTGTGATATTTATCGGTGATGGAATGGGTTTATCAACTTTGATGGCTACACGATCATACATTGGTGATGTTAATAGAGAATTATCATTTGAGAAATTCCATCACACGGGACTTGCAAAAACTTATTGCATTAATTATCAAGTGCCAGATTCAGCATGCACAGCAACAGCAATTTTGACGGGTGTCAAAAATAATTATGGGACAATTGGTGTTGATGGAAATGTTAAGCTTCGGGATTGTTCAGCTCAACAAGATAAAGACTCTCATCTATCATCGATATTAAAGCACGCACAAGATGCTGGCAAGTCAACGGGAATTGTGACAACAACTCGCATTACTCATGCAACTCCAGCTGCTGGTTACGCCAAGACTTCGTCACGTTATTGGGAATCTAATGAGTTTGGGTCTGAAGGCTGTGATGATGTCGCTCTTCAGCTAATTCATGGTGATGTTGGATCAAAACTTGATGTAGCTATGGGCGGTGGACGTCGACATTTCCTATCCAATACCAATGGTGGTGGATTAAGAACCGATAATCGCAATCTTATCGAAGAATTTTTGATTGCAAAAAAGGAAATTGGGAAAAATCCTCAAGTCGTACAGAATCGCGTGAGGAAATTTTTATATTTATTTTCATTTAATTACTGAATTTATTTTACTAATTTTTTAAAGAGTGAATTAATGAATATTAAAGCAGTTTCAACTGATAGTATTCTTGGACTGTTTGCACAAAGTCACATGGAATACAAGCTTCTTGCAGATCCACAAGTTCAACCAGCATTATCAGAAATGGTCGAAAAAACAATGGAAATTCTTAAGAAGAACGATAATGGTTTCGTTTTGATAGTTGAAGGCGGAAGAATTGACAGTGCACATCATGAAACAACAGCAAAGTTAGCATTAGATGAGGCAGTTGAATTTCAGAATGCTGTTTCAGTTGTGAAGAATCTTACGAATGAAGATGACACGCTAATTGTTGTTACATCTGATCACAGCACTGTCCTGACTGTTGGTGGTTATATGGTAAGTTTTTAGAATAAAAACTGTTAAATTAAACTGTTAGAAAAATCATTTAAGCCTCGTGGCTACAACATTCTCGGACCAGGAGATTATTCACGATCAGATCAAATGTGGTTCTTCTCATTAAGTTATGCGAACGGACCTGGTTATGACGATCATATCAATCCAAGTGGCGGACGACAAAATCCTAGAGGAAAACATTATCTCGATCCAAAATTTCGACAACCAACGACAGTGCCGGAAGATGATGAAACTCATGCTGGTGAAGATGTTGGAGTTTACGCCAATGGACCTTTTTCTCATGTAAAAATTCAGTTTAACTTATGAAACTATTTTTCAACATTTACTTGATAGATTTTCACGGGGGTTTACGAGCAGAATTATATCGCACATGCTATTATGTATGCAGCTTGTATAGGACCAGATGAGTTCCTTAAAAATCCCCAATGTCACAATAATACAGCCAAAAACAATAAATTTTCATTTCTGATTTTCATTTTAAGTTTTATAACATCAATCAATTGGATTATTTAAGTTTAACAAGATAAAGATTTAAATATTGAATAAGTCATTTGATTTGTTTATTTAATTAAATAAAATTAGTAAAAATTAACATGAAAAGAAATAAAATTAAAACCAAGGATGAAATGCTGGATCCATTCGACTTAAGTTGTTATGACTCGATGCTTTGGTGATGAGTTGAGAAATTTTTGTTTCTTCATCTTGATCGTAGAACATTAATTCAGATAAGCGAGTTTTGATAGCTGCCACTGATGATGACACTGCTTTGATTAAATGTTGAGCATTTATATCGATGTAACTTTTATCAATCGACAAATCTTCGTTGGGATCAATTGGCCTAGTGTTCATGATTTGTTTCCGATGAATTGTGATGATCTCGTCACGTAGAATCGTTCGTAGAATGGACATTAACTATTTAAATGAAAAAAAATATTAGGTAAACTTTGGAAAACTTTTCTCAAGTTCTCACCTGGAAGTTAGGTTGCAAGAAACATCGCGCAGTTGCGATAACAGAAGCTTGAAGTGGACCAGAAATTCCGATGTTTGTCAAGAACTCAACAATATTTGGTGTCAAACGGAACGGTACTGGTCGCATTTTATTGAATTCACCGTTGACATCATCAAGATCGAATTTAAAGTACGAAACGTTTAAAAGTCCTGAATCCTGATGCAAGTACATCATGTCAGCGTTGAGTCTTGTTAAATGAAAAGCATACTCAAGAATGCAACACAACGACAATTGTAGGGTGAACATCTTTCTAAACGTCCAATAATCTGTCGCTGAATTGAATGTTCTCGTCGCCCAGTCTTTAAAAACTGTCTTCGGAATCGTATTTGTTTGAATGTCTTTAAAAATATCGGAAAGTGTTAATTGAGTGTTATGTGCACCACGTTTCTGAATATCTCCCAATCTTTTATAATATTTCATAATTGGAGCATCATAATCGATTTTTGAACTGGCACAATGATTCTTAAACACATCGAGTAGTGAAATACTTGAAGTGTCATCTTCAACTAATCGCATTTGTGGTAGAACAGCAACAACACGTGGAACTGTTATGTTTAAGAATCTTTTGCTTGTTTCCTTTGTCTTTGCTAAGTAACTGTTGAGCATTCGGAATAATTGAAGAATTCGTTCTTCTCTTCTGGCATCGATCATTCCCGAATCATTCACTACCAAATAAGGGTAGATCTAAAGAGAAATGAAAAGTTATTCTTACCTATGTATTGTAAAATGTAAATGTTACTCACCTTTCCATTTGTGCCTTGAATATAAAGTCTTCTTGCTGATGTGTTGTGCTTTTGAACAATCTCTACAAGTGGCATGAATCGTGCAATCTTCACATTGTAATGAGAGTGGCGTGGAAGTAAAAGTTCACCAGGAAGGTCAACTTCAGCTGCCTTTTGACTAAAGTTTGATAAAAATCTATACTTCTCTTCGACGACAAATGATCTGAAAAAGTAAGAAAAGTGTCAATCAACGTCAAAATTCTAAAAATATTTTCAATACTCACTTAGGAAGTGTTCGAACTTTCGCTTCCATAACTTTAATACAAGCTTTCAAGCGATTAATTAAGTCAAGAAGCTTATTATTTTCCGGTGTTACGAAGTCAAATCCACTCGCAAATTGCATTCTTAATGAAGTAAAAACAGGATCAAGTAAAATAACTTCCGATGTACTCTCAGAAACTTGAGTGAAATTTGAAACTAATTTCTTGACTAAATTCAGTGTTGGTTGTGTTATTGTCGCTTGATTGATGATTCCACGATTATCAAAAGCAATTGCATAGAATTTCTCTAATCCCTGTTTAAGTTGATGAAGATTCTCTTCGAAAGCATTCTCACGGAACCAACGAACTCCTTCAACTTCTGTCTTCGACACTAACTGATCTAAAATTCCTTCAAGAGAACAAACAACAGTAGGATGAAATTCTCTAATCAATTGCATGATCTTGGAGCATCGCCACATCGCTGATGTTGATTTCATCGCTCCACCAATATTTGAGTTTAATGAAGTTCCAGGTTGTTGATCGTTTTGTTCGCCACCACCTTGCAAAAGTTTCGCTTGCTCAATACATTTGTGGCGTTCTCGTTGTTCTAACTTTAACATCAAGTAAAGTGTTCGAATGGGAAAATAAACAGCTTGCGGAAAAATTTTCGCTATTTGATTAAGAAGATTCATGATAACGACACTTTCATATTGCACCAAACAATTTAACAATTGCGGAATCCATGAAAGCCAATTCAATGTCGGTACACCAAGCATGTAACTCTCGAAAACTTTCAACATTTCAGTTCTCGTCTCTTCATACGTCAACAGCCAAATAACTTTCGCTAAGAATTTTCTTGTTTTCGTTTCACTTTGATCACGAGCTGCGTGGAAGAAGCAAGTCATAGCTGACACACCCAACGATGTAAGTTTGGGATTTCTTTGAAAAATCATTTCCAAATATTCGCCATACAATCCCCAAGCTTTGTTTGAACTATCACAAAGATCAACAGCATGTGAAAACGATTTATTAGCATCAATTGAACGGGAAAGATAAGTGTATAAATATCCTTTATAAGCATAAAGTGAAGCTTTATGATCATTTTGAAAAATCTCGATGTTACATGACTCGATTGTCTTCAATCCATCACATAAAATATTTTGCGAGTCTTCAGAAGATTGCGCTTGTTGAATGAGACATTTAACATTCTGAATAATCTTTTGATAACAATCAGCTGGCAAAATAATATTTTCGACTTCTCGAAGTGACTTTTGAGCGACACTCAACATGTTTTGCTTTCTTGCGATCTTTCCAAACTGAATCGTTGCTTGTGATGAAGCTTGTGAACCAAGGTTTGCTATTGACATGTTAGTTCCAGTTGACTCAGTTATCAACTGATAATGATGTTGCCGCCATGTGAAAATGTCGTTCCAATGTGTTAAATCATCAGCAATAATCGGTAAACGATTCTTCCATGTTTTCACAATACTTTTCATGTCATGAAACGGAAGCGCTTGTTTTCGTTGTAAATCTTGATGAATTTGACTTGCTTCTTGTAATTCCATGATTTGTTGTGCAACTTGTAAGATTGGTATATGAATATGTGACACGATATTTGGTAATCGTCGCCATTCTTGCAAACAAGCCAATGATGCCAATTCAATATGTTTACCGACCATCACTGGATTCTCTTTCTGACTCAACACAGCAACATAACCATTATAAAGATTAAGTTTGTAATTTGACAGTTTCGATGTTATTTGTTCAACTTGAGATAAATTTTGTTTCATTAAATTCCAATCAGAAATACGCCAAGCGCAATCCATTAAGAGAAATGCGTATTTATCACGACGACGTTGTCCATAACTGATTAAAAGATTCCAATCATTCAACTCTTTCGTACATCTAATCCAATGTTCTTGCCATAATTGTATTTCTGCGTTAATTCCGGTCGTATCAAGTCCATTTGATATTTCTTGTTTACATTTAAACATGATAGTTTCGTAAACTATTTGCGCTTCATCGAAATATCCCATTTGCTCATAAAAGATTGCAGCATTTGTTTCGGAATATTTTGCATGTTTCTTCCACAAACCAGCCCACATGTCTTCTTCACGAAGTGACGTATACATTGACGATAACGATTCAATAATTTCATTCAATGTTTCATTATCATCATCATCATCATCATCATTATTTTCATCACCAAATTCATTTTCCCGTGGAATAACTTTTTTCGAGAATTCTTCAGTCATATCTTCAGCAACTAAAGCCATTCGATGCCATAAATTGTGAGCTTTTGAAAGTGATCGCATTAAACTTGGTGGGATGAAAACTGGTGGGTCACAAAGTGTCAACGATTGAGTGAAAGTATTCACAGCACTGATGTGACTTTCTTTAACATTAACTTTAGTTCCAGCTGATAAAAATGGAATAACTTCCTTTGTGACATTTTCCTTCTGATTATCATCCAACGCCGTCCATAAACGAGGAAAAGTTTCTATCCAAACACTTTCGGCAAGTTTTGAATCTAGATGACAAAGTTGGACTGCAGCACTTAAAAATTCTTCTGTCTTAATATCTCGATTTGATTTTAGAAATTTCAATTGTGAATTGATAATTTTCTTTAAAATTTCTTCGCGATTTGTTGGCATATCCTCACATTCTAAATCACTAATTATATTTCCAGCTTCAATCAATTCATCAATCTCATTCTCATCAATGAAATTCACAACTTGATTCATCTCTGCATGATCATAAAAAGCTTTCACTTCATCGGGAGTCACAAAATTTATTCCTGCTGTGATGCTGGGAATCATTTGAGAAGTTTCAACATTTGAAATTTGTTGCTTGGATTTTGACGAAAGAATTAGAAGTTCAATACATTGTTTAATCCAATAATGATTGCCAATTGAATCCCAAGCTTTGGTACTTAAAATGTACAACAAACGATCATAAAGATTTCGTTCAACAGTTTTATCAAAGAATTTAAAGAACTTTTGACGAATGTCAGATTGAGAACTTCGCAATCCAGAAAGAAATGCTTGATCTAATTTCGATGTCAGATCTATCGTATTCAACATAGGATCAGAGTAAATCATGAGAATCAATTCAAGGAATAGAATATTCAATGACGCTTCAGAGCTAAATCTTGACTCGATGTGATGTGTCAACTTTTGTAACAATAAAATTTTCTCTCTCAGCGTCGGTTCCAGTTCGGGATTTTTCATTTTAAACCAACTGTCGATGACTTGAATGATTGTTTTAATAATTCTCGGGTCGTTACTTTTCTCAATCAACTCAACGAGAATTAAATTAATGAAAGTTTTTCTTGTATCCACGCTCATAACTTTCAAATGATTCTTAAGAAGTTGAAGTGACTGCAGCAGCATTTCCTTTGTTAATTCCATGTTTGGTGTTGAAGCTTGCAATGTTGATTGAAGTTGTACATTAACATTGATATGTTCACTCTTCAATAAAGCCACAAATCTTGTGAATTTCTCCACGAATTTCTCAAAATATACAGAATTGTTGGAGAAAGCAGTTTTCAGAATAAGAAAAGTTCCGAAGAATGAAGCTGTTGGTGTTTCATTGTCTTTCTCAAACACTTCCAACCCATTTCTAATAGTTTTCTCAACAGTTTGATAAAGAAATCTCAAATCATCATAGTTAATGTAAGTTTCAACAGGAAACAAACTGATGACCTTTGATAAGAAAGTTGACATAAGACGAAGAACTTTCGTTGTTGTGCTGGTGACACAAATTGCAAGACCTGGTTGAAGACTTCGTAGAATTGAAAGAATCTTATTGTTGTCTAATTCATCAAGAAGATGAATGAATATTTCAAGGAAATTACAAATCGTTACGCTACTAACACGCGATGGATCTTCAAACACTTTTCCAAATCTCGTAAATTGTAAATCTTCCTCAGGACGTATCCAAACATCTTTCTTCAAGACTTTCTTCAATAAATTTAGGCTGAGTTTGGAAATGACTTCGTTTGGTGATAAAGATGTGCTGGTCATTGTTACTGGTGTGACTAATTCACTCAACAAGAACAATAGATCGAAAAGGAAATTTATGACTGACTTGCAATGATTCCATTCAATTGGTTTATTAATTGTGTCATCAATTTGCTGCGATGTTCCTGGTTGTGGTGAATTCTCACCAATTGCTTGCTTTTTCAAAGGCATTTGAAGAACTTCATGAAGTGATCTTTTAACTCCACCACTTTCTGAAATTTTCTCTTCGCCTTCTGTTGATTCTTTGATCCGTCTCAATTCCCAATTAATTATAACTTCAGCAATATCAATTGCAAGCTTTCGATAGTCAACAGAATTTGATGATTCAAGTCTTTGCATTGAACTGATCATGTTTTGAATCAGTTGATGTCGAACGGGGTAATAAATTGTGTGATGACGAATGATGACTTGGAAAACGTGATACAATTGTAGGATTGCATAACCGTCTTTGATGATCACAGATTTTGTTAAATTTATAAGCGACACATTTGATTCATTTAACTTCAAAGGCATCATCGGCATAAAAACTTCCAATGTTTGCCGTACAATATGACGAGCTTCAATTGCGTGTGCCTTAAGAAGTGAATGAAAAACTTTGAATACAACTTCTTGCCATGATTTTTTGTTTGCTAATCTCGCAATAATGTGTGACAGAAGAAGATGACCATTATAGATTGCTGTTGGATCCCAATAGTTTTTAGAATGCAGTAAACTTGAGTATCCAAATGTTGTTAATAGACGAATATCTTCTTTTTTGTTACTATGAATATGAGCTGAAGCACGTTCAACTAATAAACAAGCAAATTGAAGTAACGCTATGCGTAATCCATCATCACTTTCTTTCATCATAAATGGATTAACGATCTTGTTGATGAATACTGAAATAACATTACTCTCCTCATCTTGTGTCACGCCACGAATGAGTCTGTTCTCCTCGCCCTTCTCGAAACTTATTGCGAAACTTGGTATAATAATCATTGTAAGAATTTTTATTTTCAAATCGACAGTAGTGTTTGCTCGACCAAAATAATCAACGAATAAGAAGAAAGCATTTCTTTTCCAATCAACTGTATAGTTTTCACAAACAATGTTATGCAAGAAATCACGAAGAAACTGAAAAAGATAAATGAGAGAATTATGAATATGTTTGAATATGTGTTGAGTTTAGCGAAGATGATACAACTCACAAGAAGCGCGCTTGTGGTGTAATGGTTAGCATAGTTGCCTTCCAAGCAGTTGATCCTGGTTCGATTCCTGGCAAGCGCACATCTCTTTTTTGTTAATGTTTTTTATATAATTATTTTAATGCAGTAAATTTAATTTTACTCGGTATCAAATAAATAGGATATTAATGATGCCATCAATTTTTTAATGGGAAAAGATTGATTGTGATAAAGTCATATGAAAGAACTTTTTTAACCACATTATTAGAAAAAATAAATAAATATTCAAGGCAAAAAAGAGTGCGTCTACCGAGATTCGAACTCGGATCAACTGCTTGGAAGGCAACTATGCTAACCCTTACACCATAGACGCTTAAATTCACACGATGTCGGAAATGATATGCTACATTTAAATCATTTATTGCTTATCTTGGTTCCATTTTCCAAAAGTTCTATAAAAAGAGTTGAAATGATATGAAAATGAAACTTACCTGAAAGTCTGGAACGAATCTCATGTTGAATGCTTTTAGGAGTTGATAAAGTAAATTTATATCTGCTGGATTATGTTCAAAGTAATGAAGAAGGATTTTTGCAATTAAGTGCCATAGATCACAAACGACATTCTGATCGTTGACTTTTTGCAATTCATTTGTCCAAATTTGATTAAGTGCATTGACAATGATCATTTGAGTTGGTAACCATTGATCATTAAGACCGATGAGTGTATGAACAATTAACACAGCTTGATGTCTAGATTCGTATTCATCTTTTGGTGTGTACATTGCCAATTGACTTCCACCGCGATAATTACTTCTGTCGTTAATGATCAATTCCTGTAATCGACTTGCTTTGCTTTCCATAATGTTTTTGAACGTTGCACCGTCTTTATGTTTCAGCAAATAAATCATGAATCTATTAAATTGTGGACGTCGAATGGCTTCATCAGTCATTAGGAAGTTGACAGTTTCTTCGGGATATCGAATTAAAAATTTCATTAATGGACCTCGATATGGACTCGAAGATTCAAGTGAAATTCCTTCTTCAGTTGCAAGAACTAATCTTAATAACAACACGACATATTTAGATGTTGCTGCTGGTATTTGATGAAATAACTCAATTATCGATGCAATTTTAAGTTCATTTTCTCCTGTTTTTGCTATTTTCAAATAGTTTTGATCTTTGTTTGCTGTGATTGAATTTTGAAGAAGTTTCTTAACAATTTCAAGAAGTTGTTCGCAAGTTTTTTCAGTGAAGACTTTCGGATACAATAAACTGTAGAATGAAAGCCTTTTTATGCTGTTTAAAGTCCAACTCATGTAGTCACCTAATGAATCTAATGAATTCTGAATCGGCCATCCAGTTTCAGATTTTTCCTTACACTCAATTGTTAATCTCTTCAAACAATCAAATGCAATATCTTGAAGTGATGGATAACTTTCCATTGCTTTGAAAAGTGTCACAAAAGCTTCTTCACAAAAGTTGACATTTTTAACTTTTTCCGTGTCATAATGTTGCATATGATAAATGTAATGCCATGAAACGAGAACTTTCATTGCTGTTTCTCGAAGTTCGGGAAGTTGTTTCACATCCTTATAAGCATCAAATCTACTCATCGTATCATCGTCACATTTTATTATGATCTTTACATCAGTCAAAAACTGATAATTGTCAAATTTCATTAATTTCGGTTCAAGTGAAGTCACAAAATGATTTGCTTCAAGAATTCCAATTTGAGTTGTCAAAGGTTGATGTCGTAAGTAAGTTTTGGTTTGTGAAGAGACAATCATTTCAGTGAAGAAGTTTTTGAATGGCTCCAATAATGTTGCAACAGGAATCTTCTGAATTGTGGCAATTTGACGAAGTGCTTTTGTCGCTATTTGACGAATTAATTTATGTGGATTTGGTGTTTGCAACACAAATTCATTAACAATAGTTTTGTGGGTGTTCAAGGCATTTGCATCATGAGTTGCTGTTTTTAAATATCCAATAAACTTATTTAGGATAAATTCAATATTTGACATTGCGAGATCAATTGTTCCACTACAAACATCATCTGATAAATCTCTTATAATGAAAAGATGTGCTTTAATAATCGGAAAAATATTGAAATTAATCCAATTCATTGACATTTGTTCACAAAGATATCTTAAGCCAAAACATCCGCCTTTCTTTGCATACCAAGACTTTCCATAACACAGGCCAATTATTTTCTCACCGAGATATTGCATCATTGGAAGCTTACAGACATTTTCTTTTGTCCCCAACACATAAGTCGATGTTTTGATGATCAAAGACAAAATTGATTGTCCAAACAAAGAAACTTCTTTCTCTTCATTTCCCATCAAATCCACAAGTGCATTAATTAAAATCAATGGATTTGAAAACATTCGAAGTTTTGCTGTTTTAAATGGACCAGCTTGTTGAGCGATTGCAACTAATGTGTATTGACGAACAATTGCAATCATTGTTGGAAGAACAGAATCACGAAGTTCTTTGTTGGAAGCTGCTTCAAACATTGCAGTTAAAGCAACTTGTTGAGTGTTTACAAACTCATTTGATTCATCGATTTGAATGTTTAAAGTTGTCATTGTTTGAATATTATAGAAACTGTGATGAGTGAAGAAGTTATATAAAGTGTACTTATCATCATTCCAATCCATTGTGGTTGCCAAATAACAACGAACAACATTCCAAATTTCATTCAAATAAAAGGTTTCCATTGACGAAGTATTCTTTAAAGCTGAGTAAGCAAATTCAATGATTTTATGAACGGGGAGCTTGATTTCTGTTTCAGCATAAATCACTTTGATTGCAGATGAATTTTTCTTTAGTTTTTGATATTCAATTTTTTGTGGTTCAATCAGCATGTTTCTATTTCCACCTGAAATTTAAATGAATCAATTAGTAAATAAATAATAATACTTAAATAATAAACAATTTTTCTTACCACCAAACTTGCCAAGAATTCTAAAAGCACCCATTGAAGAGTTGTCAGTACTTCTCATTGTCTTCCAAAGTGCTTGCATGAGTTCAGCTCTTACAGGCTGAATGTGGTCATAAAAGAAGTCAGGAAGAAGATTGTCAACACACAATTCAAGTGTTCGAAGTCCTTGAGTGACTAACATTGGTGATCCATTCAATGCTGATACTAATGGATCCATAAGCATCGGAAGAAAAGGAAGTAAAGATGATAATCGAACGGGAACAGTCAAGCACAGTTCAACGAAGAGATCTTTCATGTGTTGTTTATGACAACCACTTTGTAGACGATTTAAGCCGCCCAAAAGATTAGGAAGAAGCGGTAAAAATTCCTGATAAAGCATGTCGTAAGTGCCACCACCAATTGATCGAAACAAAGCTCTCAACAACAAGAAATAGTTGAAGGGCTCTTCAGCTCTCATTGCCATTTCCATTGAATTCAACACAATTTTCTGTAAATAAGGTCTGATCATTGGCTCGTTCTCAACATTAAACATGCTGACACTTCCGAAAATTAATTTAAATAATTTTAAATATAAATTTGATTTCTCAACATCTGCCGATCCAATTTCTTCCATTCGCTCAAGTAAATATTCAACCATAACAGTTGCAAATAATGGCGAAGTTGAACGATATGAAAGGAAAGTGTTGATGATGACTTGAAGATTTTGATTATCAATCATCTTTTGGATTAGAAATCCAATTGTCCCTGTAAAGATTTCTTGGAAATTCTGACTTGTCATGTTGAGGAAAAGTCCACTGAAGAGCTCAAGTAATTCTTTTTCTTCTCGTTGAACAGCTGGATTGATGGAACTCTTTCCATTAACGGTTGGTATTGAATTAATTCGATAAAGATAAAATGATTCAATTGACCAATTGAAAAAATCAATAAAACTTTGAACCTCTTGAGGTGCAAGCATTACAGATGTTGGTTGTAAATTTCCACAGTCGATGAAATTAATTCCATAAATTATCGTTTTGACGCCACTTATCAATGATTTTATTAGTAAACGATATTCAGCAATATTTAATGTTGCTGGCGGTGTGAAGCCAATGCTTGTCAATTTTGATATCGTGTCAGGTAAAATTTCTACAGTAATAAAATCTTTTATATCTGATGGTGACATCGCTTGTTGATTATTTTGATGAAGTTTCCACTTGTGAATGATTATTGGCATTTGTACTTTTGCAATTGTATGAAATTTCAAAGTGAAAACTTTTAACATGCAAACAAGAACTTCTCGTCGATTTGCTGGTGTGATGATATTAGTTGGATCGTTACGTTGTTGAACTCTTATACAATCGACAAGATTTAAAAGTAATCTGATGCTCATGATTTGTATTGCTGTTGGAAGGGTCTCATCGTGAATGTTCTTCGAGAACAAATTCACTGCTTTCACAAGAATATCAAATTTAAGATCTTGTCGAACGTGATGAATAAAATCACCAAGAGTTGAATAAGCAAGTGGACGAAGAGACTCATGTGTCGTGTATCCTCGACCAAGAAGTAAATCTTCATCGAATAAAAGTTCAATAGACGGTACGAAATAAGTTCGAAGATTTGTTGCAAGAATATGACGCGTTGCAACCAATAGTTCTTTCCTTAAATGTGCACTTTCTTTCAAACATAAACGAAGCAAAGAAAACATTCCATCAACTAAAGTCTTGGCATGTCCTTCAATAATCTCCATCAATCCACCCGAAAATGTTTTAATAGTGTAAGCAAGAAATGCAAGAGTCTTAATTTGTGCACCCATAAAATCAACAAAAAGTTCTTTGTTGAAATTTTCCATCGCTCGGAATTCTCGTCGTGGCTCAAGAGTAATTGTGTTGAGAATTGCTGGCAAAAATGAAACAACATTCTCGTGAACATTTTGCTTATAAAGCTGATACATAAGAACAAGTATTATCGGCAATTCTTGGAGCACTTTGAAAGAGTTTCTACCAAGAGGTAAAATTTTATCGGTCACAGTGTAAATATCATTAATATTTACGTTATTAGTGTCGAGTCTTGTGAATCGAGGATCAAATATTTTGTCCATATGATTTGGAAGATTGCAGTAAATCATTTTTATATAAAGGAGGAATTCTTTGATCTAAAATTATTAAATTGCATTGAAATGAATAAAATTTTGATAATGAAATAAAGTGTACCTGAGGATAAAATGCTGGTCGATATTGTTTATGAAGATCTATAATGATTCTTAAGCAAATTAGGACATTTTCTTCGTTGTCCTCTTTTATCAGGCTGAGGGTTAAAATTAAAATGTTGTTGACATAAGGACGAACCATTTCAGACACCGGAAGACGATGTATCATTTCCAAGATTGTTTTCCGGACCTAATAACATTTCATAATCATTTATATTTACAAAAAATCAAAGTTTTATCAGAACTTACTTTTTGACTTGGACTTTCAGAAAAAAATTGGCATTGAGTGCTTTTGAGATAATTCATGAAAACCTTCAAGTAACACTCGATTAGCGATTGATTTCCATCATTATTTATCAGAACATCAAACACTTCACTTATTTCATTGACAATCTTAGCTTTTTGCTCCTCTGGTATGTTAGAGTTAGAGATTAACTCTAAATTTTTCAATTGTTCCATATTTAAGTCTTAAATAAATTCAACGAGTGAAAACTAAACTTTTATCTCATTTTTAAGAAATTTAAATCTTTCTTAATAACATTGACATATTCTTTTAAGAGATTTAATAATTCTCTTGTTAAATATTTATCTCTTATTATTTTTCAAAAGAGCAATTTAATAAACAACGTTGTTTTCTACTTGAGATAGATAAACAAACCTACCTAGGAGACCGAATGTTCTTGATCGAGGTAGTAGTTTGGTACCCTTATTGACGGGCATTGTGGGGCCTGGTAGTTTTTCCGCGGACCGGAAATTCAGTTTTTCATACAAAGTGGTCAAGTCGGCTCTCATTCCGAGAGATTTATACACTCTCCACCTGAAACTGCTTTCCGTTTTTGACACTGAAGTGTCTCGTTATTAGTAAAAGAAAACTTGCTATGTTTGCTTAATTAAAGAAAAATTGCGGCTAAACTGAAAATAAATCATAAAAAAATATTAAAATATTGTATATAACTTGACCGCAAATAGTTTTCAAGTGAAAAACAGTGAAGAAAAGTTCAATTAATATCTTATTTTTGAGAAATATAGAAGCGCGTCAGAAGTAGAAGAACAGTGTTACAAACTCTAATGAAACAAAAAACATACAGCAACTGGATTTATTTTTCCTTAGGTTAGTTCTTCTTAAATTTATTAGAAACATATTTGTGAAGAGTATCCTGCGTGATTATAATTTAAATTGCATCATTGTGACGACTCGCCAAATCTTCGACATCAAAATTTCAATCCTCCATTACAGAAAAAAAATAAAAAGACGTACGGGTGATATCCGTTAATTCTGTAACTTGCGCAGTAACATTTTATTTTTGTAAACAAACGATAAAAAAAGTTCTTGTGGTGATATGATAATAAAAACATAGATGAAGATGCTCAGTGATTAATGGATATGAAAGTGACTCAACTTTCAATCAATTCCTTCTTGCGACTTGATGAGGGTTGATTGTGTGTGAGCTTCTGTGTATGTACACGCTTTGAGTCGTCCTCTCTCTGTTTAGCCTATTTAATTGATTTATCCAAAAAAAAAATATACACACTTTTCTTCATCAAATCGTTGAAGTTTGTTATGTCGTTCCGATCATCGAGCAATTTCCGCGAATTTCATATGAATTAAAATTTATTATTAACACGATGCGGCCGCATTTTTAAAATTTTAAAAAGAGTTTATTATAAATTATTTTTTGTTTTTGTAAATATGTATAAATTTGTTTTAAATATTTTATCCTTAAACGTGTATGGATTAAATATTTATATCCTTCAAATTCGTCCAATCTTCGAAAACCATCCGTCACAAATACATATAAAATGACACAAGAAATCGACAGATGCGTTATGTTCCTTATTGAAAGAAAAAGAATTTTTTTAAATGTAAAATAAATAATATTGAAATTAATTCTTTCTTTCCTGGCAAAAAAAAAACAACAGCCGTGAAAGAAATAAAATAAAAACCTTCAACATATTTACCTAACAGGTCGGAAAGGAAAAAAAAGCCGGAATATTCTCAACAATTTTTACATTTCAATATTAACTGACTTAAATACATCCTCTTCTTGTTTATTCTTTTACTCTGTTGAACGAAATTATATAATTTTTTTAAAGTGGCCTTTGAATCGCTACAGTCTCAAAATTCGATAAAAGGTAAGAGTTAATAAATTCATGAAAGAAAAAAAAATTTAAATTCGTCATTATTGATTTTTTTTCTTTTATTCCTTCATGTTTCGTATTTTTTTCGCTCTCTTACTAATTGGAAAGTGCAAGCTTCAACGTATCGTACTCATGCTCTCTGAATGTGTCATAAAAATATCCAAGACTGAATATTTCATGCACCTTTACCATGGTTTACAATATGAAAGGCGATTTTAAATCGAATTAATTATCCAATTTGCCTATATTTGGGCTTTCATTTTTCTTGGATTTAAATCTGAGTCAACAAGCAACAATAAGAAATTCGTATTTTTATGTAGATGTGAATATAAAAATAAATGATTCAAATTGTCTCTGAGATAGTTCATTCAATGCAGAAAATCATAATATCATAATAATATTTTAATTGATCAATAAAGACACAAATCAGATTGATTTGAAATCGCATGACGAACAAGCAAATACATTTATAATTTTTCATTCATGCTGCTATCATTTTTCCCACATCTCTCTCGCTCGCTTCGTTGACTACTTAAATTGTTCGTTTTTAAATACATAAATACCTGCTTTACGTATGACGATGAACAGCAATGAAAAATTTCCTTCTCACAGGGTGATAAAGTCATAAAATAAAATTAATTTCTTATGCAATAATAAAAAGCAATTGAATCATTCAGTCAATGATTTAAATACAAATTTTACATCTCTGTTGAAGAAATGGGGATCGTTAATATATATGTACATATTATACTTAATTAAACATATCGTATTAACAATCACTTTTCTAAGATGCAACGAATTGTCTACGGTTAGGAGAGAGAAGTAAAGGAATGGAAGAGTATGAAAAACAAAAACCAGAAATATTTCATTTAACACAATTACCGAAGATAAGTTCATGTATTTAACATACTGATGTACCTATATAAAAATAAATCGAAATGTGAACATCAATGGTAAACGTGACAGAGAAAGAACGAAGATTAAATTGAAGTTAAAAAAAGTTATAAACACAAGAAATGGAGAAGCGAGCGACTTAAGAAGAAAGAAAATACGTTGTGAGGTTCTTATTAGTGAAATAATTCTCTTTTTTCTGCTGATTCGTTTTAATGAAATTATACATAAACATTTTTTTGTACATTCATTTTTTTCTTATTCCTTTCCAATAATATAAGTAATACATAACAAGTTACCTATACAGTATGTCCATGCTTTCCTTCCTTCTCTTCTCTTCCCGGTAAATTTTTATTTTGTTTTCTTCTTTTCTTTTATTTTCGTTCGGCGTGTATATCACTTAAAATGCGCATTTATTATTAACAAACAGAGAAAAATGACGACGAAGAAATACAGCAGCAAATAACAGCAACAAAAATAATGTTAGTTTAGAGCCGCTTATATCGTTTCATCATGATATTTATTTAACTTAATACATTTATTTCTTTGTGATATTCATACATACGTTTTGCATTAAAAAGAAAAAATCAGAACGTGTGCGAAAAGATTGAGTGGTGGTTATAAGCGAAGATATATAGAAGATATTTCTTCTACTGTGTAATCGCGAAAATGAACGAAATATAATAAAAAAAAACAAACTAAAACGACATGAACGAAAAACAATTTAGTCAAAAGCCGAAGTTCGCGCATCACGATTATTCTTTTTTTCTCGCGGTTTGTCAATCAGCTAATCGTAAAATCGTCTTTGTATAGTTTTCGTTGAATATGTTATTTTATTATGATTGTGTGTCATACCAAAATCATTTAAACGTGTGCTTCTATTTCATTTGCTTAACTTGTATGATGAAAAACTAATAAATTTTTTGTGTCGGAATAAAATATCTTAATTTTTTTTGACAATTTTAGAGACGTATAAATCGCTGTGAAATGCGAGAAACGTCTGAAGAATCTCCCGAAGTTTGGCAAGAATGGATTTTGGATGCAATAAGAAAGATCAGATCTCAAAAACAGAGACCGAGCGTTCAACGAATATGCCAAGCGATTGGGAGTCATCACAAATTCCACGAGGATGTTGTGCAGGCGAAATTAGAACAGGCTGTGGAAGCAGGAGCCGTTATCAAAGTCTACAATAAAGGACTTCATTCTTACAAGTCTCCATCGACATTAGCTCATAAGAAAGTCATAAAAATCGATGGAAATTCAGACATTTCCCGTTTAGTCACGAAGGCTGTCCGAGTGTTAGGCGAGTGCGATGGCTCAGCATCAAAAAGCATCGAGAATTTCGTTCAAAAAGCCAATAATCTTCAAATCACTGACGGATCTGATTTCAAAGTTATTGTAAAGAAAGCTTTGAAGTTTGCTGTCGCCAAAAAAATGCTTCTTTGTGATGGTAAACTGTACAAAATTGGACCAAATGCTCCAACAACAGCAACAGTACCTCGAAGAAAACGAACATCAAAAGGAACACCTTCTCCTAGAAAGCGAAAGTCTGATAACAATAATATTGATACAACACTTGAAGACTTTGATGAAAGTGATGATAGTGCTGATGATGCGATGGAGACATCAGATGAAAAATTAGTAAAACCAAAGGTGAGTCACCAATGAAGATTTTAATGAAATTATGTTATAATCTAAAGAAAAAATTCTTATCATTAGGTTGAAGTCAATCGACAAACTGCCATTTGTGCAAAATGTCTTGGAACTGATTTGAAGAATCCTCAACATTTAGCTGAGAAACTATCTGCATGTTGTGGTTGTAATGATTCTCATCTTCACTCATCTTGCGCAATCAATGAAAGCAAATCAAAAGTTCAAATTAATCTCGTGAATTTTGTGAATAGTGGCAACAAGTGGTTTTGCTCAGAATGTCGTAATTGTGATGGATGTAAGTCAGTGGATAAAGAGCCATGTTTAATAAGTTGCAATGATTGCCATAAAAATTTTCATCTCACCTGTGTTACATCACCAATTGATAAAAAATCGAAAAGTCTTTGGAAGTGAGTTGAAAATTAAAATTTTCATTAAAATGTTTCATACTAAAATTTCATTTCTTTATTAGATGTTCCAAATGTTTAACAAGAAAGGTGAAAACAGAACGTGAAGATGAATCATCATCAACATTGCATGTGAAAACACCAAAAAATTCCCGTAAAACAGATGATTCATTTATGAAAGATTCCGAGCCATCAACATCAAAATCAGCTCTTCATTCCGTCGATAATAAAAAGAAGAAAAAGTAGGTTAAGTTAAATTAATTTCTTATATAATTTATTAATTTTATACGATATTTTCAGATCCATATTACCATCAATCCTTTCATCACTTGACAGCATTCAAACACCTCCAAAGCCCCACAAAAATCCTGTTGGTCGTCCAAGAATTCATCCTGTCAAGACACCGACAATATCATCAGCAGTATCATCAGCCGCTTCAACATCACGTCCTCATAAACAACATCCAGTAACGACGGCCATCGTTCAAGAGAGTGATGCAAGCGATAACAACGATGATGACGATCACGATGTACCCGGTAAAAAATCAAAAGCAAATCCTAAAAATAATCAAAAATCTCTCAATAGTACGCCATCTAATAGAAGTAGTAGTAATTATAATAATATAATGCTTATAAAAAATGAGCAAATTGTATCGAATTCGAGCAGTTTAAAGAAACAAATGAAAGGGCAATGCTTATTAGGTAAAAATAATTCTCTTGATAACAATTCCAAATTATTAACGACTGTCACACACCAACAAATGCTCCCTGAAGCAACATCCGCATTGACTCTCCACCATTCGTCTTCTTCGGCCGCTGAGCGTCAGCAACAAAATCAATCAAATCCTTTGGGTGTGTCAGACCGTATGTCAAAAGAAAAGCAAAAATTTTTCCGTTTTTCTGTGTTTAACAGTGAACGTAGTAAAACGAAAGCTGTTGTTGATCATCACAATAATAATAAACATCAACAACAACTTTCATCTTCTTCTTTAAACCAAAACAACAACAATAACAGCCATAAAGTTACGAGCAATGGCATCAGTTGTGATGCTGTATCATTAACTGGTGGTGGTGGTGATGATGATGACGACAAATATAAATTCGTGTCAAGTAGTGACAGTGAACATAATCGCGATGATAATGATGATGACAATATCTGTGATAAAAAAAGTAATAAGGCGAAGGGCGGTAATAAAATTAAAAGAAATTCGGTTGCTTTTAATAATCCTTTAGGGAAGAAGAGCAAGAAAAAGACATTGTTGTTGGTAGCTCAGCCTAATTCTGGAAAGAAAGTTGTTAAGTCATTAAAATCAACAAGAACAAAAGTTAGTAAAGTTAAGGAGAAAGAAAAAGAAAAGACATCGACATCGAAACGTTTATCATCAGATTCAGATTCATGTTGTACAAGTGGTGACGACGATGAAAGTGGAAGGTCCAGTGATACCTCAATGTCATCAAGTGGTGGTTCATCATCATCATCGTCATCGTCATCATCTGGTTCTAGTGGTGGTTCATCATCATGTGCTACTGGTACTGGTATTGGTAAAAGTCAACAGAAATCATCGTCGGTAACATCAACATTGTTGGAAACAAAAACTAGTCTTGTGAACAAAGCCGAATCGATCAACACGATGAATGTTTTTGCTTGCATTAACAGTCGAGAATTAACAACACAAAAGAAACGAGAACCTTATTGTTGGACCACGATGCCTTTTGCGACACAAAATAATAATCAATCAGAATCGCTTTTTAAAAAGCATTCATCAAAAACTAAATCATTTGGTTCGAGTTGTAAAAACGAGAATGAAGTTTGGGGCTTTGCGGCCGAAGCTAAAAAAACATTGAATATTTTCTCAAACTCTGATAGTGAGAGTCGTACACACCGTTTAAGTAACTTTTCGGGTACTGAAAGCGATTGTCAAATGTCATTAATTTCGTTAAATACTAATATTGCTCGTAATCGAGTAAGTCGTAGTAACCGTGATGCATTATCATCAAAATACTCTTCGTCATCATCACATCATCAAATGCCTTCACATCTTGCCACGCAAACCCAATCGTGTAGTAATTCACAACTCGCCAATGAATACTTACATTCGAATCGTCGTACGACAACTCTCATGCGTAACAATACAATAATGTCGAGTGATGATGATGATGCCAAACAGCTATCGCCTAGTAGTTTATTTCGAAAAGCTGTAAATTACAAAAAATTTGATAACAATACGCTGAACAATAAGAAATTAATTATGGATACAAGTCTAAATGGTGCTAAATATGGACATGATGATGATGATCGACCAGTGAAAGAATCATCCATGACGAAATCGACTACTGGTGGTGGACTGGTTGCTACACTTGATAATTCTGAATCATCATCATCTAAATATTCACAACAACCGCCATACAACAATCATCAACATAATACAAATTATCAGTCTTCTGATATGGGTAAGAAGCGAGCTCACTCACAATGAGACTTTAACTTAATCATTAAGTTTTCTCTTTATCAACTGCGTGTATGTCGCTCTCTCTCTCTCTCTCTTTCTGCCTTTCTTCATTCATTTTTTTCTGATTTTTCATCCATTTCTTCCCACCCCCGCCCTTTTTCTAAACAATAAATGATTCGTACACACAGTGACATGATGACAAATAACAATTTTGTTGCTCGATAATAAATCGAGTGCGGTTCAAATGTAAACAAAAAAGAAATTAAAAGCAATGATGAATATGGATTCATAATAAAAAATTATTCAAGAAAAAAATGTAAATTTTTCTGATGACTGAGCGAAATTAAAAGTAAAAACAGATGGAAGAAGAAGAAGAAAATTGCGAAGCGGATTAGAAATGAATGAAATAATAATAAAAATAAGAATAAAACTGTCATTTAAGTGGTGTGTGGTGTAATAATTATAATAATATTGATTCATAGCTTAATAATTTATTATAATTTATTTGAAAGAAAACTTAGATCTTGTAACTGAGATTGAGATCGATGATAGAAAATATTTTCATTACAAAGAATCACAGTTTATGTAAATTATGCTCGTGAAAGATTTGTCAAACATTTTAATTACATTTGAATTTGTAATCTTAATTCATTCCGATCGCAATCAGATTTTCCAAGATCTTTTTTTTATTATTTCTTAGATTTTATTGCATCTTTACTCGCATAGAATTTTTTTATTGCCACTTTCTCTGACTTCGAAATGATCGAAGATTTCTTTCACTTAACCCATGATGTATGATGTTGAGTATGGCGGTTGGAATTTCTTTAACTTTATTTTGTTTTACTGTTAATTATTATCTTGTATTGTTTCGGGTACTAAGTGATGGTTCGTGACAATGTACTCGGAATGTTGCTGTTTATTCTGCTTAATTTACATCTTTCAACTTGACTGTTTGCTGAGAAACTTAAGCTTGATGTCATTATTTTGTTAATCAAAGTTATAATTTTTCAGGAGACAAGAAAAGAAAGAAATTAAAAATGAAAGAATGAGAAAAGGAAAAAGTCAATGGGAAAAAGAAAATTAAAGTGACAAATAGAACAAATTGTGATAGGAAGAACAGTGAAGACAATTAATGATCACAGACATTATTAAAGATGAAAATTTTACTATCGGTCTGACTAACCCATTTAGAGAAATTTTGTTGCTGGTGGTATTTTTAGTGGAGTTCATTTTTTAAATTCTTCATGAAATCATACCTTTTGAAATTGAAATCTCATTTCAAAAAAAGATATTAAATTCTAATCATAAAAAAAATCTTTGAAAGAAACAAACATGACAAATATTTTGAGATATTTTTGATAACGAAATTAATTCTATTCTATTTTATTATTTTATTTTTAATGAAATTTCTTTCTGCATGCTTGACCTTTGTTTAATGATAATTTGGAACTAAAACAATCTTTTAAATAGATTCAACTTACATTTCTCACTTCATTTTAATTTTACTGATTTCATGACTAGAATATTTAACAAGATTTTCTTTTTTTCTGAATCTTTCTAACTTTTTTTTCTTTTTATGTTGAATTTTTAAAAGATTTTAAGTAAGAACAAAAAAAGAAATCTCACACCACTTGAAGACATGTTTAGATACTTTATTTTAGTTCATTCAAATGTTTTTTTTTATTTTCCTCTTTGAATGAAGTTTCATTGGCAAGAAGAAAAGAAAGAAAAAGTAATAAGAAGAGAGGCGACATAATTGTTATTTTAATCAAATCAGATAAATGAAACCTTATTTATACTTATTAGATATCCCAATTAGATTGAAATCTGAATTGAAATTAAATTCCATTTGTTTTCAACAGAAAAACCTTCACTTCCACCTGGTGTACTTCAAAAAGATGCAGATCTTTATAAAGAAGTGAGAGAAAAGGCAGCTAAACAATTAGCATCAATCACAAAACCAAACTTGGCAAGCTCACCACTTAAGTTGAGTCCATCAACATCACAATTAGTTGAGCAGGAACGTTGTCCAGCTGCAATTGAATTTGGAAAACATGAAATTAAAACATGGTATTCAAGCCCCTTCCCTCAAGAGTATGCGAGGTACGTTCAATTAAATTCATAATTTCCTTCTTTATTAATCATCTTAAATTTTAATTTCTTCTCCTTTTAGACTACCAAAGCTCTTTCTATGTGAATTTTGTTTAAAATATACGAAAAGCAAGTTGGTTCTCGATAGACATTTAAACAAATGCACATGGCGTAATCCACCAGGAACAGAAATTTATCGATGTGGTGAAATCTCCGTATTTGAAGTTGATGGAAATGCCAACAAAATTTATTGTCAAAACTTATGTTTGCTAGCAAAACTCTTTCTCGATCATAAAACATTATATTATGATGTTGAGCCATTCTTGTTTTACGTTCTTGCTAAGAGTGATCGCAAAGGTTATCATCTGGTTGGATATTTCTCAAAAGAAAAGCATTGTCAGCAAAAGTACAACGTATCTTGTATCATGACAATGCCAAATTATCAACGACAAGGATTTGGACGATTTCTGATTGATTTCAGTTATTTATTGTCGAGAACTGAAGGAACGCCAGGAACACCTGAAAAGCCATTGTCAGATCTTGGTCGTGTTTCTTATCACGCTTATTGGAAGTCCGTTGTCATGGAATATCTTCATGAACATCGAAATTCTCTCGTGTCAATCACTTTAATATCCGAAGCAACAGGTTTACAACATCAAGACATTGCTCAAGCTTTTCATCTTCTAGGTTTCTTAAGAAGTCGAAAGAATGGAGAAGAAAACTTCAGCATTATGTTGTGCGTTGACTGGAATAAAATTGATACTTATATGGATCGTGTTAATAAATCAAAGACAAGAATTAAAATCGATCCAGAGTGTTTAAGATGGACACCATTATTGATTAGTTATCAGCCAATTGTAAGAGAATCTGACACCGAAAGTCAACTTAATGAATCAACACTCAGCAATTCAGACATCCAACAACAAGCGGAAAAGAAAATTTCTGTTGTTGAAGCACTCCAAAGTTCAAATATCAGTGAAGTTCGTGTGATAAAACGACGTCGAAAGAATGCTGCTGCACTTAAGCAAGCAATTTTGAAGGAACGTCTCGAAAATATTGAGAAAGCTCAAGCTGAAGCTGATTTTTCACTTCATCAACAACAGCGTGAAAGTACGCCAATCAGTGAAAGTGTACAATCAACAATAACGCCAAAGTCATCGTCCAAAATAGATTCGAAATTGCCATTAGATGAAACTCCTTTGTTATCAACTGGAAGGAGAAAAATTCGTCCAAGTCGATTTAATGAAACAATTTTCGAAGAATTGAAGTCACCATCACCAGTTGAAGAGTTTGTTATTGATTTGCAACCAGCAAAACGTGGACGTAAACGAAAGCAAATGCAAACACTTGATGAAACACCAGAGACAGCTTCTTTGTCAACAACATCGATTCTTGATGATACGCCAATTGGTAAACGAAGAAAATTAACTAGATTGAGAATTCTTGATGATTCTGAAACTCCACCACCACTTGACACTGACATGATATCAATTATCGACACACCAAAAAGATCCCCAAAGAAACGAATAATAGAAAATTCAAGTGTCGAGTCAGATTCAATTTCAGAAGACATTCCAACACGAACAAAGAGAACCAGTCGACATGTGAAATCATTAAGATCGAATCTAACATCACCTGAGCCAAATGATGACTTTTCCCTTCCACGATCACCGACACCAACAAGACGAAGTGGACGTCACTTGCTTGTCGACCAAATTTTATCTGATGATAGTTCATCAAAAGCAAGCGAAAGTCCTAAACAAAAACCTAATCTTTTAAAGAAAATGATGCAAGTTAATACGAAAAAGTTGTTGACAGTTGAAACATTGAAAGCTTCATCATCGACAGCAACTGCAACGACGACATCGAATGCAATAGTAAGCCGAAGGGGAAGAAAAAAGAAGATTGCTAAGAAGCCTGATAAGAGTAGTGGATTAAGTAGCGATGATCAAAGTACTGGACAAAAGAAACAAAGAACTTTAATGGAAATGTTTAAACCAAAAGTAAATGAAAAGATTGTTGAAGAATCGACAAAAGAAACGACGATCGAAAAGGCAACAAAAGAAACTTCAAATTCAAGAAAATCTCTCGATGAATCTCAGAAAGATGTCCCTGAAAAACGAGTAAAATCGCCATCGAAGCAAATTGAAAAACGTATATCAACGAATGAAATTCTACATGCAACGTCATCACCACTGAAACGAAAATCGGCTGAAGAGAAGCAAAAGCCATCGATAGAAACAAAAGAGAAAATAAATTTCAAACACAAACCATTGCAATTGAGTGAATCTTCATCATCTGAATCATCCTTTGAAGCTGATGATGAGATGGAAGATGAGAAACGTTCAAAGCTTCCAATTGTTGTTCCACCAAAGAAAGATGAGACAATAAAATCAAAATTTGGTAAGCATCGAAGTAAACGACCATCAAGTGACGACACAGTCAAATCAGCACCTGAGAAGCATGAAACAACACGAAAAGAGCCTGAATTTAGAGAATCACCTTCGAAGAAGAATCGAGGAAAGCCAGGACGCCCTGTAAGCATCGATTCATCATTGATAGAGAAGGAGAAACATAGATTATCAATTGAAGAGCAAATAAAGAAAGACAAAGCAATCATGAGATGTGCTGTGAAAATCGAAAAGTTGCCAATCAATTACAGAAAGTCTGTTGATGTTAGTGAAAAAGATGATGGCGATGAGAAGAAAAAGGAAACGACGATAACGAAAGAAATTTCAACTTCAAATATCAGCAACAATAAAACAATTTCACAAACGCCAAGTACAAGTTCATCACCATCGAAATCAACTTCAAACTCACAACAACCACCACCAAAAGAAGTGAAAAACTATCAAGAAGCTAAAATATCATCGAAAAAGCATATTTTACTGGAAAGTGCTAATAACAATAAACATAAATCGCCATCAATGCCATCAGCATCAAGTTCAATCATTCATGAGAAGAAACAACACGAATCAGATGAGAGGAAGAATAACGAAGTTGTGATGAAGTCAACTGAATTGTCATCACCATTAAAGAAGAAACAAGAAATTTTACCACCAATGGTGCAACTTCCAGATCATGTGAAGATTCCTGATTTACTTTCATCAACAGAGAAAACAGTTGAAAAACAACCAGCAACTGTTCCTGTGAAGAAATCATTCAAACGTAATCAATCATTGACTGACATTAAGAATGATTCGAAAATTGAACAAATTTCTGTGATTACAGGAAGGAAATCAGTTGAAAATCTGACAATGCTTCCAGAAATGTCACGTGAGTCGTCGTCACCATCGAAAAAGATTGAAACAAAAGATGTCGATAAGAATAAAAGTTTAACAAATGAACAACTTCCAATTGTTGATCATCGAAAATCTTCGGAAATTCCACAAAGTGTATTAAAAATGAATGATACGACAACATCATCAACAACATCGACAACAACAAAGATTCGCGACGAAACAATTCGACCAAATGTGATTGTTGATACAAAACAGAATAAACATGAAAGTGAAATGAAATCATCAAATAGTGATTCAAATTCTTCTGGAAGTAAATCGAAGAGTGAGAAAGTTGATGAGATGAAAAAAGTGATGGAAAGATTTGAACCTGAGAGACGTGAATCAAGTCATAGTGAGAAGAGTGTCATCAAACATAAGAGTGAAATGATTGAGAAGTTGGAAGAGAAGAGAAAGAATGAAGTTGATACAAAAAACGATCAAGTGTCAAACATTCAAGAACCTTTGAATGAACTACAACAAACGTCTGAGTCATCATCGAAATTAGATGACGAGATGAGTTCAACAGATGTCAAAGAGAGTACTTCTGATCAAAAATCTTCTTCCGATGTATCAAAAGTGTCGACAGAAACAAAAAGAAAAGATTCAAGAGACAAAATTCCGAGTGTCTTAATTGACAGCTTAAAAAGTGTCAAAAGAACATCAACTGAAGATCGTTTAACAACAACAGCAACAAGTCAAAGTTCTTCATTTTCTTCCACTTCAACATCATTAGCATTTACAACGACGACGACGTCAGTTTCAAGTCTAACGACAAGTGAACATATTTCATCATCGAATGTTCACCAGACAACAAAAAAGTCTGAAACAACCGCCACGACATCGTCATCATCGAAGAAAGAAAAATCAAGTAATCAAAGTATTACACAAAGTGGTTCAAAAAACTCATTCAACGATTCATCGAAGCTTCATCACGAATCTTCAACAAATAGTAAACAACAAGCTCAATATCATTCACAATCAACAGTTGGAGGTTTAACTGGATCTGGATCATCGATTAACAATAACTTGTCTGGATTATCAACATCTGGAAGCAATTCTTCTGTCTCTGGCTTAAGCAATGCCACGTCAAATCAATTATCCTCAACAAATGTGTCAAAAAATGATAAAAATCAATCATCAAATTCAAAGCATACAACAGCAGCAATTGACATTCACAATAAAATTCAATATCCTTCGATGAATCAGTTCGCAAATTATTCGTCACATAATCCATATTGGCCAACAATGGAACCTTCGTTTTATAGCTACAATATGCATCTTGATGCAGCAAATACCAAATCACCGAATAAATTTCAACTTGAATTGGCAACATCGATGGCTTATAATGCAAATTTAACACAAAATTTATATTCGAATGCTTTTCATACGCAATACCAGCAGCAACAAGAGTATCAACAGAATTATCAGACACATCATTTGCAACAACAATCAGCTGTTACTGCCGGTCATATGCAACAGCAAAATATGTACAACAACATCGGAAATTCTTCATCTGTTGTCAATCATCATCAAAGTAGTGCAAGCAATGCAAGTTCTGGCAGTAGTAGTAGTAGCAGTTCTAAAGAGAAGAAGAGTGATAAACGTGCTGACAAACATAAAACAAAAGTTAACGATGAATCGAAGATTTCAGCAGCACGTGAACAACAATTTCAATTGCAATATGATCCAAATAGTTGTGCAGCTGTCAAGCAACAACAGCAGCAGCAACAACAAACAAATAATTACAATTCGCAGCAAAAATCATCAACAGTCAAACAAAATCATAGTAAAAGTGAGAAAATCACTGACAATAGTTGCATGTTAAGCAGTTCAAAGGCTTCTGTTCCATCAGCAAATCCAAATTGTCATATGAATATTCAACAGCAACAACAACTTCAGCAACAACAACATCATCAACAACAAATGACAAAGAATAGTTTAAACAATTCGATTATGACGACATCGTTGAATAAAAATTATGTGACGGAAGATTTGCAACATCAACAACAGCAACATATTGATGCGACAATGATAAGTCATCAGCAGACGCCACCATCATCATCTGGCGATATTCAATCGATGGGTGTTTACACTCCAGATTCAACAACAAATTCTGTCAATAGTTTACATCATTATAGTCAATGTGAGCTTGATGTTAATCAATTGGAACTGGAATCACCTGCAAGTATAGCAAGTGACATGGCATCACAAAATTCTGTTGAGAGTATTCGACCACCGAGTGTTCTTCCACAACAAATGAATCAATACAGCGATTGTTCAATGCAGCAACAACCTCAAGCAATGCCAACACACATGAACATCACATCAACTCATGTGCCAGCTTCAAGTCCACAACATCAAATTGTTATCAATAGTCAATCCAATCAAAGCACTTCGCAGACAATGCATCAACAAAATTCGACATCAAACAATAGAAAGATGAGTCAAATGGGACGTAATGGTGGTAATGGTAATGGAAACGCAAATGGAAGTAATAATGGATCAGCGAGATCATCAACACCGAAGATATCAAGAAATACTGCAACTCCTGGTCTTCAGCAACAACAACAACAACAGCAGCCACGTCATCGTGTCACACCACCAATTCATGCTAATCAACCAATGGTGAGTCCTGTTCAGCAACATCATCAACATCAAAACCTCAATCAACAACAACTTCAACAATTACATCTTCAACAAATGCAACAAGGTTACCATCATCAAGGGATGCATCAATCAAACTATTTACCAGCTCAAATGGGAAATTCTGTTGTTAACAACACAAATTACTCTCAAGCGCAATCACCAAATTACGGAAGTTCAGGACAATCAACTGGTGTCATTGCCCAACATCGTTCAATGCCAAATGCACACACAAATATGCCGATTCAAAATTCATTACCAAGTCCATCACAAAGATTAGGACCATCGCCATCATCATGTGCTGTTTCGTCATCGAACAACAATTATTATGCCCATGGATCACAAACATCACATACACCTGGTCCTATTTCAACACCAACACCATCGGCAACACCAACACCACAACAAATGGATCAACAAAATGTTATTTGTCATCAACAGAATCAGTTGAATATGGGAAATGTTTCGAGTTTAACGAAGCTACAACAACTGGCGAGTCTCGATACAAATCCACAACAACTTTGTCAAACACCGCCAAGTGTTGTTCTAACGCCACCACCACATTCGCATGTTTCAATGAGTCCCGCTCCCCATTTATTGAACCAAAATCGAAGTATTTCAACGCCACCACAATCGACACTTGGATTTCAATATAAACTTTATAGTAATATGAATGTTCCACCTTCAATTGGTCAAAATACGGGGCGAAATGCAAGGACACCAGCACCACCATCAGTTCAACATGTGAGTATGACGGGAGGTCCAGGCAGCCGAGTAAGTCCAAATGTTACATCAATTGGTAGTGCAATGATGCAATATGGATATCGAATGAGTGGACAACAAGCATCAAGTTACATCCCAAATCCTACTTTCATAAATAATGCATCTACACAAATTCCAGTTATGCAAGCGCAATATCAAGATCCAAGCGCAATTCAACGAGCGCAACAGAATTCCATGTATTACAATCCTTACCTTCCACCATTGAACAGTACTTCAATGCGAAGATAGGATTATGACACTGATACTGACACTGATTAAGAATAAATTTATAATAAATCATCGTCATCATTATTAAATAGTTGGAGAGAATTAAAAACACAAGTGTCCTTTCAAAAAAAACAAAACTAAAAAAAAAAAACTAAACTTCAACGTAAATATTATCTCTACGTTACGGTACGTACGTCAAGTTTGAGTTGCGAAAATTACATAAAGCTAACATTCTTTAATTCGAGTATGCTTATTAGTTATTAAGAATTATTTAAAACACAAATACACAGACACACAGGTTGTTTTTTTAATTAATTTTGCTCTTTTCCAAAAAAAGGAAAAACAACGTGAAAAAAATATGTATTTAAAAAATGATGAGACTCGAAGAAGGAAAGCTAACAATTTAGTTTACGTTGATAGTTTAAAAAATCATTAATTATTTTATAGGTGATGTTGAGAAATCAATTTCTTTTTGTTCAGTAATTTTTGGGTTCGTTTTTTCTTGTTTTTTTTTTATTATTAATTTATTTTGTTTAAAAAATTATTAAAACAACAAACAGGAGACAAAATTTAAAAATAAAAACAAATTTTGATTGTACAATTTAACAAATGAACTTAATTGAAAATATTTTGTTCATAGTCCCAAAGTCAACAAGTCTCGAATGCTTGCAATTAATAGAAAAGAAAAATAAAGATTCAAACAGTGAATATCTCAAAATCGATGATAGTAATTTGAGTAATATTTAAGTTGATTTAAATAATCTAACTATTATTGTAAATAGTCAAAATCAATGAAAAGAAAGAAAAGAATATTCATCAAACATAAAAAACCCTGAGAGAAAACAGATAAATGAAGAAACAAGTTGTTTGTTTTATTGAAGATTCATATGTGAAGACACAAAAAAATCAATAAATGCTAATCATTTTAAATATTTGTTATTTTAATTCATCTTTTATTCCAGATTTTGAAAAAAAGTCTTATCACATCACATGGCAGTTTATTTACCTTTTAAAGTATGACTTATCTGAAACTAATACTAATATTCCCAATCATTCGTATCAGACAGAGCTTATCTTCAAAACAAAGCATTATCAATTGACATCAAAATATAATTTTATTCAATGAAGCCACACTATCGAATCATCGATCGATTGATTGATTGATTGACAGAATAGCCTAACGAAGTCTACTTAATTATGACTTAAATATTTATATATGTATTTCAATACATGATTCATGTTGCAATTAGAATAAAGAGTGTTTGCAAATGTGTGAAAAGATCATTTTTTCTGTCATTATGCGAATCCATGACAACGATAACGACTAACAAAAACTTTTCAATCGATTGAAGCTTTCTATTGATAATTAAATCATAAGTTTCACAAAGAATCAGTTTTCGATACGTCTCAGACCGATAAAATTTTCTTCTGATAAGGTAAGCAAAAGTTGTCAGAGTACGTAAAAAAGCAACACAAATAATGATAAGTAAAACAAATATTTGTAACCACTTCAGTGTTATTGTAAATATTCTATTGTCAAGAAGCTTAAAAATGGGAACTCGCAATCGTGCATTTTATGGCGACGACGATGATGGAAATTACTCATCAAGACGAGAAATTGAAGAAATTCCAACAATATCTAAAACAACAGAAGCGGATGGAGCGCAAATTACGAAATTCGTAAGTTTCTGCTCTCTTCAAATATTTATAAATCAAATGACGATATCAAATAAAATTCGATGTAGGCAGAAACAATATCTGGCTTAAACTTAAATGACTACGCAACGAGAAAAACGATTGCACAAGGAATGCTTGATTTAGCCCTTTTGACTGCAAATGCTGCTCAATTGAAGCGAGTGATGTCTATTGGAGATGAATACAAGTTTTATTACTTTCTGATGACATTGATAATTATTTCAATAAGTCTTCAGGTAGCATGTAACTTTTACAGTTTTTTCAAGTGCACAAAATTTCAGGATTGTATAATCCTGGTAAATATTAATCATTGCACATTAAATGTAATTTCAGGTTGTACAAGCTATCATCATGGCTATTCTTGCAATCGTTTTCGATCTGAATAAAGTCGAAGAACATCGTCGAACAAATATCGCAAACAATATTTTGTTAATAATAACAATCATATCAGTGGCCATCAACATTATTATTTCTACTTTTGACATTGCCGATATTGGAACAAAGTGACTGTGCCCGAAACCTTTTGACAACGATGCGATTCCGATAAAACTTCTGAGTCAAAAAAATGTTGAACAAATTTAAATTAATTTAATATAGAAATCTTAAAATAGCTCAGCTTTAAAAACTTTTAAAATGGAAATTCTATCTTTCTATGGAAAAAGATTTCCCCATGTGATATTTACGCAATATCAATTTTACAATTTGTTAATATTATTCTAAAAATAATTTTTTGTTCTATATGTTTTAAAAACATCTTTCTTCAATGAATCTATACGCTATTCGTATTTAGTGTGCCTTAGTTTCATAAAAAAACCGAAGGAGCTTTGAAAATTGCATAGATTTAACATTAAGAGATCGTTGAAAAAATATCTAGATGTAAATGAAAAGGTTATATTACGTTAAAAATAATGATTCTATTAAACGTGAATAGACAAATAAAGACCCACAAATTGTTTTAAAAAGCGATAGATAAATTTTAATAAATATCTATAACAATAGTTTTTAAAAGTTTTCATCAATAAAATAGAAGGAACATTCAGCTTCGTTGATTTTCAATCTCCCTTTTTTTTTCAGATCATGGCAAGTTAATTAAATATGTTAAAATTTAATCATCTTCATTGCATGTTTTTTATCTTTGGTTTGTCACCGATTTCTTAAGTTCGTCACCCTAAGTTCGGCACTTTTTGAAAAAATAGTAGAAGTTTTTGTAGAATTCAACGGTCATTCAAAAAGTTAATAAAACATTTTTTGTCACTTTTACCTTAAATTAATTAAAGCTTTTAAAAACAAATAAACTAAAAATAACATTAATTCTGGGTTATTAAATTCATTTCAACTGTACAAATTTAATTCATAAGTAAAACTCGGATTAAAATGTCAACAAATGGTAGACATAATTCAAGCAAGTTGCGGCGAATTGCAACACAAAAACTTGCCGAACTTAGGCAAAAGCGCATGACGAACCTATGATAAAAAACATGATGATGTATTTTGTTCAGGGTTCGGAAGCTTAACGATTTTTCGCAAAAAGCTTCCGCTTCGGCTTCCCAAATTCTGAAAAAGCTTCTAAGCTTCCGCTTCGGCTTCCCAAAAAGATGAGCTTCTCTAAGCTTCCAGCTTCCGCTTCGGCTTCCGACCCCTGATTTTTATTAATTATTTTATAATCTCCCAACAGAATTGAAAAAGCTTTTTAGTTCTGTAAAATGTATTAGTTATAGCATCTTTCCATATTTTCATATAATTTATTCTTGCGTTTTTTAAATACAAAAACGCTTCTGGAAGTGAAGACACTGTTTGTGAAATATGTAGATCAAAAATAGTAAAAAGTTCACAAGCAGATCTAACTTCAATTTTAAAATTAAATACGCTTTAATTGAAAAAAACAAGAAAAAGGAACGATGCTACAACTATCTGGCAAATTTAAAAAAATTGTAAAGGTGGAGACAAAGGATCATTCTGTTCAAAATCTATGATTAGCCGTGACAATGTTCCAAGATGCCGAAGTTAAAGCCTACCGAAGTTAGGGTTAACAGCTTATATAAATATTCATATTTAAGGAAAATTATAAGAGGTGATTTTTTTCATATTTCTTACTAATGCTTAGCAAGCTTTTATAACAGAAAAAAAATTCATACAAAGCTTTCTAGAATATTCGTTGTACTAGAATATTTACGAATGCTCAAGAACAATCTTTTATACTGAGGCGTTGCAACTTTGTTAAATCCACTACATTTTTTCATACGCCTCAAAAACTAATAAGTTGCAACCCCTTAGATCGAGAAATTTCTTTCTGTTATAAAATTCCACGCTCTCTCAAAAAAATTGTTATTTACTCACGAAAAATTGAAGAGAGCTGACGTTTAAAAAAAATAAAAAAAAACTGTAAAGGAAAAGCAAATTAATTCAAATATAATCCTTAAATACTTGAATCACTAAAAAATAAGTCTAGTGAAAATAAATTTGAAAAGACCGAAATCAATTTACAATCAATAACATAAGCAATTGATAGGAACAAACAAAAAAATTTTAGGTACGTTTACAATTTTTGATGGTTTTTGCAATCTTCTAGAAATTATTCTGTCCTTGGAGATGCGACTTAATTTCATACACGTGCCACGCAAAACAAAAGAGTAATATCAAGAGATTAAAAGCCAAGAGAACAACAAAAATCCAAAATTTCTTGAAGATTTCAAAAGTGAAACATAAACATTCGAGAACATTCGATTTTCTCATTTCATGACATTTCTTTCTTTTCTTTTTCTTTAGATTTAAAACCGAGATGGGAAAAGATTTCTACAGAACACTTGGCGTGTCCAAGAACGCAAATGATGATGAGATAAAAAAAGCATATCGAAAGTTGGCACTCAAATACCATCCTGATAAGAACAAGTCAAAAGATGCTGAGGAGAAATTCAAAGAAGTTGCTGAGGCTTATGAAATTTTGTCAGACAAAAAGAAGCGCGACATTTATGACCAATATGGTGAAGAGGGCCTGAAAGGAGAATCTGCAGGATCTGGCGGTGCCGGTGGCGCAGGCGGTGCTTACACTTACACATTCCACGGTGATCCAAGAGCCACATTTGCACAATTCTTTGGTACAAACGATCCATTCTCTATATTCTTTGGGGATGGTGGAGAAAGAATGCAATTTGGTGGTGATATGTTTGGAGGGGGTGGTGGAATGGACGCAGATGATATTTTTGGACAAATGGGCAGCAATAGAGGTGGAGCATTTAGATCGCAATCCTTTAATGTTCAAGGCAACCCTCATGCTAAAAAGATGAAAGTTGACCCTCCAATTGAACATGATTTATACGTAACACTTGAAGACATCAACAGTGGATGCTCAAAGAAAATGAAAATCTCAAAGATGGTCGTTCAACCAGACGGTGCTGCTCGTAAAGAAGAAAAAATTCTACAAATAAATGTGAAACCTGGTTGGAAAGCAGGAACAAAGATCACATTCCCTAAAGAAGGTGATCAAATACCTGGAAAGGTTTCAGCCGATATTGTATTTATCATTCGTGATAAGCCTCATACTCATTTTAAACGAGAAGGCAGTGACATCAAATATACAGCAAAAATATCATTAAAAGAAGCACTTTGTGCAACAGGTACATTGAAAGTGCCAACACTTACAGGCGAAGTTATTCCTATTAATATTCAAAATGAAGTCATCAAACCATCTACTGTCAAAAGACTACAAGGAAGAGGACTGCCTTTTCCTAAAGAACCAACGAGACGCGGTGACATAATCGTGAATTTTGATATCATCTTCCCTGATAATCTCTCGAAGAGTGCCCGCGAAATTCTCATGGATGTTCTACCATAAACGCGTCATTAAATATTACAATTATTTAAATAATTTAATGCGCCTGTATTTGATGTAAATAAACAAATATATTTAAGAAATTTGAAATAAGATTGTGTGAAGAATAAATAATTTAAAGAAAACTAATAAAAGAAGTTAAGTTTTAGTGAGAAATAAAATAAAATTAAAAGTTCTTTTATTTTCCTTCATCCAATCCCTGGAACGTTCTTTATATGTTCCACATAGGCGTTCTTAATTCTATGTACATAAATAAAAGATAAGAAAAGAAATTAAAACACCTAATTATTAATTAGTAATTAATATACCTAATAATTGAAAATGAGAAGGAACTTTTCATTATCTTTTTGGAAAAGGAAAACGGTTTTCGAAGTGATCATTTAAAGGCAGGCGGCATAAACATTGCGATGAATAACCCCTTGAATGATACAATTTTGTGGCCAATCCGACATATTTAGTCAAAACACTTCATTCGCTTCTAGAGGTAGATTGAAAAACTAAAATAATTTTCTACTTTATAACGAAATAATAAAGAAAGTAGTGAAAATATGAATAAACCTGAAGAAGATGAGGAGATGTGGAATGAAGAAGGCGATGAACCAGCAAACCCGAATGAAGTCCTTGCTATTTGCATGCAAAATTTCGCGAAACAGGTAAAATATATGTTTGCTTGGTTTTGTTGATAAAAATCAAATTAATGAAAAAATTATAGGATTATATTCTTGAACCAGCAATTTTCCTGCAATTAAAACGGTAAGTTTAGTATTCTTGTGTTTATTAATGATATGTGAATCATATGATTGAATTTTAGTTATTTTCAACATGGAGGGACGCCCGAGCTGGTTATCAATCAACTGTCTCAAAACTATGCGGCTACAGCTCAAATGGCAAACTTACTTGCAGATTGGCTTGTCGTTGCAGGAGTTGATGTCAACGAAGTTCAAGCAATGGTCGAAAACCATCTAAAAGATATGATTGTGAAGTCCTTTGACCCGAAAAAAGCTGACACGATTTTTACTGAGGAGGGAGAGACGCCTTCTTGGTTGACAGACATGATTGAGCACAAAACATGGCGTGATCTTATTTATCGACTGGCTGAAGAATATCCTGACTGTCTCATGTTAAACTTCACCATTAAACTCATTTCTGACGCCGGATATCAAAGTGAAATCACTTCAATCTCAACAGCTGCACAACAACTTGAAGTGTTTTCACGAGTCTTAAAAACATCCATCACAAAAATATTGACAAGTGCATCAGATGACTGGCAGAATTCAATCGAAGAACTGGCGAAAATGGTTTGCCATGGACAACACACTTATGTTTATTCACAAATTTTAATTCACTTACTGGCACAAGAATCAAAAGGAGGAGCAAATATGAAGCGACTATCTCAGGAAATTCAACAATATGCATTGAAAAATGGACTTAATGTGACACCAATAACTATGGCTTTATATGGAAATTCGCCAATTGAACATCCACAAGCTTGTGAAGCTTTAACTTCAATGCTTTCAAGAAATTGCTTGAATCCAGCTGACATCACTGTTCTTTATCGTTGTTATTCAAGCACAACTGCTCCACCACCAATTGATCTCATTCGAAACTCTCAATTCCTCGACCTTCTTGTCGATGCTTTGTTCAAAGCAGGAGTTAAAATTAATCCAGAACACAAGTCAAAGTACATTTATTTGCTCGCTTACGCAGCAAGTGTGAGTGAAACATCAACAAAAAAAGGGGCAAACAAGCAAAAAGTTTTACACAAAGAAGAATTAAAGCCGACAATGCAAGCGATTGAACAAGTTCACAGCATTTGTAATCTCAACAAAGGATCAACTGAACTTGTTGCTGAAATTCAATCACTTTATGGTTGCATTAGATTTCCAGTTGTTGGCGTTGGACTTATACGTTGGATTGGAGCGACAGTCACTGAACCTTCTTTCTTTAAACTTTGCACTGAATCAACGCCAGTTCATTTAGCAATTCTTGATGAAGTTGCAAATGTTCATCCTTCACTTCATGAACCAATATTAAAGCTTCTTATAAAGCTTTTCGAATCGAAACAAGACGAGTTGGAAATTCTTGTTCAGCTCGAATTAAGGAAAATGTTGCTTGATCGAATGATAAATCTTCTCACACGAGGCTGTTGCATTCCAGTTGTCAAATATATCAAGCAATGTTGTGCTAAAGGCGACACTGACGTTTCACTCATCCGATATTTTGTAACAGAAGTTTTGGAGACAATCACGCAACCTTATTCACCTGAGTTTGTTAGTCTTTTCTTACCGATGGTTGAAAATGAAGATATCACAGGAAGAATGAATGATGAAGAGAATGATCCGTTTGCTGAGTTCATCGGTAAGTTTTTTCTATTTATCTGCAAGTATGAATAAATAATTAAAATGCAAATTTCTTTTTCATTTTCAGTTCAAGCAAGAGCCAACATGTATAGCAATTAAGATTTATTTGAAATTTAATTTGTCAGAGTTTGTAATAAATAGGTATATAAATGATTTACGATTTCAATTAGAATAAATTTAATGAACAACAACAAACAAACATGCTGTTTCAAATTAGTTTCTTTAAATTATTAGGTAGTGAATTTATGAAGAGATTGATCATTTCAAAAATTGTTCAGATGTGCTTTGGATCCTTCAAGCCAAAATTATAAAAATAAACTTTAAATCATAACAATTGTGAAGATAATTTTTGTCTCGCTCTTCAATTGGGTAACGCTGTCACGTACTTTCCATCATTCTTGAATTTCTCAAACAACGCATAGAGAACAAATGAAAAGTAAGAATTTATTGCAACATTGGCTCCTAAAGTATAAGCAAAAATATTGTTTCTCGAAAGGACTGATGCTAATTCGAAGCATAAAGTGTCAAAAATTATTATAATAATCATCACTGGTAAGATGAGGTAATGATTACGCTGTGAATTGAATATGGATAGAATTAATATGAACGACTATTTTAAGATATTCAAACTATCTACTTCTCTTGTTCCCTTAATGCACAAATATCCCACGATAGCCAATGTCACTGAAAAAGTCAAAATGAAGATGAAAACTGAAAGAAAATATTAAAACTAAATTACATATTTTAATTATGATTAAAAAGGTACTTTACTAATAGTGGATGTGTCTTTGTCAATTATTTTATGATCCACAATATCTTCGAACATGATCAGATATGCTACAATTATCCACAATATATTGGTCAATATGGTGTACCATCCGATCACATGACCTGAAGTAAGATAAGTGAGTTAATGGAATAAAATACATTAAAATATTCATGTTAAACCTCCAATTTCCAAAGGCATGCAGCATAAAAAGTTCTGTAAAGATTTCATGTTGCACAAAAAACTTTTTGATTCGAAATATTTTACAAGTCAACACACGCTCTGAAATTTAATGAGATAAAAATAAAATGACGAAGAAAGAAAAACTCGTAAAGTGATTTTTAAGATAAATTCGGATTTAAATATCATTTTAAGCAGCAAATTAAACTTTAGTTAGACACTTTTATCAAACACAAATTAATTTTATCAAAAAACTTTTGTCTTCATTAAAAACGTGATTGAATTTTTAATAAATCCACTCACGTTTATATTTTCAATTTTCTTCTGTTTCTATAAATTGTAGATAAAAATTTAACTGTGCTACAAACAACACGTACAAGAAAACAAAGTAAGAGATTTTCCATTTAATTCACAGTAAAAACGTTCCTCTAACTTTTTATTCATAAAATAAAAAGTTGTGGGTGGAAGACAATAGCCAAGATTGAAAATGAAGGTTTTGTGTCTTGTTAAATAATTCTACAAAATTATTTTCGTTTATGCTGAATTTCCCCGCATGATCGCCAGTCAAATGAATGAAAATTGAATGAAAAATCATTAAACAAAATTCTGTGTCAGATTTTTTTATTTAGATATTATAAAATTCTTACAAATTAATGTGATTATGTGTAGGTTTTTGAATCTTGTTCAGTAAAAAATAATAAAAACATTTAAAACATCAAATTTAATGTCTTGTGATTACTTAAAAAGAGTTGAAATGAACAGATGATTTTATTAGCTACATCAGAATTCCATTGAATTTCGTTCCTTCCAGAGTCTTTAATTAAAAAATCATATAAGCTTTATTAAGAATAACTTCTTGCATCTATAATACTCACTCCACACTCTGTTACACAGCATCCCAGAATATCACCGGCAAGATTGTTAACAATTTCATATTTACATTTATGATTTTTATGATTTCAGCTGCTTTCTTGTAATTCTTCATGCAGGTGAGTCTGAAAGTGATTTAATTGACAAACTGAGAAAAATCAACTGAAAAAGCTTTGATATTTTTAAACTTTTTAAACACTTTAGTTCTTAACTTTTTAATTTCAATTTTGTTTAAGTTTTACTTGCAAAATGTAAACAAACTTTTGCTTCCTTTCAGTATTTCTCGCTTCAATAGTTAGCTTGCTTCCAAGTAAAAATTCGCAAGTTTTTCGTTTTGTCGGGCTGTCGCTTAGCATTTTTCTCGTGTTTTTTGATGCTTTTGACCGACCAATGATACAAAGTATTTTTTAAGCAAACAAGGCCTAGTTGA